GAGGCACTGGTTGATATCTTCAGCCGTGTTGGAGTACCCAGTGAGATGTTGTCCGATCAAGGGGCCCAGTTTACCTCTGGATTAATGAAGGAAGTGAGCAGACTATTGTCGATCCGCCAACTAACGACAACGCCATATCATCCTCAATGCAACGGGTTAGTCGAGCGTTTCAATGGTACACTGAAACAGATGCTAAGGAAAATAGCCGCTGAGAAACCCAAGGACTGGGATAGATACATCAATGCCCTCTTGTTCGCTTATAGGGAGGTGCCGCAGGAAAGCTTGGGGTTTTCACCCTTTGAACTATTGTACGGCAGAGCGATACGTGGACCGATGATGATTCTGAAAGAACTGCTAACGAAAGAGATTCCAGATGACGACGTCAAAACGACTTATCAGTATGTAATGGATTTGAGGGAACGGATGGAGGAGACATGCCAAGTTGCAATGGATCACTTGAAGGATGCCAAGCGAGTTCAGAGAAGGAACTTCAACAGGAGAGCCAAGTCACGGGAGCTACGACCAGGCGACAAAGTGTTAGTGCTTCTGCCGACAAAAGCTAACAAGTTACTGATGCAATGGCGTGGCCCATACGACGTTGTAGAGAAAGTCGGACCGTTCGACTATCGTGTGAACAGGGACGGTAAAATCAAGACTCTACATATTAACCTGTTGAAAAAGTACATGAAGCCAGTGGACAATGTTGCGGAAGATACTGAGGGAATTCTTGCAAATACTATAGCAAGTGTTGTTGCTGATGGTGAGGAGATTCAGGGGGACGCGGATTTTCCCAGCAGACTGGAGTCCCTTCCTAGTGATAGGGGAAAGGAACATGTTGAAGATGTTGAAATCTCTGGAGGCCTGAACAATGCACAAGCAGATGAAGTGAAGGAGCTCATGGACAATTATACAGATGTGCTAACTGATCTTCCAGGCCGGACAAATCTCGCCCAACATGAGATCAGGACTACTACCGATGCTCCCGTTCATGTGAAACAATACCCCTTGCCTTATATTACCAAGGAGATGATCAAAGAAGAGGTGCAGAAGATGTTGGATATGGACGTTATCGAGCCATCATCATCCCCATACTCGGCTCCTGTTGTAATGGTCAAGAAAAAGGAGGGGACGAATCGTTTTTGCATTGATTTCAGGAGACTAAATCGAGTCACGGTATTTGATGCCGAGCCGATGCCAAACACAGATGATATTTTCTCTCGGGTAGCGGGTGCAAGATACTTCTCCAGACTGGATCTCAGTAAAGGCTATTGGCAGGTGCCGCTCTCGGAAGACGCAAAAGAGATGACAGCCTTTTCAACTCCACAAGGCCTTTTCCAGTTTAAGGTAATGCCGTTTGGCTTAATAAATGCCCCGGCAACATTTAGTAGGCTGATGAGGAAACTTTTAGTTGGTATGGAACACATCGATAACTTCATCGACGACATATTGATTTACACAGACACATGGGAAGAACATATAGAAGTACTTCGCTATCTTTTTGCAAGGCTTCGAGCAGCAGTGCTAACAGCAAGACCAACAAAATGCTCGATTGGATTTTCCAGTTTGACTTGTTTGGGTCACATTGTTGGTGATGGAAAATTGGAATTGGAAGAGTCGAAAGTGACGGCCATCAAAAACGCAGAGAGACCAGAGACAAAGAAACAAGTTCGATCTTTTTTGGGGTTGGCCGGATTCTATCGGCGTTTCATTCCTAATTTCGCAGCAGTTGCCGCCCCCTTGACTGACCTGACGAAGAAGGGATGTCCAAATAAAGTTCTTTGGAGCGAAGTGCACGATAAGGCATTCTCTACTCTCAAGAACATGCTAACAGCTAAACCGGTGCTCAGACTTCCAAATTTGGAGCAACATTTCATTCTTCGAACAGACGCATCGGATACTGGCTTGGGTGCTGTGCTGCTGCAGGAAGAAAACGGACAGAAAATGCCTGTCGCCTACGCCAGCAGGAAGTTACTTGCCAGGGAAAAGAACTACGCAATTATAGAAAAGGAATGTTTGGCAATTGTCTGGGCAGTCCAGAAGTTTGAACCTTACATCTATGGGAAAGAGTTTATCCTTGAGACGGACCATCATCCATTAACTTACTTGCACAGATCAAAAACTGCGAATGCCAGACTTATGAGATGGGCGTTACTCCTACAGCCATACAGATTGAGGATTCGTGCCATCAAGGGTTCCGACAACGTTGGAGCGGATTGTTTGAGCAGACTCTAGGAATACATGTTCCGTGAGTATGAGAAAGTGTATCCACTTTCTTCGAAAGCAGGGGGAAAACTGTCACGTAAGCATGTATAGTTTGTCTATAAATGGTAAGTTTTAATTTGATTTTGTTTTGCGGTGTAAGGACTCTTAATTGTCCGCACCACTGGGCGGATATACGTCACGGGCTTGACCGGTTGTGCACGGAATGGACACTTGTTTGCGGTCCACAGTTTTGTGAGTTCGTGTAGCCGATATGTAAATATAGCTGTTTCCGATATTGTGATCAAGGCACAGGCGACAGACTGTGGTAAGTTATGTTTCTTTCTTCCGTTTCCATATGTTTTTTTTCTGGCATTATTTTATCCATGCCGTCAAATCTATCGGGTCAAGCAATCGAGGTGTCGGTGCGCTCCAATCATGCGTAACTATTGTTGATACATGTAGTACACTTGTTTTGTGGTGTGTTTCTGCTATATCATTATAATTTCATACTTCCTATTGATTTCTGGTGTATTTAGATAATATAAGCATAATAGATTGTTGTGTGTAGAATTATTTAATAAATATAGGGTTCTTGTCCGTTTTAAAATTCTATGGAAGCTCTGAGCTAGAGCTATAGCGTTAGTTGGAGTGTGTACGCGCACTGGGTAAAAAAAGTATGGAAGCCGTGAGACGCCAACTTCTATGAATTGTGCTGAGTCGTGTTTTTTATAGCCATTTGGAGCCGCACACTTATCCCTTTATCTTTATTATATTGATTTACGTATATTTACAATATATTAATGAATATTTATATTATTGATAATTAATTATTGGTTAATTAGTATGCCAGGTGAGAGTGAATCTGTGTGACTACAGCATTATTTTCCACTATGTATTATTGTAGCTTCACATGACGGACTAGGAGTCTCAGCTATCAAGCCAGGACCAGTCAGCTGTGCCAACTCATTGTGACTCCAGCGTCAGGACCGACCGGATAAGTTCTCTTCGCCAGGGTCAAGGTCAGCATGGAATACATGTGTTGGGTCGTTACGTAGGCCAGGGTCAGCGACTTGCTTGGAGGCTGAGTCACAGTATATCTACTATTGGGATGACTGTCGTGTCAAGGACACTAGTGTGTACATCCCAGCATTCCTGTCGTGTCTTGGACACCAGTGAGTTTGCCAATTTGGGAGTTTCAAGCAAGCATGGTGCTGCTTGATGTGTTTATACCTCTTGGCTCTGGATTGAGCGTGGTTGCAGGTTAGCGACTGTCGTGCACCGGAACTGTACCAGGATCCCATTCGTCGTTGTGTGTGTAGCTACAGACTGTAACTTGTAATAATTGTGTTTGTGAATGAGTGAATTAGTGAGTGTGACGTGTGGGTATTATAGGGTTTTTTATTTAATTTCTTTATTGTCATCATTGTAAATAAACATTTGTCATTGCAATCAATCTTTTCGGTGTTCATTCCCCGGATCGCTGACCGACGCTCGTTCCACGTTAACATACACCTTCGTTTTTCGCTTCCTTCTTGTTCACATTTTCCTACCTTTTCCGTGAGTACTTTTACATATATTTACATATGTTGCCGAGATTTACCTTGTCTACTCATCAGCGTGGTCATTCTAATGTCCATCAAATTATAAACATATACATCATGCGAAAATATGTTTAGTTTTGTGTGATATTTCCAAAGCATTCGGTCGTGTGTGGCTCAATAGACTGCATGTAAGAGTAACAAATTATGGTATATGTGGAAAACTTCTAGTCTGTCTAAATAATTTTATCTGTAATAGAAAGCAACACGTCTTTTTAGGGAAAAATAAGATCCCGTTAAATCTACAAATGCAAGTGTTCCACATGGCTCGCCGGTATTTGGTTTGTTACATATATTAACGATATAGCTGATAATCCCGAGAGTCTCTCCAAACTATTTGCCGACAATACTTCATTACTATGCTTTGACTATAGAAATTAAAATCAATGACGATCTATCTAAAATTCACAACTGGGCAGAAAATTGGTTCATCAAACTGAATCCCTTGGAAACGGAAACTTTACTTATATCAAACATTGAACATGATCATGTCATTGAAATCCAATTTGATAATGTGAGTGTTGACTTTGTTGGTCCTCATATGCATCTAGGAGTACTTTTAGATGAAAATTGTAAATGGGGTTCACGCATAGAAAATATTATAATAATGCACCGAAACAGGTAAGTATTCTCCGTAAACTTCAATACATGTCGAATGAACAAACTTTAGTCAAAATTTATAAAGCATACATACTTCCAGTATTAGAATATTGTTGTGAAGTTTGGGATGGGTCTTTTCTCGGTGACGTAGAAAAAATGGGGAAAATTCAGTTATAATCCGCTCGAATCATTACAGGTTTACCAGCATATAGCAGTGGGGAATCTCTCTATATCGAAAGTGGTTTAGAAGAAAATTACAGCTATTCTACAAAATAAGTAATAAACTCACACTTAATTATCTATCCTTTTATTGCCTCCTTTGGTGTAAGAAAATTCACAATAGAATCTCCGCGATGCACAAATCTTAACTTCCGGCTTAACGAACTTCTGTTATTTTCCTTCTACTATCCGACTTTGGAACCAACTGGACCATCCAATTAGACAGCTTTTAAAACTGATCCGTCCGGTGCTGTGCCGGATCCGACTCGTACTTTATGCTTCCTTCTATCTGGGTCTCTGAAATGTATTATGCGGCGAGCTTTATTTTTAAACGTGTCGGCGACTTAAGTTCCGCTCGAAATTATAACATTACCGGTCAAAATGTTGGAATTTCTTGCAGATAATATCTTCTCTGTGGTGATAACTGTGTTCTTCCTGGCTATCATTCCATGGGGAAGAAATGTTTGGTTGATAGCGGATACACTGATTTCTCTTGCGTTTGCATTTGCTTGTATTCTATTTCCAGAGCGGCACTTACGATTCCAGGTGATGGTAACGCCACGCATGTTATATTTTTGGATATATCACAGGACGCTTAAATAATACTGTAAAAATATGATGTTTCAGTTGAAATTTTACATGTGGTTGATATATGAGAAGATACAGGTCAAGTTAATATTTAATTCATGTCAATTTGTTTTTTAGTTATAAGTAACTCAAAAGTCATTGAATGCGACAATTTCAAGAAACTCAGTTTTTGCTCATTTTCTCAGTGTTGGATGTGGACATAGAAGTGAAATTTAATAAATTGGTATAGTTCTATAACAGAGGTCTTTATTTATTTCAATACTTCTGTTAAGATTCGAATGTGGGACATCTGGCTTTCTAGTTTTACCCAACAATCCAACTCTCTGTACCCAAGTTACATTTTGTGGCTTGTATTCTACCAGAGTCATCAATTGATTTACTTTGTTTGCTCACATTTTTACAAGAAAAGTTTGAAAATACACGAGTACACATCTTAAACATACAATTTATTGATAGAATAAACACAGCTTTATATAGACATATCTAGTTTTCTTTCACCCCATTCAGCATGGAATCAACTTTCAGTGTACTCATGTAAGTAAATTGTTAACATGGTTTTATTTTTGTATTGCCAGGTGGATGGAGTGGTGGATGGGGTACATGTCCACATGTTACGGATGTTTGGATTGATGGTCCTAGGCACATCAATGTTTGGTGGCTGTGCATTGATCACAAAAGACAACACAGCAAAGACATCCATTCTGTGGGGTAGAGTCATAGTATGTACACATAAGAGAATCTAATATCAATGCATGGTTATGTATCCATTGAAGTTCACCTGAAAATGTTAAGAGAGCTATATTTCTTTGTTGATATTTTAAAACAATTTTACCGAATAGTAAATTTGGCTATGTTTTAACTAAATAGAAATAAACATTTTGAACTTAGTATGTACCACGGACTTGTATACAAGTCCGTGGTATGTACACAACATGTGTTACTTTTATAGTCTCTGATTTTTTCTACCAAACATATTAAGTTTTCTACTAAAAAGGCATTACCAAATTCAGTCTATAGTTTAAAAGTATGATAAATGACAATACAAAAACAATTTACCAGTCTGCTGAATATTATCATTTTGCTTATTATTTAAGTTGATGCATGAAGTTGTTTTTTTATTACATTTCGTTACAGATACATGACTTAATTTTCTCTTTATGTTCATTTCAGGGATTGTCCATTTATATCATGGCTAGAACACACAGCTTCATCTACTTAAAAACTGGCACTACATGGAATCAAACGGTATTTATCAATGTTATTTCTTGGAAGTGCAATAAAAGTAATTCTGCTGATGAAATACGTGCACATGACTACCTTAAGTACCATAATTTATAAATAAAGACATGACAGTATGATTGGTGATACCAGAACTATTCCTCTGATTTTTGAAGTGATACATGTATATGGTATAAATTTAATGATAAATAAATGCAAATAGTTAATATAAAATAAACTATTTCTTTTCCAGGCCTTGAATTTTGGTATCTATGGAGACTGCCTGTGGTTGCTGGGTAACCTGATATATGCTGTGAGCATCACAGACTTAGGTGGAGCTAAAACCTCCCATGGGTCACTGAATCTCTTCCTAGGTTCTGATTTTGTACAGACATTCCTGTTTGCATTCCTCTTCTTTACCTTCCCAGGACCTATGTTGGGCTTTCAGGTATGTAAACAAGACATTGCCAAGCAACAGTCAATTTTTTTGTCTGTCAATTTCACTTCTGATGATAACCAATTGAAAAAGAAACTTATAATTTCAAAATCTTATCTTCCCCCTTATCAAATGGTTTCAAGAACGAGTAAATTAGATGAAAGTTGTACCTTGTAAGTTAAAAAACAATTATGAAGCACTTAAAAAACCCATTCCTGATAATAAACCTTTAAACTGATACTTGTACTTAGTGTTGATCATTAAAATAAAAAAAAAATATTGCCCAGTGATCACCTGCCCCGGTATCCTAAGTCTGGGTTTGTACATTGGTTCCCAGAGCTTATTGCTGGAAAAATACATGGATGATATCTTCAAAAATGGTGACCGAAGGAAAAAAATGTTGGAAATACAGGAGGTTCCTTTTTCTTTTTTTTTTTCTTTTTTTTTGAAAAGAGAAAAATCCTCATTTTACAAGTTTTCTCTGAAAATTAGAAACACTTGTCAGGTGTCAGCAAAACTTGGATTTTTAATAACATCTTTTGAACAACCAAAATTTGTGATGTAGTATTTAACCTATATTCTATCTCATTCCTCTAGTTAATAGCATTAATCCACTTTCAATGTCACAAAGCTCAGATGTATTTAATATTCAAAAACTTTAATATGTATAACTGAGAACCATATATAACATGCAAAGGTAAGGTGCCATTAGGTATGTTAATATAAACTTCATAGAGCTCAATAGGTGTTTTGTTATTTCTGGAAAAATATGATACATAAGGATTGAAATCTGACATGTAACTTAATGATCAGAAAGAAAGGGTAAAGTATGACCCTGACATACTGGCAGTATTAGAGGTGTCATTACCAGATGGTCCTTTTGCATCTAAATAATGACCCTGGCCTACATTTTGCCTATCATAAAAGTCCAAAAACCTTACATAGCTTCTCTAAAAGTTTGTATTATTTGGGAAAGTCTATATAGCATTTTGCCCATAGCTTGTTGGATAACACTATGTATCAGGTTGGTTTAAAAAGATGACCTTGACTAGGTAGAGATTACATAAGTAAAACAAGTAAACAATTTTCCAATTATTATTATAAGATGTTAATAGATTACATACCTGGTAATCCGGTCTGTATCTAGCTGGATTTATATAAACCTGGATTTTTTTCATCCACCTGCTTAAAACTTGACAATTTAGTGCCATTAGAAGGAGTACTTGGTCTTGAAATTGCAATCTATATTTAAATCCTCTGTTGTTATCATAATACACTACAGATGTACAAGGATTGCTAATGATCTTATTTCAGTGTAAAGAGAAACTACGAGGCCTCCATCTGTGCATCATCCGTATGTTTGCAGCATTCATTTTCAATTCTGCCATCATCTCGGGGAGGACTCCTAACTTCCCGTCCATAACAGACAAGGTCAACTTCCTTACTATCAGACTTATTGTAAGTATGACTTTCAGATAAACAACAACATATACTTGCAAATTTGGCATTTAAGACATTAATTAGCAGACATTGCGCGCACACTTTATATTCTTCAGAAGTGACTTGGATATATGGATGGCATGAACTTAACCATTTCTAGGAAAGGAATTTTGTGAAATAAGATATCAGGTTTTAGTCATGTCTGCATAGTGTTTAAACAAAAACAAATAATTGTACATAATTTTATATAATTTTCCTTAAATATTTTCTGATGAATGGTTATCCACCAGCCGCAGATTTTATAAATACTGAACAATTTGTATTCAAAATTGAATAATATGTACATGATTAATTAAGTAATATTAATTATTGTATTTAAAAGACATTTTAGAGTCTCTGACTGGAAGTGTTGAGGTCTGATCATTGACTCCAGACTTTTTATTTCACTGATGGTTTTTCTGTTGTTGCTAGGTGAATGCCTTCCTGGTGACAGCACAGCTGTATACTCAACTGACCACTGACTACTGGACACAGTGGCACATTTATTTTGGGATGGTTGGCATGTCTATTTGGTCCATCAATGCTGCCATTGGCTACTCAAGGGCCATCAATGCCATCAAACAAACCAAAACAGAATGATTTAGTGCTCATGTAGATGTAAATGTGCAATCAAAGGAAGTGTGATGTGGGAACCACTTGGCAGTACATTTCAGGAAATATTCTGTAAAGATCTCAGCATGTGTTGTGAAATTTTAACAGGCTGTCCAACAATTGGTGTTTGGTTTGAAATATTTTTGGGTGTTGTATGTGGTAGTATTTTGTCCATATTTTTTGCATTTAACGTGGACATGACTGTGTTAATAATTTTAGATTTTTTTTAGTCATTTGTTATTAATTACTTAAGATACTCAAACTTTCTAACCAAAAGTGCTGCTATCTGCAATTTATCTGTGGCCTTATTTACTTCTTGATGTCAATTCAACTAATCAATTATATGAAATTGTTTAAAGTAATATTTAAGGAAGAATAAGTGGGTTTTTTTCAATATTGTAAATTTTGTTAGATCAAGAAGTCTGAAATGTAATAGTTTAAGTTTTCTGGAAAAGTTCTAAGAATATTTTCTCACCTGTTTCATGCTCCAATACCAGTTGTCAAAAACTCATTTCACTTAAAATTATCTTCTGATGATAAAACCTATATAATGTTTGTCTGTATTTAATTACACACTATTCACAACACACTGTAGATAAGCACCCTTCAATGCTAGGAACTTGATTGTGATGATAATAAATTGTGACTTCAATAGATCTAGTCGGGATCATAACTCTCTTCATCTGAATTTCAATAACACTGTGTAAAGTAGTTCATCATGGAATGAATGTATTCTGGTTTTGTTTGATTGTGTGTTTTTGTGTGATATCTTTAGATCATTTAGTCATCATTGTGTACATTACCATTTAAACATTCATCCACAGTTTTGTTGCTCAAAATTATTAATCTTTTACTATGGTTTCCAGGAGATGACAAATGCAGATTATGAATATAAAATGTGGACATTCTTTATGCAATAGAATACCAAATTGTTATTAAAAAGCTTAAATTAGATTTTACATTTTGGTAATAATAGAGCATTATGTTCCAGCCTCGTCAATTACCTGAATATTTCTTAGAAGATTTAACTCCAAGTCAAATCTATTGCTGTTCAGAGCCACCTTAGTAGAAGGAAAATGTATATGTTGAAATGTTGAATATTGAATAACAATATTGTTTAAACTAAGTAACAATGTTACTACTAATACGCTTTTCCAAAGGATACAGCTTTAAAAGGAATGAGCATGATCAAAAGGCATCCTAAATTTTGTTGAAAGATAAATTGAAAATTATGTTCTGATGATATGTAGCACTGTGTACATGGTGGATATGTGTAGACTTGCATTAATATCTACAGTTATCATGTTATTTGTGGTCAAGTCAGAAAATAAAAGGTGATACCAGAGAAGAAATATAGTTGTTGTTACTTTATTTAGCTTTTAATGGATAAGTATGAAAGTAATGATCAATTAAGTACACCAACATAAGTCCAAAGTAAAATATACCATGGTGTTCTTATTGAAGATTTCAACATGGTCCATCAAAAGCTTAATCCAAACCACATACACCTATCAAAACCTGACAGCAAAGTGGGTTTACTAAGTGTGGGAAATTGATACAAGGATCTTGTTAAAACCTGTCTAATGTTAAATTACTGAAAAATAGAAAAAAAACGGGGCAAAGCCACAATTGGCCGGGTTGTGGGATGAGTGCAATGTTATATGGTATGTATAAGACAGTTAAGGGTGTTTCATATATTTAAAAAGCCTACAAAGTTTCGAAATTCTACATCAAAAACTCTAGGAGGAGTTAATTCTACAAAACTGGTACCCCTTTTCCCTGCCAAACTGCAGAAAATAACTAATTTCCAAAGCCGGGAAAATCCAGAAAAATGTCTGAAATGAATCTATATTAGAGGTGCACATCTTCAACATATATATAAACATCCTACAAAGTTTCAAGCTTCTACTTCAAAAACTCTAGGAGGAGTTGATTCTACAAAACTGGTACCCCTTTTCCCCACCCGCCCACCTGACATTCACCATACTATAACCTGGATTTGCACTATGTGCAATCCGGCCAAAAATGTGTTAACATCGATTTATTTTCAAAAAAAAAAAAAGAAGAGTTCTGCAAAATGTGGGAGAGTAGTGACACAATAAGTTTGATTCACTTTGATCAAGGAAGGGGCCATGCATTTTCAGATTTCAGCTCATTGGCTGACACAAAAATATATCATGTCAGGCCTTTAAGGAGTAGACATGTCTTTTGAAAACAAAGGATTCAAATTATCTGTAAGAATCTCTCTCAATTCCAGCCATCAGTTCATACATGGAATTTATCAATAACTAGTGGGAGTTATTCCCCTTCCCAAATGTCCATCATGTAATTAATACACTGTACTTGCATGTTTTTTTCTGCACAGAGTACTTCTGTTCATGTTATGTTTTTTTCTAATCTTTGTTCATAAAATAAATACAGAACAATGCTCAATAAATTTGAATTTATGAAACTTGCTACACATCATCTTAACAAAGGCTGTTTTTGCTAATCAGTTTGATTTAGGTTGTTATTCAGGTCAAAGAATTAACATATTTTGAATTTTGCATTTTGGCAAAGTGCAACTAAGCCTTTGAGGCCTGTCCTAATATTGACAGGTTTGGTACCAAATTCCCTTTATAAAGGCATTTTAAAGAAGAATGGAGATTTTTGTTTTAATAAGAAAATATTTGGCCACTCTGACCTTGGAAGTGGGCAATTTAACTATTAACTATACAGGTATGTATTTTATATACAAGAATTTCACATGAAGTGAATGAGTAAATTTACGTCCTTAGGTGTATATTTTTTTCTGAAAAGAATACTTTGTTTAAGTAAGTTTTAAAACATCTGGCCTCTGTGACAGGTGAAGCAATCAAGTTCATTCATCAGAATAAACTTGACAAGCTTGTTGTAAGACGGATGCCTCATCAATAATCAAAAAGTGTTTACAGAAGCGGTTCATGTAGGAAGAACAACAAGATCCTGGAACTTTCGTGCCAACAAATTTATTATTAACATCGAAAGCTGACATTCTAAATTTTGAATGAATCTGGATAATTTTGTGCTAATATTGTATACTGAAGCATTCATGGCAATAATATATATCAAGACAGTATATAGATACACAATTTGTGAATACAAGTACACATTACACATCCAGTACATATGTAGATAGATATAATCTGTGAATACATATTACACATCCAGTACACATGTGGACTGATAATCTGTGTACATTGTATACATATTACACATCCAGTACATATGTGGACTGATAATCTGTGTACATTGTATACATATTACACATCCAGTACATATGTGGACTGATAATCTGTGTACATTGTATACATATTACACATCCAGTATACATACACATCAATACATATGATATAACATCAATACATATGTGGACTGATAATCTGTGTACATTGTATACATATTACACATCCAGTACATATGTGGACTGATAATCTGTGTACATTGTATACATATTACACATCCAGTACATATGTGGACTGATAATCTGTGTACATTGTATACATATTACACATCCAGTACATATGTAGATAGATATAATCTGTGAATACATATTACACATCCAGTACACATGTGGACTGATAATCTGTGTACATTGTATACATATTACACATCCAGTACATATGTGGACTGATAATCTGTGTACATTGTATACATATTACAAATGTGGACTGATAATCTGTATACATTGTATACATGTTACACATACAGTACACATGTGGACTGTTAATCTGTGTACATTGTATACATATTACACATCAATACATATGTGGACTGATAATCTGTGTACATTGTATACATATTACACATCCAGTACACATGTGGACTGTTAATCTGTGTACATTGTATACATATTACACATCAATACATATGTGGACTGATAATCTGTGTACATTGTATACATATTACATGATAATCTGTATACATTGTATACATGTTACAAATACAGTACACATGTGGACTGTTAATCTGTGTACATTGTATACATGTTACACATCCAGTACACATGTGGACTGATAATCTGTGTACATTGTATACATGTTACACATCCAGTACAAATGTGGACTGATAATCTGTGTACATTGTATACATATTACACATCCAGTACACATGTGGACTGATAATCTGTGTACATTGTATACATATTACACATCCAGTACACATGTGGACTGATAATCTGTGTACATTGTATACATATTACACATCCAGTACACATGTGGACTGATAATCTGTGTACATTGTATACATGTTACACATCCAGTACATATGTGGACTGATAATCTGTGTACATTGTATACATGTTACAAATGTGGACTGATAATCTGTATACATTGTATACATGTTATACATACAGTACACATGTGGACTGTTAATCTGTGTACATTGTATACATATTACACATCAATATATATGTGGACTGATAATGTCTGTTTGCATATTACTCATCCAATACAACATGTTTATACATAATCTGTGTATATACCGACATAACACTGAATAATTCACGGTTACTTCACTGGAGACAAAAGATGATTTTATGAAGTTTCAATGAGGTCAGTTGTTTCGCTGGTTAATATATAAAATTGTGTCACAAAGTCAGTCTTCTTGATTTGATATTTTGCAAAATGAATATGAAACAAAGGTCATTATTTGGTTCATTGCTCCACTAGGATTCAGACCCGAGACCTCTGTCCTACTAGTCTTATGTTCAACTATAGAAAAATGAAAATCATCGGACCAAGTTTAAGGGAAGATCTCCCTAGCTGAACGGAGTATTGCAGGTTGTATTCACCAGGGTTACATGTACCATACATGTATAATCTCAAACATGTTCCCATTTCCATAGTACTAACACTGCCTTTGATCTCTAGATACTGAAACTACCTTTGATCTCTAAATACTAACGCTACCTTCTTTCTCTAAATACTGACACTATCTTCTTTCTCTAAATACTGACACTACCTTCTATCTCTAAATACTGACACTACCTTCTATCTCTAAATACTAACACTACCTTCTATCTCTAAATACTGACACTACCTTCTTTCTCTAAATACTGACACTACCTTCTATCTCTAAATACTGACGCTACTTTCTATCTCTAAGTACTGACGGTACCTTCTGTCGCTAAATACTGACACTACCTTCTATCTCTAAATACTGACACTACCTTCTATCTCTAAATACTGACACTATCTTCTATCTCTAAATACTGATGGTACCTTCTATCTCTAAATACTGACACTACCTTTTTTAATGGGAAGATGTTTCAGATCATGTAGGGGATACATATTGCTGGTATTTTTTTGCCTTTATAATGTATCTATATTTCATTATATTTCATTATTGCCATTGACATACATACCAGTCGGCAAATGCATTTTACAGACCGAATTTACTTGTTATAATGAACACATTGGCAAAATAATTATGAAATCATTAAAAAAAAAATTGAGATATCATTGTCGAGATCATAAATCTTAATTATCAGAGGTAATTTGTTATATATACAAAGAATTAAAAATCAATTACTTTCTCACATCAGTGAAACATTTCCTCCTCCTACCCTTCTACCAACCTATTAACAATACAATAGCAACTATTAAGATGTAAAATCATGAAATATTTCAGCACTTTCAGAATTTACACATTGTACAATAGATGCTTGAGCCATAATTGAATAAAAACAGAAATCATGTAGAATTACAGGTATCAATATAAAACAGACTTACTACTGGAATGGCAGTTGTAACAGATATCTCCCTGGCTCTATATCTACAGTTGATTGTACAAGAGAAACACAAACATCACCAATTAAATTTATTCATGTAGAGCCAAACAGTGAATTAAACTGCAGTGTAATCCTGTTACAAGTGATCCTGGTAAGAATAACAATCACTGGAAACCTATGAATATCCTGTCTGCATATAGTATCTAATGGTTAATTATTTCTTTGTAATGTGGAAAGATAACAATTCTGTATAAACTGGGCACAGAGAATAATACTGTTACTCAGAGACTGGTGATGTGTTGTACAAAGGGGTGAAGGGCACATCCTTGGAAGGCTGTAACCTGCAAAGTAAAACACTAAACAGTCAACACATTATATCTACAGACAACACAATGTATCTACAGACAACACAATGTATATACAGACAACACAATGTATCTACAGACAACACAATGTATTTACAGACAACACAATGTATCCAAAGTCAACACAATGTATCTACAGACAACACAATGTATCTACAGTCAACACAATGTATCTACAGTCAACACAATGCATCTACAGACAACACAATGTGTCTACAGTCAACACAATGTATCTAAAGACAACACAATGTATCTACAGACAAGACAATGTATCTACAGACAACACAATGTGTCTACAGTCAACACAATGTATCTACAGACAACACAATGTGTCTACAGTCAACACAATGTATCAAAAGTCTACACAATGTATCTACAGACAACACAATGTATCTACAGGCAACACAATGTATATACAGTCAACACAATGTATCAAAAGTCAACACAATGTATCTACAGACAACACAATGTATCTACAGTCAACACAATGTATCTACAGTCAACACAATGCATCTACAGACAACACAATGTGTCTACAGTCAACACAATGTATCAAAAGTCTACACAATGTATCTACAGACAACACAATGTATCTACAGACAACACAATGTGTCTACAGTCAACACAATGTATCTAAAGACAACACAATGTATCTAAAGTCAACACAATGTATCTACAGACAACACAAGGTATCTACAGTCAATACAATGTTTCTACAGTCAACACAATGTATCAAAAGTATCTAACACACATGTATCTACAGACAACACAATGTATCTACAGACAACACAATGTATCTACAGACAACACAAGGTCAAAAGTCAACACAATGTATCTACACGACACAATGACAACACAATTTATCTATCAACACAATGTATCAAAAGTCAACACAAGGTATCACAGTCAACAACACAACAACACAATGTATATACAGTCAACACAATGTATCAAAAGTCAACACAATGTATCTACAGACAACACAATGTATATACAGTCAACACAATGTATCTACAGACGACACAATGTATCTTCAGTCAACACAATGTATCTACAGTCAACACAATGTATCAAAAGTCAACACAAGGTATCTACAGTCAATACAATGTTTCTACAGTCAACACAATGTATCTACAGACAACACATTGTATCTACAGTCAACACAATGTATCTAAAGACAACACAATGTATCTAAAGACAACACAATGTATCTACAGACAACACAAGGTATCAAAAGTCAACACAATGTATCTACAGACAACACAATGTATCTACAGACAACACAATGTATCTACAGTCAACACAATGTGTCTACAGACAACACAATGTATCTACAGACAACACAATGTATCTTCAGTCAACACAATGTATCTACAGTCAACACAATGTATCTACAGACAACACAATGTATCTACAGTCAACACAATGTATCTACAGTCAACACAATGTATCTAAAGACAAACTATGAATGAGCTTTAAAATGTAAAATGTGAAGGATAGATTATTGTACATGAGAATGTAATACCATGGTGCAGTTTTACTAGTAAACCTAAGACAATACTATGGAAAAAAACATGGTATTCAATTTAATTTTCAAGACTGTTCAAGACATTATTATTTTCATATTTTGTTGGCCTTTGACCCTACTTACCAGTTGTCTTTGCTGTACACTGTGTTATTCTGGTCATACATGTGGAAGGTGTAGATATGCCGAGACTTTTTGGATATGTTGTGTTCACTCTTGTGTATCACTTCTCCATTGATAATCACTAAGCCCCCTGTCAGTTTAACAAAAAAGTAAATACCAGCCTTTCTCAAGCAAATGATGTGGCCAAACTTCCTATCAACAGCTTAATGGTTACTTCAACTTTATATAACAAATGAAATGTTGAAGTTCAGATGCATATACATATTCTTTATTCTGGCTAAGAGCTGTGAATTCTTGAACAAATCCACTAACGATATGCACTGAATGTCACAAGATGCTATGAATCCTGTCACATGATACATATAGGACTGTCACTGCAGCACTCTTGTTTGTCTTGTCTCCTCTGCTTTGAAATGAGCTTTGCAAGTGATTCTGTACAATTACAGGCTTAGCTATATATATAAGTCTTTGGTCAAATGGTTCACTTAAAGGCAACTTTTGTGGCAGATTTCTGCTTTACTTCTGGAGTGTTTTCACACCTGTCCTCATAGCTTGGTATTATAAATGCAAAAGTGAAACAAAACCTCAAGAACCAAGGATAATATAAAGCATGTTTACAAAGTAATGACTTACCTTTTTTGACAGGTACAGGTATGTAGTCACAGTAGTCATACTTGGGAGCATCACAAGTAAAAATTGTAGTAGGTTCTCCCTCCTCACCCATTTTTGGGTTACGGATCATTCTTCTGTTGGCATATAAACCAGCTGACAACAATTATAAAAATTGTGTTATACATAATCAGTTTCATTTCTTTGACATAAATCATTACAAAAATTACTTCACTATATACTATACTGACTCAGAAATTACTTCTCTTTATTTTACGAAGAAAAAGAGATCCAACGTCCAAGAGGTAAGGCTGGTAAGTCTGGTATCACTCCACAGCGGATTCCCAGAGGGAATACCGAGTCCGGTACCAAAGGATAGGTTTACTTGCATTATGACGTCACCAATTAATTACGTCATTGTAACTAATGTACTCTCTTTGACATTGGTGGAAATAACATGTGTAGTTGCTAGGCACAGGAGTATATAAAGTCCTGCTTTTTGAATTTGCACTGTTCTGAGGACGGCATACCTAGTGTGTCGAAACTAGTCAACTAATAAAGTTACAGAAGATCTCCATTGGCGTTGTCTGGTCCTGCTTACCGTTTTTTTATTCTCTTTATTTTGTCATGACACAAAAATTACTTCTCTATACCCTATACTGACACAGACATTACTTCTCTATGCCCTATACTGACACAGACATTACTTCTCTATATCCCATACTGACACAGACATTACTTCTCTATATCCCATACTGACACAGACATTACTTCTCTATATCCCATACTGACACAGAAATTAATTCTCTTTATCTTATCCTAACATGAATTCATAGGTCATATTTCAACAATTGACTGCATGCAAAAAAACTATGAACAATTATAAATAACATAAATGATTGTGAAACAAATAATAGGGTCACAAAAAATCGCAAAATTTTGAAATGTCTAAAAGGTACTGCAAGAGAATGTTTTTTTATAGCCGACCTTCAGGTTTTGGCAGAGATCCATAAATCATTTAATGTAAGTGTTGCTGTATTTATCCACCAATAATCTATTTCATCATCTTGCAATAAGATTATTCCCTACTATGAATCAAACGTTATGTCCTGACCCTTGTGTTTATTACATGCAGATACAAGGCCACCCTCCAGGCTATTGGAAATATATTTTATATTTTAAACAAAGAGATGCAGGATCTAGATTCATACAAAGTGTAAGATATGACTTAGAACTCATTACAGATATCCATGACCTTCACTTGAAGATATGACCTTGGTTCAAAGTAGGAACACATCCAAGGAATAAAGCCATGATGTATACTCAAGAACTGTAACTAAAAAGATATATGAACCCAAACACAACATTGCCAATTAACAACATAGTCAGAAAACCTACGTTTTTGTGAGCCTGGTTGAAACCAAAGGCAGCCATTTTCTGTGGTGGCATCTTCTAGTGCTATCCAGATACCAAACAGTCGCATAGGGTCTGTATAAAGAAATGTCTGGTCTTGGTGGGGCACCACTGACAAGGAAACAAAATACAAAAGTTGCTGCATTCAAAACAAAACTGTGCTGGTCTCTATGTCCTCCTTCTTTCTTTTCATTTTTTGTCTGAATTTCTTTATGAAAATGTCACTTCAATAATTAATCACAGTCAAAGTTGAATAAGGAAGCTTCATGAATATTCTCAGCAGCAAACACAATATTATTGTAAAATATAAAACTGCTGACTATTCAGTTTCATACAAAAACATAAAAAAAAGTTGGTTTTTTTTTTTAAATGGAACAGGAAATTTCAAACAAACATTCATCTACTTTCAGTTTCTCTTTTCACACTGATTAGTTCTACAATTATTGATATAACTGGATAATCAAATGACCTTACCTTCTCCTCCAATGCCAGGTTGCTGAAAACAAATTAAGTCATACAAAAACCACAACATTTATTTAACAGTGGAAAATATAAGTATTTAAGCATTAAAGTTATTTGGCATTTACATACATCATCCTAAATTAGATACACATTAACTTATCATAATAAAAACAAATTGGTATCAGTATTGTTTAATGTTATAATAATCAATGACATAATTCTGACAGATCAACTTTGTTTAATGTTACAGTAATTTGTAATATTGTTCTGACAGTCAAAGTGAATCAGGTTGTCATAGAAACATGTACATTATGTTATGTACTGAGGAAACTGTCTATTCTGACATAGAAACATGTACACTATGTTATGTACTGAGGAAACTGTCTATTCTGACATAGAAACATGTACAATATGTTATGTACTGAGGAAACTGTCTATTCTGACATAGAAACATGTACACTATGTTATGTACTGAGGAAACTGTCTATTCTGACATAGAAACATGTACACTATGTTATGTACTGAGGAAACTGTCTATTCTGACATAGAAACATGTACACTATGTTTGTGTCTATTCTGACATAGAAACATGTACACTATCTTATGTACTGAGGAAACTGTCTGTTATGACATAGAAACATGTACACTATGTTATGTGCTGAGGAAACTACTTATTCTGGCAGAGAAACACTGATATGTCAACAGTATCTTAATTAAAACACAAATTCCATGAAACAAGGACAAAATATAAATGAAAAACAAAAAAAAAACAAAACACAAAACTTAAACAGAGACCCCTTAACAAGTACAAGGAGAATAAGACCAGGTCTTGTAAATTTTGCTCAATCCAAGTGACAAATAATTTCACATTCCCAAATAATAACAAGGTAAACAAAAACAGAACCACACGGTACCCTAACAAGAGGCAAAAGGGCCTTAACGGTCTCCTGAGTAACAATGCAGTTGTTTTTCTTAATCATGTTACTAAAGTAAAATTACTGTACATATTCTGTAAATGTAAACTGGGCATAACATTAACTGTCATCCCATACTAAAGCTTTAGCTACCTTTGAATTAAAAGAAATAAGCCAAAAATGTAATTTTCTGTATAAACTCTTCTATCCATGAACAGTAATTAATAGATATCTGGGTATTGATAAGATCTTTGAAATTTCAATCAGTCTGACCTCTTTTGGTGCTGCCCAGCTGCCCCTGGGGGCCATCCAAGGTCACAATGTGCATATCATCAAATTGTAACAATTCTAAGTGTAAACTATTTCCAATTGAAAATGAAAATATTATGTTCAAAAATGTTATTTTTCCTATATAAACTACAGTAAACTTTACCCCTTCCCCAGACTTTGTATCAAGTGACTTAAAACCATCAAACACATCCAACTTCATATTGCACAGGAAAACAGAATATTTCCCAATGAGAGCATTGTGACAACTATACAACTTCCTCATAATCTTCATCAACCTGCCTCTCTCAAAACTGTGAGTTTAGAGTTAATCTGTTAGCTGTTGACATCTTGCATGGAAATCATGATATTGGGAACAAGCCTTTGAATATCATATCAACTGTGACATTTGATCACCATAGGTTTCGGGTAAAAAGTATGCTGCTCTCAAGAAATGAAAAATTCACAACAGGGAAATTAAAATCAGCATACTTATCATAAAACTTCATGGAAAGCTGTCCCTGTTGATTTTATTTGTAGGACGTGATTGAGATGGTAAATATGAGGCTACCATGGGCTCACATATTTATATACCACCTACCCTCTCAGCTTTTGCTTCTGACCTAAATCTATCAATTCATGAGATATCTTGTAGGCAAAGTTTGTATTTGAGAAATGGTCAACAATGACTTTTGCCTTTAACCTTGACCATTGACCACCAAAGTCTAATCAGGAGTAGAGTGTAGATCATCATGGAATGGTGTATGGTTAAATATTAATTAAAACTGTTCAAGAGAGTATGAGATATCTTGTACACAAGCCTTTTATTTCAAAATAGGACAAGGGTGACCTTTGGCCTTTAACCTTGACCACTGACCACTAAAATCTAATCAGGAGTAGAGTGTAGATCATCATGGACTAATGTATGGTTAAAAATTAACTAAAACTGTTCAAGGGTATATGAGATATCTTGTACACAAGCCTTTTATTTCAAAATAGGACAAGGGTGACCTTTGGCCTTTAACCTTGACCACTGACCACTAAAATCTAATCAAGTGTAGACCTTGGTGGTTGAAGCTATGATGTGAAAATGACATAAAACTATCAAGGCGTTCATGAGATATCTTGTAGACATTAAGCTTTTTATTACAAAAGCAGTCAAAAGTGACAATTGACCTTTAACCTAACCTGACGACCACCAAAATCTCGAGTATCAACCTAGGTTAGGGTGATTTTATGCTGTGAATATGAATTAAATCTGTCCAGATGTTCCTGTGATATCTGGTACACATGCTTTTTATTTCTAAAGTGATTAAGGGTGACTTTTAACCTTAATAAAATCTTATATGATGTAAACATCTTAGTGGGGTGATGATATTGACTTCTGTGAGGTTTTTGAATTCAATATAAATGAAAGAGATAGAATCCTAACCATTCATTGATAATCTGAATGGGTGTTATACTGTAGCATGATTAACAAGTATAACTTCTTCCATTGAAAGGTTAGAAAATGTATAGGTTTCCTTCATAATCAAACAGACCTAGGCCTTTGTGTAAGATACTAACATTTTATACATATTTTCCATCAGAATCATGTCATGGCATGTCATGATTATGGAGTTGTAAGATAAGAAAACATGAATGTAAATAGCTCACCTTGAAAATGTACATACTCTGGCAAACGACAGGGTCCACCAGTCCAATATCTCGTGCAATCGACTTTATTCCTTCACTGAATGTCACCTTTCTAAAGGCAGGATTAAGTACATGGAGAGCTGAAAATTAACCCAATCAAATTCAAAGTGACAAAGAATATGTCGTGTAAACCTTATCCATAATATCATGTGATACAGGCAGATTTAACAAATGTAATAATTACTAGCAGTGTTTAAGCCACATCTTGATCTAATCTGCAGTCAGATGCATAGTGGGTGAGATGAACCAGAGACATAGAGGGTCAGTCAAGTTTATAGTGGGCGAGATGAACCCAAGACATACAGGGTTATTAAAATTTATATTGGGCCAGGTAAAGCCAAGACCTGAAGGGTCAGTTAGATATATAGTGGGTGAGGCAAAGAACAGACATTAGAGGGTAAATCAGATTTATAGTGGGCAAGATGAACCCAAGATATATAGGATTAGTCAAATTTATATTGCGCCAGGTGAAGCAAAGACTTGAAGGTTCAGTCCAGAGACCCGCTATTAATTTAGCAACTCTGACTGTCATAATAATGTCTTCAGCTGATAAGGAGGACATGAGTTTATACTACATGTAGCATGTTGTAGGATTTGGAATGACTACTAAAACAGATGGAGAATTACTTCTCACACATTCATAAAGACAGTTTACACCTGTAATCCACAATACATACACAGCATGAGACCTGCCAAAATGATTATACATTTTTTTTTTCAATTAAGATATACATTTTAAGACAATAACTATTTTAAACTGATGAAAATATGCTCACCAATCAGAAATTTTCACACAAACTTATAGATTGTCAGTTTCAACAAAATTAAGAATACCAGAAAAAAATATTCTTGAGATAGTATATTTAAAGACAAAATTGCAAAACTTTCATCCAAAGTGGATGTTAGAGTAATAAATTGCAAGGATCTTGACATTTGACAGATGTCTTTGATATTAACATTTGGGAATAAGTAACATTTATACCAAGAAACCCATGAAGCTACATGCAATTTCAGGATAAAGTGATTTTAGTTTATAACTTACCATGGCCAATTTTGTTCAGAGACAATTGCTTGTCCACTTTCAGTTGTCCTGAAAAAAAAGTCACATATATGTTGACCATCACAATACAATAGTCTGTAACAATGACATTGAGCATAGCACAGTTTATATAACACATGCCTCCTAAACATTCACTTGTTAAAATAACATCCATCTGCTGTATGAAGTTTCACCAAAAATATCTGTCCTCTTTCAAACCTCATTACATGTACTTACTGTACGTAAGTTGACAATTCTCTGTAGCTTGATAATGACACTGTAGATTGATGGTGCACGCAGAATCATCCTGATTCAGTGATAAAAAACCTATACCTCGCACCCCTTCACTCATTAACATTTGGAAATAAGATGTGAGATTTTTATGCAACTCTAGTTATAGCTTAAGAAATATTGAGCCAGACAGAAGTCATTGTCCAGATTGGCATATCGATACATGTAGTTTAGACCTAATATTTTGACTTATAAGGATTATTAGGATTTATGTGTTATCAGGATTTCAAAAGTTTGAAAACATTCAAAACTTCAAGTACACATTTTATATCACTAGACTATATACCTTTCTCATCTCTTGCTCCATCCTCAAAGAAAAACCTTATTTTGTCTCCACTATTCAGGAAATAGTCATCGCTAGTCTGAAAGTATATTGCAAAAAACATAGTCACCACAGCAGATCACAGGTATAAAAATATCAAAACTTCATAGTACTTTAACATTGAGATGTTACGTTAAGAGGACCACTAATTAAACTATTGGGGAGAACTACTACTAGGTGACTTGCTATTAGAGAGGACTATTAACTTTCATTGATGAATCATGCAGATTTGGAACATATTTTAGGGTGTTCACAGGAATTTTTAGTCAGTTAAATCTAAACTTCTTGTTTAAAAAATGATTTGACAAGATGAACTTAGTGTGGGATAAAGAAAACACTGACCCTCTTCATCTCCAATGTGGTGAAGACTGTATTGTGCTCTTCAGGTTTCATGTCTTCAACCAATGTGTGGCAGGCCTGTCTCAGGCTGTCAGCATCCTCTGCTGTCAGGAAATCCTCCACCAATAGGAAACCATCATCCTCAAACTGTGGATGCAATGATACACAATCCAGTGGGAAATTTAGTTTCACAAAGATGACATTAAGTATGCAAACTTGTGCACATGTACCTTGATATTTGATGTGAATGAATGAAGTTAACAACATACTAGAGGTGTTTCATTTGATAAAACATATAACCTCATCTTAATATAGATAATGATATATCAGGGTCTTCGGTGATGGAACTTGCAATCACTTCTTGAATTATGCCAAAGAAAGAAAGAATTCTTTAACTTTTCTAATTAGGAATTAGATCAACATCTTCACAAGCCCATGGTTCATCATTTATGCACTCATTTAAAGGATTATATACAAGATTAACTTTTGGTTAGCTAGATGGGAATTAGAATGGTTTTCCTTAGTTTCAGAGAAGAACTGCAAGAATATTCTTGACTGTCTAACTGGAGGCTTCATTTGCCAAACATTTGGCATGACAGATGCTCCTCAAATGGTGTTTTGGCCATTTTCTATTTACATCTGCCTGTTAATCCCATCTCCTACAACACACTGAAGATTGTTTTGATATTGATGGTGTGTGCAATAAATAAGGGGTGATGGAAGAATGATTTTAAGCAGATGCTACGATGTTGGTTTTTAAGCCTTTAAGAATGTCAGGTGTGACAAGATTAGCTAGATCTGTTGAAAGTTTGTTCCATTCTGGGATACTCCAAGGGAAGGAGTTTTTGTTGGCAGTCAGTTCCGTAGTTTGATAGGAGAAAAGGTGTTAGAGTCTGGTCTGATGGACCTATGGTTTTAGATAAAGGTTTTTAAATACAGCCTTTGCGAGAAAATAAGAAGTAAACTGGCATCATTGCATCTATCAGATCGGCTTTGCCAATTCAGATCTTCTAGCATATGTCACAAGGAAGCATAAAAGACTTAAATGTATAAGCTTGTTCTTTATTTAATTTTTTAATTTATTTTAAGACTAAAAAACTTTTTAGTTTTGTTATGTTACAAAAATATTTAACAAAGCTAACAAGTTTTTGAACTTTATGCGGCGAAATCTTAAAATAGATTCAAAAACAATTTTTAAAATGACACTGAATAATTTCTGCCCCTGGTGAGCATGGAATTCCTTTGAAATAAGATATAAGAACTACGTCCCTTGGACCATCGCACATCATCAAGAACGTGATGTTGATAAATCGATTGACTGATGAACAAATTAAAGTAAAAGTCAATAATCAACATATCATTGATTCTTGAGAAAGGACACAACATGATTCTGTAAAAACAAAATTACCTTCAGCACCTGTTCTTTAGTTAGCATCGTGCGACTCGAAGGGGTGCAGAAGGGGCACGACAGTACAATTCTGATAACAAGTGTATTCCGAATAAAAGTTAAATTAATAAGTTAAGGCTACGTGTCCATGTAAAAAAAATCTTTATAACATAACAACATGGCCATATTTGAAATATCTATTAAACTTCACAATGAAAGTTAATAGGATAAGTAACCTCAATTTGTATTCTTTATACAACTAATCTGGAACGTATAGCTGATTTGACAGGCATAAAATCTTTCAGTAAAAAGTTGGTTAAGGTTCTTGGACTTATTCGGAGTTCAGTTTCTAATAAAACAAACATCTGAGTATTATTTAGAAATCCGTTTTTTATTTTTTTTAATTCTGTTAGTTTTTTATGCTGACCATTTGTTTTTCATAACATGATTCATTTCAGTTGACGCATCCTTAACTTGTTTTTTTCTTTTCGGAACACCTCTTACGTTTTCTGACTTAGCACTTCTGCAGTATTTTGGCACAGATAGAGGGTTGTTGAATTGAAGAAATCAGATGTTTATTTACATCAGGTAATATATATAGTTTATACTTCTAATTTCTTCTCAGATAAGGCCAACATATCAATCAAAGGAAGGCAAATGATATAGTTGGCAGGCAGAATCGAATATACAGTATAGTCTGTAGATTATGTGTGTTATTTTTCTACACAAAATATCAATGTCGGATATATCTTATAGGTGTCTTGATATATGACATTTGTTTTGCTTCTTCCTGCAATATTTGCAGGATTATAACTGTTACTACACATGTAAACTATCCTATCTATATGGTTACTCCAAACACATGGGAGTGAAACAATGTAAGTAAGGGATAACAATGAGAACACGGGTACTTGTGGCCTTAATTTCAATAGCACTTAAAAATAACAAACAACACAACATCATTAGTTTTGTAAGGCTTTTGTATGGTTTGCTGTTTTTTTTAGTGATATTGAAATTGAGTCCACAAATACCTGTGAGTAAAAGTACTCTGTAAGAAAAATATATGTGTATTGTGTCATAAAGTATTTTTCTTATTTATTCTTTCCTCATACCGTACATAAATCGCTGTTTTTTGGTTTTTTTTTTTTAAATCACAGTTTATAACCTACATGATTTGGTTAGTTATTGGGAATATGAATTTTACATTAGTTGCTTAAATAAACACACAGATGTTATGACTTACTGGTATACAAATGTGTACAAAGTTCAGAGGAGCTAAAATACTCTGTTATGGAAGGATGCATTGAAGTTCCAGTGTTAAATGACATGTAAAAGAATATAATGTTCCCGAACTGTTCAGCTCAACATAGGCCTATAGAGAAAAAATGGAGGCCTATAGAATTCTTGTTAGACCATATTTATAATATGCTTGCTCTTTTTGGGACCCGCACATAAATTTGACACCAACAAGATGGAAATTATGCAATTTGGAGCAGGCATGTTTGTCACAAGGTGAAACACATCTAGAATAGGTGATCCAGCATCTGAACTGGCGATATCTTGAAAACAGAAGAAAAGACATGGGAATAACAACCTTGTTCAAAATCATACACAACAATGCATACCGTATTCTATGATATACCGTATCAAAACATCCCTGTTAACACTTTACACATTGATTTACTGTCATGAAGAAATTCTGGAGACTCTGTAACATGCCTTAGTCATCTCAGTCACCTGAGTATAGTAGACCTAGTTTCCTGTGTCCTTCAACACCACATTTTGTGTTAGACACTTATTAATGTTATATCCCCTTCAACTTTGCCTGATGTTCTGATAGTATATGGTTAGTTATACAATGCATCTCTGTTTGATATACACACCGTTTATCCAAGTTTTTATGCTGGGAAAATTACTATTAATATACAGAGAAATATTAATCAAGGGCTTTTATTTTACCCAACCAATTGAAAAATGGGCAAAGTGGTGAAAGTATTAAAACTGCCACAAAATTTTCACGTACAGATTAGAGAACAGTAATTTAACCACTTTGTTTCACAATAAAACATTTGTCTGATGTCCAAGCAGTATAAACTAAAACAGATTGAAAACTTTTGTTTGTTTGAACAGTGATCGGATGGATACATCTTGGGTCAATGGATTGGTTTAGAACCAAGTGTCAAAGGGAATGATTAGTTGGAGTTGTAAAGGGATCAATATGACCTGCCGGAAGTGTTCATGTGGAGTTGGTCTTTTTGTTAGGACATTTCACACATTGATTTGTCTTGCTGTACCTGCAACTCTGCTTTTCAAGAAAACAGGTACCAGTACTGTATATATTGTATGTCAATGACACTTTTTTAAATTGCTATCTGTCATATATTTGATAATAGGTCTTTAGATAACTGGATACAGTCCTATGAAAATCCTATCAAGGTCACATGAAAATGGGATAAAGATCTAGAGCCATAACAATTTAGTATGTTACAAAGAAACAAACAACATCAAATGTTTCTCAATTAAATAGAATTTCCCTCCTTCAAAGTGCTAGTAATGTAGATGCTCAAGACTAATAAGTAATCCAAATATTGAAAAATACAGTGATTCAGTCTGGGGAGGGATTTTGCTGACCCACTATATGGTATAAGATATATAGTTATGCTTACCTGGTCTTTCTGACCTTGTGTTTTCTGTTCAGCTCTACAACATGCACTGCTGGAGTTTGCTGACCCCCTGTATGGTATAAGTTATGTGGTACTGCTGGTGTTCTCTCTCATCATGTACTTCACTGCCTGTCTCATGGACCCAGGATATGTTCCTGTCACAATATACAAGGTAATAATAGTCCTTGTCAACAGTTAGTTATATAGCTCCAAAGCAATGTTGAAGATAGGAGTCTAAGTAAGTCTAAATTCTTAGATAACATTTTATGAAACATTTTCTCAAGCATTGTATCTAGATATTTATCAGCTACTGACGGTGTCACATTATATCTGTTGTAAAGAAATTGTTGGTTATTATTTTATAACTGCCCATAGGACAACAAGAAAATAAAGAAATAGATGAGAAGTATCAGAAGTCCGATAATATAAGAAATAAGTAAATATAAGCAACAAAGCACATCATGGAATTTGCCTTCATTCAGTTGGCATTCATAGGCCCATGAATACAAACTGAAAGCAGTTCAATGCCTAAGTAGCACTCACATGCTGAAGACTTTGATGAAGTTATATGTTCATTTGAATTTTGTTCTATGTGTACATAATGTGAAAAATATCAAAAAAGAAGGAAGCTTGAAAAAACCTTGATCTTAACATTATCATAATGTGCCAGATAATATACATTTCAAAACAAAAAGTTGGTATGGATGAAAGAAAATAAGTTTGATAAGTCTTAAGTTTGATCTAACTCCTTGGAAATTGCATAGTAAATGGCAAAAGGTTTTCAATTCAAGGTCATTGTAACTTGACATTTCTGAGAATGTGTTCTGCCTACAAAACTCTCAATATCACAGGTTTAATCAAAATGGTCTTGGGTGGAAGCTACAGTGTCTGTGCATTAACATTTAGTGGAGTGGCACTCTGGCCCCAGTTATCAAAGGCTGGTAGGAGATAAACAATGGATAGTGATTATTTTTTTTTCAAACATGAATTAAAACAAAACCGGGAGCAGTATCTATGACTTGACAGATTGGTTGAGACAGGTCTGATTGATCTACTCTGAGTGTTAGTTTTGCCTTCAACATTCTTGTATTTTCAGTTGCAACAATTTGATTTTTTCACTAACCAATTACTCTAACTAATCTTTGAGAAACTGGGGCCTGGAAGACAGCAGGGATTCGAACTGATCACCTATTGTGAAAACCTGATATGCATTGTACATGAATTGATTTGAAATCTGAAGTGCTAAATCCAATTTGAATTTTTAAGGATAAATTGACACATGCAACATGAATAAAAGTATATATATCAAAGAGAATCTTAGATTATTAGAATTACATTAGAAATGTATATTGATGTACATGAAAATCGTTAGGTGAAAGAGTTTTACTTATGAAAGCAATCAACACAATGTACAGTTATTGATATGAAGATACTGACTTTAACTTTCTGCTGTTTGGTAGTATATAAATGGTTTACTATAACATACAGGGTTAAAAAAATGTTTCTGATTAATATTATTTTCATAATTGCCTGGATGACTTGTAGAAATCAGGTGTGACACGTCCCCCTAAAGATGACAGCGATGAGGACGTTGACCCAGAGACCGAAGATCATACTCCTATGTTACGGACAGCTACAGGAGAGATTGACACTGAAAAGCTGTACAGATACTGTGATTATTGTGAAATTGAGGTAAAAAAAAAAAGGAATGAAAAAAAGTCACCTTCAATTTCATTGTCTTCACTTTGTCAAAAGGAAAATAAACAGCTTTGAATCTTTTTCTTATGGGATTTACAAAATCCCAGTTTTCATATTTGGTAGAACTGATACATTTTTCTAACTGAATAATACTACTATTACACCAAAAGCACCAGAGTTGATTGTGTTGATTGTTGTGATTGTATTTGTAGCAACCAATGAGAAGCAAACACTGTGAGGATTGTAACAAGTGTGTGAGAAAGTATGACCACCATTGTCCCTGGCTGGAAACGTGTGTTGGGGAGAGGAACCATCGTTTCTTCTGGCTCTTTCTTCTCTCCACCTCAGTCCTGATCATCTGGACGTTTATCATCACCTGGTCAGTAGGCCGTACTTGTCTTATTATGATCAGTGTCCTTACACTGGTGTACATGCCCTTCAGTATATTGGATCTTTAGTCCTCCTATCCTTTTACACTGATAATATTGTAAGACCACTTATAACACATGTTCATGTATTTACACTGTTACCAGTTTGCAAAAAACTAATACACATACCTCCCATACTATTACAGATGAGAAAACTGATGACTTTTACAATATGAAGATATCACTTTCATTACTAGCTATTACTCAAATTCCACATTCTTTCTGTTTAGGTGTAGATAAAATTAAAAGAAGAGGTTGTTTAGTTACATCATTGTAGTATGATACAACATAGTATTTACCAGAGAACAGTAGAAAAATTACACGAAGTAGCCAATTTGAAATGATACCTAGCTTTGTTTTCAGTCTATTGGTATTATGCCATGGTAAATGCATGGTACAGTAGTACTTTGGTTCTTGTAGACATTGCTGTAATAATAAAAACATTTGTTTTACTGTTGAATTCCAAACAAATTTCATTCATCTAATATACTGATATTTCTTTGTATGCTCTGCATTCCTGAAAAAATATTGGTACACCTTCATATTCTGCCATGCTGGGAAAGTATATAGAGTATTAGATAAATTTATTCAACAATAAGCCTTTGCTTGTAAATAAACTAGCCTGTATATATTGAAATTTAAGTTGTTTAAAGTATGGTTTGTGAAATGAAACAACAAAGATGTACACAGGTCTTCTAATCTTTTATCCGATATTCACTACACTCCAGTTAGAGCAGAGTGTTTGGTTAAGCTCTAACCACACAACGTTGCAGAACCACAGTATTATTAAATTCTTTGAATTTTAATTTCTATGTTGTTTCATCATACATTGTTGTTACAATACAAACCAATGCTATTTCATTATCTTGTAAATAGCCATTCCCTTACTCTGATCAAGAGGCAATATGTTAACCCCCTGAACTTACTGAAGGATGAACACAATACTGGGAAACAATAGGAAGACCTCTATTTCTGATTTATATTGCAGGAAAGCATTTGATCATGCAGATGGTTGGGAGGGCTGGTTCAACAACAATGCCCTACTCTTTATTGACACCATGGTTCTGATCTCCGGGGGCTTCACAGTGATTGGATTACTGGGCTTCCATTCCTATCTGATGGTGAAGAATATGACCACCTGGGAATGTGCAGCCAGGGAAAAAATAACCTACCTGAAATATCTCGATGAAGATTATAACCCCTTTGATCAGGGATGTTTCCATAATATTTACTGTTTTCTGTGTCGGGCCAAGAGCAGAAGGTGGGAGGTTCTTTATGAAAAGAAGACAGAGATGCGTAAAAAGAACAGTAATATTGTTTAATGATTATTTTACATGTATCTCTCTCTCTTTTTTTTTTTCATTTGCATACAATGATATGAATGTTTGTTGTAATATGATCGTAAAAATGTAAACATTTTTATATTTAGTGAACAAATATTGTTTGTCTTAAGGAAATTTGAAAATTATTTCAATAGAGGAGTATAGAGAATATGTTGATAAAGTGTGCCATTGAAGGGATCACTTTTGTCTGTGATATCAACAGTAAATATCATGGTAGTTACTGGTAGTTATCTCTAGTGTCACTGGATATATCATTGTAATTCTGTATATGACAACAAATTGCTTTATCAAGTGACTGTGGATATACTGAAGTTATCTTGAAGTCAGGATTAAGACAAGCTATATGAAGCCATGACATTGTGTTTTTTTCACTTTAAACTAGAAAAGAATGAAGTGAATATGGTTACCATTTAGTGTGTGATGAGCATCACAGGAAAAAAATCAGATTTCTTGAGAAACCTGAGTTGTTTCACAAGTATAGTAATGGATAGAAATTAAATAAAGTGACAGCATTTTGAAATTCATTGGAAAATATATGACAAGTAAACTGCTGACAGATATTTTTTTATATCAACTTTCTTCTGTTATTTCATTCTTAAGTGTACAGCTATTAAAACTTTGATTAACGGGGCCATTTACCTACATTCATTCTTAACAAACTTCTATAGTATCGTCAAAAAGACAATATTGTTATGATAATGATCCTGATATTTAAACATAAAACATTACTTTTGCTGATGATATCTTATCACATTGAAATATTTTATGGGTCACTAATGATTTACAGCTATTTGGGGAAATAGAGTTTACAGAAACTTTTACTTATATGTCAATCATTTATTTCATATTTTTACTGACATTTGACATGAAAAGAATTTAAATGGGGGATCTCAAATGTTACTGACATGACTCATGGTCTCTTGCTCTTAGTATAGTATCTTCAATATTGTATGTAAATATAAATAAATATTATAAATTTATATTGGGAACATTTTTTACTTGTGATGTAGGTACAAAATATACTATATTAATGTTTACAATACTCAAAATGAAAATTATTTGTATTTCCTTATCATTTTATTGTTAGAATAATTTTTAAGTAAATAACCAATTAGTAATCAATATATGACTAGAAGTTAAAATTATCTTAAGGTAATCCCAGAATGTGAAACTATCACCCTAACAGATATGTTATGCAATAGGATAAATTGAAGGTTTAAACTGTTTACATGTTATTTATTTTTCTGAATATGATTAGTTTTTTTGCAGTTTTTACTGACAAATCTAGTATCCTTTCGAATGTGACCCAGTATAAGAGGTCAGAATGCTTTATGGAAACAGTACTTTTTTTAGATCTTTCCAATGGCATATACAACTGTTTGATAGAATCTTGAAAGAGGAAATAACAACATCAATTAGCAACTGAATAATGTATGGCACTGAAATGTTTAGGAACTACTATGTTTCTGTCAGTTATATCATACACAGTAATTACTGTTATTGTGTGGACACGGTTACCAGTAAGATTCATTACCAGTAATAGATATTTTTATATACTTAGATGCTAATAAAATAGTGATATTGCAACATAAACATTTTTGATGATAGAAAGATGATCCACAATATATTTAAATGAATTGATTGAAAATATTTCTAGAGCTTTGAATTCACTACTGTAAATAATATATGCCTGGTCATAAATTAGGGACTACCCATAACTTAGATTGGGCTTAATATTGCTGTATTTGTATTGTCATCTATAAGGATCATTCGATCTGCCAATGGATATGCATCAAAATGCAGAACTAAGGATCTCACATGGTACTTCTGCCATTTAATGTTCCATGAAGGACATGTAACAAATCATATAGTTTGGAAAAAAGCATCCCAAAACATTAATATCGCACCCACCAGATGCTGTTGTACGCAGAATGTGATCCTGATGGTATGCTGTATTTCTTGGTCTCAAACATGAACCTTGTCGTCTGTCAGAAAAAATGAAAAGTAACTTCATCAGACCAGTGGACTCTTCACCAAGACCTTATATTCCGTGTCTAGTGTTCACATGCCAATTACATTCTTGCTTGTTTGTGCTTTCAATCAATAGGGGATGTTTTACTGGTTGGCAGGAGTGAAATTGTCTAATGTTCAAATGACTATTGATGGAATGCATGCTTACACCAGCAGTGACATCTCACTGTCCTCTGAACCTATTGACATTGATGATTGGGGCTTGCCTTGCCTGTCTACAAAGAATTCTATCTTCCCTATCTGAAGACTGATGAGGTTTAACAGACCTGGGATGCTCACCAACATGCCGGTTTGGTTCAGAGCTGCATTAATTGAGAAATAGAGAAACAGTATGGCTGACATTTAAATGTGCAGCTAATTGCTTGTATGTCATACTGCCTTGAACATTTCCAGAAGCTCGTCATCTTTCAGCATATGTCAAATTTCAATGTGACATTTTCAAATACAAGGAGCATGTGTATGATTAATCATTATTAAATTAACAAACACTGCTTTAGAGGGAAAAGCAAATGCATTTTGTTAGATTATGGGGTACCCCAGTTTAATCTTTAAGTTGAGTGTATTGCTTTGTGGCATATGGAACGAAACAAAAAAAGCAGGCACTGCAAGAAGTCTTGACATGGTTTATTTGCATGGAAGGAAAAAAAAGGTTCAAATTTAAACATTCATTCTCAAATTGAAAGTCCCTAATTTATGTCCAGGTGTATATAAAAAAGAAGAATATGATATTTTATACACATGACAAAATGTATCTGAATCAGATATCACTTACGTATGTATAAAACCAAATCAAAGATATTTCAACTCTATGGCAAATTTTGGGAAAATTGAGGAAAAAAGGATTGTTATTTGAATTTTTAAGACATATCAGTAAGAAATGCAGGTAATTTTTAGGTTATTTTTCTTTCTCTTGAATAAATATCTGAATAAAGTATAAAACAAAAAAATGTCAAATTGTTCCGAAGCAGACTTCATTTAAATTGCATTAAGTTTGACACAGATGTTGTATCTATAGTTTTCAGGTAAACTGTCTTCCATGAAAAAAAATCAGGTATAATGTATGAACATAAACTGTGTAGAACCAGATATAACATCAACTCTCTAGCTTTCTCTGTATCCCTGCACAAATTTCTTACATTTGTGTCGCCCACAGAATTGCACTGCAGTGTAACTATGACCTATTGACATGTTGGTGCTTGTTCTTTACCTCCAAGTTAAAGGTCAAATAATAAGGTCAAGTTTTCAATCTTGTCTAGTCTTTAACTTTAGTATATCAAAGATGCAGCATCACCCACACAAAAAGAACACTACTTTGTAATAATATCACTTTTACCTTCAACTATTGGTTAAAGGTGAATACAGTAAATTAGTACAAGAATTGACATCGATAGTTGCCAAAGAAAATCTGGACTACTAAGATGTCATTTATTTTTTAATTTTCATTAAGTTTCCTTTAAGTAATTAGTTGGCTTGCATAAGTGTATTTTTTATAGTGATAATAATGCTTTAAATAGCGAAATTTAGTTGAAATTATATAGACACTGCACACAGATATTGAGTTTATTTTTCAGCGAAAATAAAAGTTTTATGCCATATTTCAAACATAATAATTACATTTGTGTGTATTGTAGTGGAATTTATAATGATTTGTAATTTCAAATTTGTGCTAGATTCACCATATTTTGGAAGCATTTGTTGATTATCGGTAAAATTATAAGTTAACCAGCATGGTGACTTATCTCCACTGGGCATAATGATCATCTTTATTGGTTGTATTCCTTAATTTTACCATACTACAGTAGGATTAGTTTTGTTTCTACCTCAGTGCCTGTCACTCATACAATGTGTCCTAGATGATCTAATTACATCAGACAACTAAAAGTGGAATGGACAGTATAATTTTTTATGCAATGCATTCAAACATTGTCACATTATGCCTTTTGATTTTGCCAACAAGCTGAATTGACATCATATATTCCTTGGCTGGAAGTCAGTGATGCAAGCTGTTCCTGGTATGAAAATGTTAAATCTAGACAAATTTATTTATCAAAGATGAAATATTATCAATATAATAGAATACATGTTTATATGTCAATATGCTGGCCTTGTCTTGTTATTGTTTAATGTTGTTGTACATAATATTACATTTACTTATATTTCATATAGCCATATTAATGTTGGTGTATTACTTGGTACATTATGGCATTTTCTGGATGTCATATTCACCGTAAACTCCATATATGTGGCTGTGTGGATTTTGTAAGTATTCTAGGTATGTAATATATTTCAATTTTCTCTGGGTTTTTTTCTTTTTTGTTTGTTTGTCCAGTGGGATTTTTTGTTGAATCTTTGTTTTTTAACTGCTGGTTCAGTTATTACATCTCATTTTATTGTTTGCTGCTTCATTTGTAAATAAATGCTTATCAGTTGTGACACTCCCAAATCAGGAACATTTCTTAAAATGAGTCTTGACTTCATACTTTTAGCAGAGCACAATGCCACATTACAAAATATTTCAAAAAAGTGATTTATAATCAAGAACACAATGTTTTTCAGCTTTCTGATTTGAAAATAAATATCAAAAGAGCATTATATTCTATATCTACATGTGTTGATGGTTTCATGATATAAAACATTCCTCAGAGAGAAGAAATTTCTTACTTTTCTCTGCAATACTTTTTGTACCGTAAATTAATTTCTGTTTAATATATATATGACATTTTCAGATTTTGACATTTTCTTCCAAATTTCATTTATCTTTTTTCATAGACATAGCCTCTGTAATTGTAGTACTTGGTGATAAGCAGACCATTTTCACAAGGTAAACAGCAGTTTTTAAATTTCAAATTTACAATCATCATTAGATATTAGAAATCTGTCATATAATGAAGGAAAATATAGAAGCAGTTTCCGACACATTACTGAATAGATGTTGGATGATATAGAACTTAAACAACCTTATTTTGTATATAAAAGCCTACTATGTATTAGTATGACCCTGCTGTGTTTTTTTACTGGAGTGTGTGCTTATATAAAGGAAGTCAGAAAGCCCAGTCATCTATATGTGATATGTGATCCAAATAGCCATGGAAATATCCTCGTATAATTCTACACTGTAAATCAATTATTATCATTATTTGTTGAAAAAGCATGACTTTCATAAAGTATTCTGATTTGGTAGGAAAGGAAGAGTGTTGGTATGTTGTAATGTGATTTTAATGCTTTAACTGTAGATTGTTAAACAATGGCACATTTCAGTCAGCAAAGAAAGATGTTTATCATTTGTGGAAAGTGGTAATTCAGCATTTATATGACCAGGAAGCATTGTGATTTCTTAACTTCATGAATAAATCTGTGTTAAGGAACTTTAAATTTGTTTTTCATTTCTCTGCCATTTTATGTGTGGGCAGGTGTACTTACTGGATGGTTGGTTTGTGCAGTGGTAACATGTTTGCCCATCACCTACCCGTTTTTTATTCCAGTAACGGATGTGAAAATGTAAGGGGTTACCTGCCGCACCTCATGGGTTTTACACATGTATTCTGGTTTCCTCCCACAATAAAACCCCTCATACACTTAGATCTTGGCCATGAGTGATACATATACAGTTGGAATAATTTGTTTGGTAGTTGTTGTAAAGTAGGTAAAGTTTACTTCACACTTGGCAGTTGTTGTAAAGTAGGTAAAGTTTACTTCACACTTGGCAGTTATTGTAAAGTAGGTAAAACTTACTTCACACTTGGCAGTTGTTGTAAAGTAGGTAAAGTTTACTTCACACTTGGCAGTTGTTGTAAAGTAGGTAAAGTTTACATTCAGTGTAAAGTAATCCTTCCCATCCTGTTGCATCCTATCTTCTTGTCTGATAATTTTGACAAAAACAACTATGCTTTGAGTAATGGCAATATCTGAGAATTAGTAAGTTTAGATCAAAGGGTGCAAAGGGCAAGGACACCATTACCATTTGAAGTTGGGGTATTTATTAGTCCCCTAATAGTACAAATGGGTGAGGGGTGGGGGGATAGCTCTATAGATTTCCTGTAGATACCTGTACATAATTTTTTCAGCACACTGGCAGCCTCACTTCTTGAGGGAATTTTGTTGAACTTTTAAAGCACTTACGATATCTTAAAAATAGGCTGACTTTCAGATTGTATGCTTGTTTACATTTGTGTAATAATAAGTAAAGCCTGTGAGCAAGTATTAAGATATTTTCTACTTTAAGACAATTTTTAGGTGATAAGATCTTGATTTCTAGTGTTGATTGATTAAGGAGCCTATAGAATTACGTAGGATATCATAGAAGGGTCATAACTTGTAAGAAATGGATCAAAATGAAAAATAAATCGAATGGACACAACTTATTGAAATAAGATCCTGTGCACCATGTTTCTACAGAACAGCTTTTGCGAGTAAGCTGAACAAACATCCTTCACAGATAAACATCCAAATATAACATGGTTGCAGGCTTTATCATTAACTTTCCATGGTGAAGTTTTATATAGCTACATAGTTTGTCTTAAGTACGATGCAAGTATGACCTCTGTGCTGCTTATAGTCTCTCAGATACAAATCACAGTTATCAATAATGGATACATGGAGCCAATTTCAACATCCCTTGTCGACTTTGTTGCCAAAACAAATTTAAAAAAGCAAAAATCAAGTATATTAATCAATTTATTTCACAAAACTGATATCGATTATGACATAAAACAGTTATGATAAGTATACCTATACCATTCTCAAAAACTAGTCCAAGTCAATCTTGTGTACAAAAGCCAAATTCTTTGATTTTTTTTTATTAAACACAGAAAATTCCTGATTGAGCAAACTTTGTCTTTAAATCAAACATTAAATAAATTACATATTGCATTTTACAGAAATACTGGGTCTGTATTCATTTAGTGCTAATATACTATGGCACATTTTGCTTCATAGTAACAATTTTTGCTTGCCTAGAAAAGGAAATTTTGATTTTTTTTATTTGTATGACTGATTGTACAGATGCTGAGTATCTTTCAAGAATATTCTTCTCATCACAAACACAACCCACAAATTTATAGAAATACTATTATCCTCAGCTGGTGCTTCTCACCTCTATGAAATCAGCAGGAAGACAATACCCGTATAAGATTTTCATTTGTAACATTTCTAAGAATACGTCAAGTCTCCTTGTATCAGCTACACTCTCAGCATCACACACCCTCAAACCGATTTTCACTTAAGGGAAAAACTGTGACGGGGGAGCTTAAAGGCCAATTGATTGTTTTATTGTAAGGTAAATCACCAATGAATACAGGTAATTAAAAGAATTTCTATACATCAACATGTTCAGAAACTTCTTCCTTGAGTATATACGACTGAAATGTCCAAACCTGAGTATTGCCTATATGGTAAAAGGTAACTACTGCTGCATATACAAAAGTTTATACTTTGTTCTTGGACTTCTCAAAATGAAATTTCTTAATCAAATCATATGTAAATGAAATTAATCAAATCACTTCACAAAAGCCTTGTACTCTGTATAAAGTTTTTACATTGACTGTTTAGCTGTCGTGAGATGTTCCCTTGATATTATCACCCTCTGGATCTGAGCAGTCCCCTCGTAGATCTGAAAAAGCACAAGTAATCTGGTTTTTAGTTCATGTTTTATTGAGTGTAACAAGCAAGTCAATACCTATTCTTAGTTTAATCTAGATTAACCTTTTAAATACTTGCATACCGGGTACTTGTAATTTGATACCATTTGAAACTCTGTAATATTTGTCTGGAAATAAATCTCTTTTCATTTCCAGCAAACCCAACTACAAATTGTCGCTGACCCCTAAGTCCAAATGCTGTCAGAAAAAGTCTTATTCAAACTTTGTACAATATACACAGACTCACAAGTAATACATGTTTTAGGTTCATCATTTTAACAAGTCTGTGATTTGAAGATACCTACCTGATAAATTTTTGCATCCCTCATTAATTTTTCAACAGGGTATTCTGAGTTGAAACCATTTCCACCAAATATCTGTGGTAAGGAAATAAAAACATTCAATTGTAAATATTGCCTTTCATAACTATTTCCATTGACAACATGAACTGATTATTTTCATTCCTGTACACAACTTACAACTTGTCTGCCACTCACTTGTGCAGTCTCCTCACAGATACACAATTTACAACTCAACTTTTCACATTCTGCCATTTATTCAATTCTATGGTCTCCATCTCACTTGTACACATCCAGGCACTCGTCAGTACAAAGCCAGAAACTCACCTGTACAGAGCAACTCACTCACTCACCCTAATACAGCCCATCACTTACTCACCTTAACACGGCTAGTCACTCATCTGTACACAACCTGCCACTCATCTATACACAGCCGACCACTTCTAAACCTGTACACAACATGCTGATCACCTGCACACTTGTTACTCTGCTGTTTATATGCTGCCACTTATTTGCAGACAACTTGACACATGCATGTAGACACCTTGCATTCAACTGTAGACAACTTTCCACTCACCTATAGACAACTTTCCACTCACCTATAGACACCTTGCATTCACCTGTAGACACCTTGCATTCACATGTAGACACCTTGCATTCACCTGTAGACACCTTGCATTCAACTGCAGACAACTTTCCACTCACCTATAGACACCTTGCATTCACCTGTAGACACCTTGCATTCACCTGTTGACACCTTGCATTCACATGTAGACAACTTTCCACTCACCTGTAGACAACTTTCCACTCACCTATAGACACCTTGCATTCACCTGTAGACACCTTGCATTCACCTGTAGACACCTTGCATTCACATGTAGACACCTTGCATTCACCTGTAGACACCTTGCATTCAACTGCAGACAACTTTCCACTCACCTATAGACACCTTGCATTCACCTGTAGACACCTTGCATTCACCTGTTGACACCTTGCATTCACCTGTAGACACCTTGCATTCACCTGTTGACACCTTGCATTCACATGTAGACAACTTTCCACTCACCTGTAGACAACTTTCCATTCACGTATAGACAACTTTCCACTCACATGTATATAGCTTGCCACACTTCTTTAGACAATGTCACTTACCTGTACAGCATCTGCAGCAGCTTTATTTGCTACATCTCCAGCTAGGGCCTTTGCTATGGAGGCATAATATGTGTTGCGTCTACCCTGGTCAATCTCCCAAGCTGACCGATATGTGGCCAGGCGAGCAGTCTCCACACCTATCACCATGTCAGCCAAGATGAAGGCCACAGCTTGATGCTGACAATGAAACCAAACAAGCTATCAGCAACCAATGTCATTATATTTGTTTATCAATCTATCATTTTTACAAAGCATTTATAATTTACCAAATATTCAAATTATTTAACGAGAGTTACCTCACAAATGTGCTTTCCAAAAGTTTTTCTCTCCATGGAGTATTTTGTTGCTTCATCAAGTGCCCTCTGTGCCAGACCTACAGCTCCTGCAGCTACCTGATGGAAAACGTACAATAAACATATTATTAATTTCAGATTTTGCAGTTTAATATTCACGATAAAGATTTGTTTCAATTGCACATACTGTTTGGTAGACTTCAAACGAGGTGTTAAATGGTGAAGTCTTAAAGCAGGAAATTAACACAAACGTAAGTCTGTTGAGTACTCACTGGTGGTCTTGTCTTGTCAAAGGCTCCCATGGCAACCTTGAAGCCAAATCCCTCTCCAGTAAGGACATTCTGCAACATAGTACACACATGCCAGAATAGATACTCAATAACACATGTTTTACTATTGTTAGTTTTGTGTCTATGACATTTTTATCTTAATACGCAATGCAAGTTTCAAATATTTCAATTTCATTGTTTATTGTTTTATACAAATGTACAACAAAAATTGCATGCTTTCATGAATTCATTTCCTCCTTAAAATGACATAATGTCGTTTTCATTTTCTTCAAATTTTTCCATATTTTCTTATTTTAATACAACTTACATGTAAACAATGGGAAAACATTTTCAGAGGTATTGCCAAAAACTTTACCAATATCTATCTTGAGATATTGTATAGATGAAGCCTCAAATTGAGTATACAGTCTATCCCTACCTCTGCTGGCACCACAACATCCTCAAATGTGATTCCCCTGGTATCTGAAGCCTTTTGTCCCATGTTCCATTCCTAGAGTGAGAAACATAAAACAAGAAAAAAAATTTTACTTCATAATTCATCTTTTTTATCAAATACAGCATTTCTCTAATGCAGTAAAATAAGGTCTTATACTATTTCATAGAAAAACATCTGTAAATCACAGGCTATCCTGAGCTTGCTACTAGAGCAATCATATACCATGTGTTTTGGAAGAGCAAATTATTTATAGCAAAACTTCAAAATATAGGAGTTTGTGAGAGCACTGTTACAGTAGTCAACCAAGCAATATACACCTGGTGTTCAGTCAGAGAGCGCAGAAAACAGAACTGTGTCCTTCAGCTTGTAAAAGCAATAATTATTTAATACACAAAGGTCATACAATCATCAAGAACATTCTACATTAACACCAAGATGTTTCCCTACCTTCCTGCCAACAGTAATCCCAGGTGTGTCAGCATCCACTATGAACCCAGTGAAGGCCTTCCCAGCCGACATACTGGAATCTCCAGTACGGGCAAGTACAAAGTACCAATTAGCAACACCACCATTGGTGATCCACATCTTATTGCCATTTAGGACATAATCATTTCCTTTCTTCACAGCTTTTGTCTTCAGACCAGCCACATCAGAACCTGCTCCAGGTTCTGTCACGCAGTAGGCCTGATTAAAATTTAAATCATTGAAGATTAGTAAACTGTTTTACAAACTATTGCCATAAATGTTGAATTTAATGTGTTTTGATAATGTCAAGTTAAGTCAAATTTCAACCAAGAAAACAGGTAAAAAACAGATAAATGACCATGTTATTTGATACTGGTTCTCCAATCAGTATATCTAGTGACATTAATTACACAATAAATAAAAATAAAGAGGCAAATCAATGATAGTAAATTACTCATATATAAACAACAATCTTCCACTAAGTTATCTCTGTACTACATACATAATCATTTTGAATGCTTCACTCATGCCTGATAGTTGCTCGCAAAAAGGAGGTTTTCATAATTTATTTGATTAATATAAAAGAAAGGGGATGTCGTGACAGATTCTCGACAGTGATATTCAATGATTTAAAATATATTATTTACACATTTGATGGTGCTCTACTTAACATCACACTATATATACCATCCTACACTTACACACATCAGAGGCTCCTCCATCATTCGACCAAGGTATTTCTTCTGTTGTGCATCATTACCAGCCAGAATCACTGGCATTTGCTAAAAAAAAAAAAAAGACAGAAATTTATAATAAGTGAAATAGTGTCAGGACATGTTAAAGATCAATATGAATGTGTCTGTTGTTATGTATAAATGTTGTGTATTAATCTAAATTCAGATGTGCTGTGTTTACATGCATTGTATCATATTGATTGTTTACATAAAAACCTGTTTATAATTATTTGTCACAATATGTGTAGATAGTGCTAGGCAGATTTTTCCTGAAATCTCGGTTACTATTTGACCTGTATGTTTCCGGAAGTTTCTAAATCTAGAAAGCTTGGTTATTAGAATTACCTGGGTGTTTCTGGAAGTTTCTAGAGACACATGTAAACAAGCTAGGTACCTGCTAATCTAGAATCATCTAGAAATGAACTTTCTAGAAACCTTTAGTGTATATAAACATGATGGAACTGAGCCTGAGCAGCCTTTTTGAAGTATTAATGCCTTGAGTGAGTTTACTTTGAGACTTCAGTCTGTGAAGTGTGGACTTTTATGGTGATTCAATGATAGTGCCTTGTGGACTTGCACTTATATATACCCAACGAGGAAACAATTCTTGAATCAGTCTTCGGATACCCTGTTTTCGGGACAATCTTTTATGAATTCTGCTGGATTTGGAGGACTTCCATCCTCTGACTTCTGATTAATTTGTGGCTAGCTCTGTACACCATCACAATATTTGTAACTTTACTGTAGAATTTATTTGTTGTTATTAAATTGTTGAATTTTAAACCTAGCTGTTGGGTTTCATTTGCTATACGTTAATTCCGTAATGTAACACTGTTAAACATTTCATTTACATGTACCATATTTGTTTCCAATCAATTGAGTGAAAAAATTCTGAATGACTGATGAAATATACTCCGATTAATTCAGTAAATGGATTAAGTCATTCAAATGAAGCAAATACGTTAACTGCATTTTCATTAATTACTGAACATTAGCAGTCTTCTTTTCCTCATCAGAAAGAAAAAGTTCCCAGTAATGAAGTTTAGAAAATAAACAGACCACACTGAGCTCTTGTCTCAAGAAATCAACAAATCATTTAGTCAGTATACATTTCTCTCTTGAGCCATCTGTAAATTTTTTTACCAGTAGTTTTGAACAAATTATTTTTGGGGCACATATATATATATAGCTATGCTATTATTATGAAGTTTTTATTTTCAGCTTGTTGTAGTTGTTCAACTTTATTCAACCTTGAGTTTACCTTTTAGGTTGTCTGTACACATACACAACCTGGGTTTACCTTTTAGGTTGTTTGTACACATACACAACCTGGGTTTACGTTTAAGGTTGCCTGTACACATACACAACCTGGGTTTACCTTTAAGGTTGCCTGTACACATACACAACCTGGGTTTACGTTTAAGGTTGTCTGTACACATACACAACCTGGGTTTACGTTTAAGGTTGCCTGTACACATACACAACCTGGGTTTACCTTTAAGGTTGTCTGTACACATACACAACCTGGGTTTACCTTTAAGGTTGTCTGTACACATACACAACCTGGGTTTACCTTTAAGGTTGTCTGTACACATACACAACCTGGGTTTACCTTTAAGGTTGTCTGTACACATACACACCCTGGGTTTACCTTTTAGGTTGTTTGTACACAGACACAACCTGAGTTCTTTTGGTGTCAGTACAATGTCTGTATACCTGCTTGAGGCAGATTGACAACAATAACATTTGCATCTCTGGTAATTTGTACAATGTATCAGTGACTGCCTCTCAGTTTGCTGTCTCACTCAATCCAAAGTCTCCTGTTTGGCTGTCTATGCACCAGGTTTGAATGAACATACAGTCCATGGCATGTTAAAAGAACTTACCCCAAGGGAATTTGCTTCTATTGCTGTTTGTACACCAGTACATCCATATGCCAGTTCTTCTGTTATTACACAAGTGTCCAGAATCCCCAGTCCAAGGCCACCTACAATTTTCAATACAAAATGTATACAGTTTGTAAAGCAATTTACCTTTGCAAGGATACATCAGTTTGCCCTGCATCACTCTATAATTTTAACCACTGAACTAAAATATTGCAATATTTATTCCAAAAAGTATGTTATATTATCTCCTTTAATGATCATATTCTAATCATTTTTAAAGGTCATCATAATTCGAAAATCAATCACAGTTCACCTACCAGTCAACCTACATGACATCAAAAGTCTCAGCTTCTATTATAAGTTACTGTACAAGACAATAGGAAAACTGCAAGGGTAAATAGTTATATATCATTTTATTCATAAGTGACAAGAAGAAACTTTATATATGATAAATCTTCAGTCATTTTGAATAAAATCAATTAAAGATTGTTGAACCTGTTCGAATTATATGGAATTATGCTTGAGAAAATAAATTACAGTTCAAACTATCAGTGTCAACATTGCCCATAATTACAATGTATAAAAGCATCCTAGCAAGGAAGAAATCTTCCTGTCAATAATGCTATTTTCTGGAATAAAATATCTCTTCAAAAATGATTTCTGATCCTCTTCATGTTTGTTTATAACCTAGGACTTTTATAAGTCATCACCAAACAAGTGTAAGAGGTGAAAAGGCACTGATCACTGCATTTCTGATAGGCATACCTTCTCTGTGTACTTTGAATCTTCAAAACCACTTACCATACTTTTCTGGTATGTGTGAGTTCATGAGTCCAAGACCCCATGCTTTTGTTATCACATCCCAAGGGTACTGAAAAATCATTATTGCAACACATACAATTTTCATATAGCATGTACATTATATCTAAAAGGGATCATGGTGCTATCCTTATTGGTTCTATGTCTATAAACTAAAAAAGAAAAAAATCAAAGATGCTGATTTTCTGATCTTACAAAGAACTTGGGACTAAGAAGATAAGTCCATCCTTATCTTCTCTGGAAATAGTGATAACCAACTACACCTTAAAAATTCAAAGTCATCAATCTAGTCCTTTTTCAAAAATAGCAATAACAAGGATTGTTTAAGAATGGATGGACAAATGGACCATCGACAAAGAACAATTGGAAAAGACTACATCTGATGATGGTGAGTTAAAAAATGTATAAAATATTTTGAAGCTTTCCAAAAGAAATACTGACAATTCTATAATTCTGCACGAGACAGAAATGGACTCATAAGAAAATATTTGGTAAACTATGGCAAATCAATACCTATCTGCCAGTCTTGAAGCTACATATAATATCAAATTCAATATCTATAGCTGGTACAATGCAGTATCTAAAAATATGTGTATATGTAATAAGGTACTAATAACCATCAGTACTCAAATGTTAATAAGAAGACTAAGATAACCAGTTATTTTTTCAAGATTTTTTCAGACAAGTCCAGAACATCCTTTCCAAAATTTTGTACTACTACGAGATATTGAGGAGGCCTCAAAATGTAAGCAAGCCCTATGGGATAATCTCAAACATGGTATCCGGGTCCCAAAATTACTGAATAACATATTCCAATAAGTAAAACAATACATATATGGTGTAATCAGAAAAGATAAAACATATACCGTTTTTCACCAATGGAAGCTTTTCAGAATATTCCTTATGAAATTACTCTTACCTCTCCAGTTTTGTCATGGTGTGGAGCAACAGGGATAATTTCCTCTCTAGCAAACTTTCTGGCAGTGTCTTGATACTCTTTCTGTTCATCAGTCAATCCTCAAAAATACAAGTGCACATTCAAACAATATTATAAACATGCTTGAATTAAACTTGAAATGTTGATCATCTAATCTGCAGTACTGGTATATCTAATTTGAGAAAATATGTCTCCGTTTTATGGTAAATTTTCTTTATTGAATGCTAGATTTATCAGCAATGAATAACTCAAAATGTGTTACAAAGTCATGTTAATTAGATAGATCTTAAACTCTCCATAGCTATCATACCAAAGCTTATTCCAGGTTGCTGATTGCCTGTATCTGCTTCTGATGTGACTGTCCGCAGTGGTGCTGCAAGTCCTCTTCGGGTCAGACCCCGACAGTGACGGGCAACCTAAATTAGTTGAAATGCAACATATAGATTGTATTGCTAATATAAGAGATTCAGAAGTGATTTTGGCATGGAGACCCACCATTTTATGATCATCATTATCATCATTTTACCAATCAAAATTTTCATCTTAATTTCCTGTTCTTTCTTTATGTGCTGTTTATTGGAAATCCTATCAATAGTAAATAAATCAAGGGATAATATATTAAAAAATAATGATGCTGTGAACTTGTGACTGTTGACAGCTTATTTTCATGTGAACTATTGATCAAAAATTTCTTCACATGTAAATGTGTTACCATATTCTCGTAACCTATAGCTAGCTGCAATCTTATTTTTCTGATGAGTTTTTAAGATAAATATGTAAAATATGGACTAATAAAAATGCCTACAAAATAGAAAGAGCAATGGTAATCTTCAAATGACAAAATCTGAGGCTGCTAGTTCTTGGGAGTATTGGCAAATTAAGAAATTCAGAAATATATCAATTACATGATTTTTTTAAGGATGAAAGGAGTTTCTGTCTGCTTGAACAGACCATGCTCTCATGCTATCAACATATTTTCTTCATCACAAACAAAATAATCTATGCATGTCTTTACCACTCATCTTTGAAAATGTTATTTTTTCATTTTCATTTTCTCACATTTTGATGTACCGTACTAACACAGTATTAAATCATTTAATGGTAGTCCAAATTATTCTGACATTCTGTCAACTTTCCTAAATTGATCTCAAGTTGATGATATTGACTCCATGGCAACCTAAATGATTCACACTAAATATCAAAATGCACCAGGGACTGTGTCAGTCTTCTATGAGAACTACTTTTATATCACTTATGACAAAACACTATCAATTAATCATTACCTACTTTATTAGGTAATCTATAATGGTAAATTGATATAAATCATCCGCAAAATGACTGGGCACATAAAAATATGATCTTTTGGTTAACATGGTACTCATACAAGTTCAAACCAATACAGAGAGATGTGTTCATAAGTATATCTTATGGAGCAATTTTACCCACAAACAAACATCTGCACCTTACTTCAAATCTAGTTAGGCCACAGATACATTATTATTGGACCAAATCAATCTGATTTTCTTTCAACTTTCTTATATCTCTCTGGAGTCAATGAATGTCTGAACTGTTGCACTATATAAAATGAGGGAAATGCAAGCATACGAAATTTGTTACTTCAATTACCGTTTGAATACCAATGCCACCCAGTCGTGGATCGTCTATTTCCCCAACGTGCACTTTATCATACAAGTAATTTATGTGCAATACATCGAAAAATTGACGTTCAACGACTTCATACCAAGACAAGAAAATTGATACATCATTACATGTCTAGGCCTACATGCTACCTGTCTTCATAATGTTATTGATAAACCGATGCACTTTCATTGCAGTACGTTGGAAAAAACAACTCGATTTGTTGTCGGTCAAATGCGCGTTGCTACCACTTGTAATTTATTCATATAAATGATTGAATGACAACCATTTATTCCTTTGTATTACAGTTAATTATCAAACACCAGTCCTTGACGGTATAAGTGACGTTGCTGTCAGGTAAGTGACAAGTAATATACGCGTCATGCACGTCAGCAAGTGACACTACGCTTGTGTAACTATCGAATAGTTGAGGACGTACTGTCCCAAACCCGAATTTAAAGTATTAACGTAGCGGTAGTTTTATTTTTCCATGTGGTAAATCTAAATATCTGAACAAGCGAAAATATCAGTCTATTTTAAGAGTAGTTAGAGTGTCCTCACTCCAAAATAAGTCATTTGCTTCTGCAGCAACCCCGGCACCTACCTGTCCAAAAAGTGACGCCATTACTACCTCCAATTGGAGAGTTCCGTAAACGTCTGCTCGACTATGTTTTGTATCATAAAACTGGATATCAAGCGTTCCATCACAACAAGTTATTGTATAAATATCAATTCCATGTGTGCTAACAGTTTATAAATTATGTATTAGAAAAATACCCTCTTTTTAGAAAGATTCCAATTATTCGAAAACCACAGTGTATAAAACCATATATACATACAAACTTTAAAACAAACTTTAACAACTTGTCTAAATGGGTACCTTGTGGTCCAAAGTTCAAAAAGATAAAAATCTTAACAATATACAGAGACATATACAAAGCTGCATATATCAGTGCAGTATATATATATTTGCGTATAGAGTTACAGGGAACTGTGAAGGCCAAAAATCACTCATGCATCAAGACAATGTCACGACCGTTGAACATTGAAATATAAAAATCCAGTTCAAGGGCAACGAAAACATGTAAGGATGTCTTAAGACATATTCCATTAAAGCAAATAACACAAATAGTATGCTACAAAAGGTTCCATTCTCTTTTTTGTACAATATGTGTTTACTTATTAAAATTCTGTCCAATGGAGAAGAGACAAAACAAGAGACAATCTCTGTGCAGTCACACAGGGTTATTTTTAAACAGACCATGTTTTTTAAAGCTAGTAATACCAAGTGATTATATAATAACAGTAATATCTTTATCGGATTACTGCTTAGTGTATCAGGTCGGCTACAATCATCACCAGTAATGGTAGATCACCCGTCCTAGATGCTGTCACTTTTCACTTCCCAGTATAAACTGATAACAGAAGGTCAAATCCTTGTACTTCGACCTCTAAAGGATGCTGGACGAGAAACAAAACGAATTAATTTGTAAATATAAACTTGTTATATATATATATATATATTCATTACACGCCACCATACCCCTTTGTTCCCGACAAGACAAATACTAAAAAATTTTCAAATTTTCCTTTGGAGCTTCAAATTAATCGATCACACTGTATGGGACCGTAATCATGAATGAACGTTCCATCACCTCTCGCCATTTGTTTTGATAGGATGTTCGACTATCCTTCTAGAAAATGAAACTTGATTGATACTGTTGTATAATACAGCTTATAAAAAGAAAGGAAACCTGAGACGAAATATAGGTATTTGTAAAGGGCGACAATTTGAAAGTAAAAGCGAAAAAAAACCCAGTACTGCACGGCTTTGAAAGTAGTTCATGATCAAATCATGAAGTTACAGGATTGTGATACATATGCATTTAATATTAATAATAATCAGGGTTTTTTTTATTGATTTATTGATCTAGCAACATAAATCAATAACTTTATCAACATTGTAAGACAAACAAATCAGAGTCCGCTATATTTGGACCAATATCATCGTTAGCGAAGTTGCCTATACAGATATTAAACATACCATGTATTTGGACGCGGAGACTGTATTTCTTATCATGGCTACATGTATGCAACCATCAACACAGTCTTTATATATATATATTGGAAATTAAAAAAAGATTTGTGGGATGTATACATACTTACGAACTTCAAAAACGTTCAAGTGAGTTTTGATAAAAAAAAAAGGGGGGGGGGGGGACCGGAGAGGTCAAGTCCAAAACACCATTGACAATGTTTTAATAAATACATAAACAATCAGCGTATAGTACAATACCACTGAAATGATTGTATGTGCTGAACAACAAGGGACGACGGGGTATACTTAGTACTTAACGTTAGAAACTTTACGTAGACGCCGATACCGAGAGACTGGGGTGAGCATTACCTTACGACTACTAGGTATATAACCAATGAGCTGGAAATTATATTCCTATACAGCCACTACCCCTACCACTAGTGCTATAGATTCCGAATTTTTCTGTTGACGGGTCCATGAGATATCCTATGTACAAGATTTTTTTTTTATCAGAAGTATTAGTAAGGCATGACCTTTTGACTTTTAACCTTGACAGATGACAACCATGATGTGTTTCTATGGTGTGATTATGCACACAGAGTGATAAATTATATACTCTTGTTACTAAGCTGGTATTCAGTTGCAATGACCATTAAATTCACATATACATTTTAGACGTCTATATTTTTCACAAAACAGGCCCCAGCATAGTTCACAGCCATATGGTATTGTACCGTCGTTAACTTGCGCTATAAGGAAAGTGCCCATAACCACAGAATAAAAGTGCATGCCTTTACTTTGGAATATATATGGTTTGTGGTGGTAAGACATAGGATAATCACATATTCATATGGAACGAAGGTTGAATGAGGTACATACGAAAAGATAAAATAAAAACATGCCTCTTAAGGCTTCTTGTCAATCTAGAACGATACCCAAAGTTAATCTACATATTGAATTTTCGAATATAATGACGATGACAAGAAAACCTCCCAATATACACTGTCTTTAAACCGAAGGTATAGATCGAAGCTTTTCCTTTTAAGAGAACGTGTCGTTTCAGAAAAGGATTTTGAGCAAATAATCAACTTTAAACGTACGACAAGGGCATCGTTGATGATTCAAAAGTACTCCCTATATCCTGACAGTACTTCATGATTATCATTGCTAAATCATATTATTTTGAGAATGGCTATGTATACTACTTCATGAGGACAATGTATAGTCGCTTGTTAACATCACAGGACATGTTCAGTAATAATCGTCTCTTTAATTGCTTTACAAGTAGAAAACATCTCAGAAGTACTATCGTTCCATGAATACACTTTGAATAATTTCTGATTTTTTTTAAATTTTTAATTCATAGAAAAGGATGAATCATTTGAAATCGATGGCCTCGATCGGTCTTTTATGGCGCTTAAGGCAAAGGAATAGTTCGTTAATAGGGCAAACCTTCATTTCTCTCAAGCAGTTTCGAAATGACGATTAAACCATAAGAAACAAATTTCTCTTTTATACCCTTCGGTGCCCCCATGATATCATCACTATCTTTGAGCTCTTTAGATGCAATAACATCTTCATGTCTTTCTATCAAACATACATCACACTGAAGACTGTATTCCAGGCCATCGAGCGATTTTTAGAATTCGTTTTCTTCTAATCAAAACATATTTTCATATGTCTGATTTACTGAGTTCGCTGTGAAGGCGACATCATTTATCATTTCCAATATAATTCTGGTTTCCATGTTTTAAAGTGTTTTGGCAATGTCCGAACCTTCTAGACAGTTTCAGTCTGAGACAACAAAATTCATTGCTGAATCATCCGGATTCAGATATCATTGAAAATCACGCCCTCAGTATTCCATCCAACACATGAATCGTAAAGGTTTCCGCCTTGAACATTTTAAGCCCCACCTTCTAAAACCGCGAAACTTCCGTCGAATAACACATCTTACGGGTATAATTCATAGTAAACCATTCAACTATATCACTAAAAAGTGAAATATGAAATGTTTTTCAATGATAGTTTTTTTCTTCGAAACAAGTCTATCAACTGTAAGATATGTGTAAATTTGACTGGCATCTGATATGTTTTCATTAACCGTTGCCAATAACTCGACCAACCCATTGCAGACATTCATCGCTTATGTTAACGTCGTCTTGAGGGCAGAGACCCGCGTCTTCTATCACCTTACTAATATTAAATACTCTTGTTGGCCCGGATGGAAGAGCGCGAGGGGTCCTACTGTGGAAGGAAATCGGAGCTCCCGAAGAAAACCCACGTGGTCGGGCAAGTGAGCCCCATTCTTTTCACGTCCGCTCCGGGAATCGAACCCAGGACACCTATATGATTCGCTACTTTATGACGGAACTTTATTTATAAATTCATAAATTTACAACTTGACAAACAAGAGAAACGCAATAACTCCATTCAAATTATATCAACAATCAGTTATGTCACGATAACATTAGTCCAATTGAATAACCTTATCAACGAGGAAGTGATCATAGACAATTGCAGATAATAAGTCACATTGCTACAACGTCACAAACATTACATCACGATACCAGTAAAAACAAAGTGGTGACTTCAGCCTGTAGATAACAGCCTATATATACAGCATCCTCCATGAGAAAACCTGCAATACCTCAGGATGGAGAAGTCAGTAAACATCATATGTATGTTGGCAGTATTCGGGGTAGCTCTATGGACTCATATGGCAGATGCTTCATTGCTTCATGGCCGGCATGTGCGCCATGAAGACAAGTTGCAGATCGGCAGTCCTAGCTGGTGTTTGGATAAGCTAAGATCATTCAATCTGACACACTTTGAGGTACTTCCGGGCAATGGATGGGATAATCTGGAAAACAAGGAGCGCGGACGGGTTGTACAGCATTCCTTTTATGAATGTCGGACAACGGATGATGGTAAATTTCTCCTTCCTGATGGTGTCATCACAATTCCCGTCAAGTCGAGTAAACTAGACGTCTTCTCGGAAATCTACTCTTCCTGGATGGATTATAAGGAAACAACCTCAAAATCTATCAACATTGCTGCAAAATATCACATGGGATTCTTCAGCATCGATGGGATGTTTTCAGCGGAATCACAATCCGCCAAAGAGAATCAAATCGAGGAAAAAACTTCAATTGCACGCACACAGGCGAGATACGTGAAATACACAGTCAAACTCCAGCCTGATACAACCCTCCATCCAGCATTTAGAGCACATGTTATGGAAATAGCAAAACTAATTCAAATGGATGAAACAGCTGTTGCTCGTTATGAGAGCCAGCAGTTAGTACGGGACTTTGGTACTCATGTTTTGACTGGAATGGATGCAGGGGCAGTGATAGCAAAGATTCAACATATCACCCAAAACTATGTTTCAAACAGAAATGAAAAAAATTTGAGACTACTTGCTTCTCTCAGTACTTCATTTTCCTTAGGTCTATTTGGTAAAGGAGGTGTAAGCACTGAAGGCGAAGGCTCAAGTCATGAACAGGAGTTGCAGGAATTCTCAAACAATGTGGCACATGCTACTATTAAAACATACGGAGGACCTTCGTATCTACCACAAAATTTCCAGCTTGACGACTGGGCTAAGCGGATGGACGAAAACATGGTTGCTGTTGATAAAGAAGGAACTCCTCTGTATTATTTCATAACTGCTTCTGCATTCCCTGATCTTCCAAACTACATAATTCCCGACCTGTTCAATCAAATCCGACATGCAGTATATCTTTACTATAAGTTTAACACATACCGCGGATGTACAGATGTTAATAAACAAAACTTTAATCGGATTGCGAATGTTGAAGATGGAACATGTACACCTCCTTCCACCAACTTTACGTTTGGTGGTGTATATCAAACGTGTACGCAAGATGCTGTTTTCCAGCACGACCACTGCTCGGATTACATTACAGAGAATCCCCTTACAGGAAGCCAGACTTGCCCTTCCGACTTCTTCCCAGTTCTTTTAGACAAATCTGAAGTCATCAAAACTGAAACCACACGGGAATGTCATAGAGTATGGTACAAACTTTGGATAGGCAAAAAGTGTACAGATGTCCCAGTCCCTGGGAGTGTGACTGTTAGTTCATATTGGTGTGTAGCTAACGGAGATGTGCCTCAATCTTCGGGTTATATGTTTGGGGGACTTTTCACACCACACATCACAAATCTCTTGACAGGAGGAAGCTCTTGCCCCCAGAATTTCAAACACCTTCCACTCCAGGACGGTATGACAATTTGTGTAACACAAGACTTTGATGCCGGATTTCCTTTTGGAGGCTTCTTCACGTGTCGTACAGGTAATCCGCTTGCAACAACTATGCACTCTGATCAGTCTCAATGGCCGAAATCATGCCCAAAAGGTTTTAGCAGTCATCTGGCGTTAGTGTCGAATGAATGCGAAATAGAGTATTGTGCACAAACAAAAATTGTATCTGATAAGGGCTTGCCTTCTGTAAGGAAGCCTCCATTTATGGCATATCCAAATTATAGAAATGTTGAAAAGACGGAAGTTTTTATTGACACTCATTCCAACACATGGACTAAACTACCTTCGGACATGCTTAATACACAGGAAGCCAATTTAGATTTGGAGAAAGCTAAACTTGTCTTCAGAAATAATCCCCAGTTTGAGGAACAAATGCAATTAATTGATATTCCAACGCCACAGCTGACATATGGAAACACTAGTACACACACTGTGTACTCAAACATTTCTACTTCATCACCAAAAGTCAATATCAAGGATGTAGAAACCACATTACGTGGATCTGTGGCATCCCACAGACTTCAAACTGACTCTAACGTTGTCTCTGACCAAGAAATGAAACATTTGTCAGATCCAAGAGAACATCAGCCATTACCATCTGGGGTTGTGGTAGCATTGTCTGTGATTTCCACCTTGCTGTGTGTCTGTGTGATCATTCTGTTGATGATGTACAAACATCGAGGAGTGTACAGAAGTGATGAAACTAGTACCTTATTAGGTTAGTGATTACTGTTTGGATAAGCAGAATAATTATAATCTCGACTACGGAAATAACCAACCGACAAATTATATTTCCTTTCAATGTGATTTCACTAAGGATTAATCAGGTGAATAGTAATTGGGTGCATTAAATATGAGCTTTAATATTGCGAAAATTCATTATAATTATTTCTCAAGTCATGTGGCGTTGGTGCAGTGCACAGTTGATTATTGTTGCTGGTATAGTGGACAAACCAATAATAATACTAACAGCTGGACCAGGAGGTACTTCCTGTTATGTTCATACCTAGTACTTCTTCAATTAGGGTTTATATGAAATTTTCAATTAAGTGTTTCAGGAACTTGACATGTGAAAAATTAAAGAGCTGACGGGCCCCTTAATTTACCTAGTTAATGTTGATTAAACTATACTATAAGAAACACCTCTGTAATTAGTCCAAGGATAGCAAACTGAACAAAATATTCTCCAATATGTGTCAAAGCAAATCAAGCTATGATTTCCTCAAATACATGTCTATTGAAATGTATAAACATTGTGGTGACATGAAACAATAAAAATAAGATGAATGACAAAGTGGTGTTGTCTTATCAATATTTGAATATGCTTTTCAGATCCAACATTGAATTACATGCCTTGTGCACACTCTTTAATATACCTGCTAGTATGGATTTCATACACAAACCAAACAAATTAATTAAAAATCAATTTAAATATGATGCATCAACAAACTAGCTGGAGAATCTGCATATAAGAATGGAAAAATGACACATTATGCCATAAGAAGACGTTTATTTTCATCTCTACACGGCACATATGCTATACACTTTATACAAATTTACAGTCAGGCACATTGTGCATGTTACAGAAGTACATGGTGGCTGGTGATTTTTACATACTGTTTTAGCTTTAAAAATCCTTTAACATTTACAAAGTGTTGTTGTAATATGTCACCAGTGTGTGGGATATTGTGCAGCAGGTCTTTCATTTCACAAAGGTTGTAAATTATCAAGTCATGTGAACTTTGTTCTAAATGAGATTACAAGAAAAAAATAAAAGGAAAAGGCAGGAGAAGCCCAAATGGCTGTACTAATCAGCAAAGTACTAATGCATTTCTAATTAACAAATTCCAGTTACACATTAAATCGGTAATTCAAATAATTATTTTTCAACATTGATTCAAAAGTAATTACAAGGGGAATGGCTTGTGAAATGTCTTGCCAGAGTAATGGCCGAAAGAAATTGACAAAATTTGACCGTAGAGTGATAATTTACTCGGCTATATGTGAAATAAAGTTACTTGTGTCAGGATAGATCATGTTAATCGTTAATCCCTGATCATTCATGCAATGTACTATTTTCTACTAAATTTCATCAGAACCCAATTTTTAAATGGCAATTCAAATCCTAAATATGTTGCTAAGATGAAATGGCCATCCTGAACTTAAATTTGAAGAGTAAGTATTAACTAATCATTCAAACCAATTTGAAGCAGAATTGGTCAAATATATTTGCAAAACTTGCAGCTATATGGAATATCAAAACAAACTCAATTTGGACTTTCACTGACATTGTTTCACATTACTTGTAAGGAAATAGTAATAACAACTTCCATAAAATGTCAAAATCCAAAATGGCCACCAGCAAACATATAGAATACTGGATCTTACTCATGTGTCATGTATAACTAGGTCAATTTTTATGATGTTATCAGGGGTTCAAATAGAGATCCCTCCAGCAGTTCTTCGGAATACGAAGTGCAGTATAAAGTTAATGGCATAGGACTGATGGATAGCCCACGAATGAAAAGTGATTTGATAATTCAACTACCTCATGATGGCAGGCTAAAAATATAGCTTAATGATTAAGACATCAGATAATTGTATTTTCCTTTTATGGTAAAAAACTGCCATTTCTCTATCACAAAACTCAGAGAAGTGATGAAAAACAGATTATGTTATGTATGTGTTAAAACAGTTAAGGTGCATTATATATTAAATAAGACTGGGTAGCATTAAAATCCAAATCACTTTTAAACTACCATTTCAGACTGAAAGAACTGTGAAAAAAAATGGCAACTACAGGAATAGGAGCTATGCTCTGTACATTCTCTTGATATTTTTTTCCTGATTTTAAAATCATGCACACTCCCCTTCTAAGATTTACCATTTCCCCCCAATTTTTAAGTTGTAATTTTCATTAAAAACAAAATCATCACATTTTCAGGAAATTCTTCATAAATAATACCACTCCTCAAATATCTGAAATTTGCAAGGTCAATGTTTAAACAATCACTTCAAAACTACCACAAGATTGAAATAGAATAAAAACCATGGTGACATACTCAATGAACCTCTGCATACTAGCACTATGTAAAAATTTTAAGAAAATCTTTAAATCTAAGAGCTTCAAACCTATGTTCTAGAATATATACAAAAGATATTGTTATTCCTTGCTGCTCTGAGACTTGTAATCAATTCTACAGACAAAGACATTGGCTGATCAGATAACTCCAATACATTAAACAACCTGGCAAAGTAAACTAATGGTGTAGGACTCTTTTGTTGATAGTTTTATTTCTGATTCATGTTTGAACAGTATTTCTAGCAGGTATCACAACTAGTAAATGTTGTTACACACAAATCAGTATATCAATAAAACACTAGGAAAATAATATATGATACATGAAGGAGTAAAAAATGGCATGTTCATGATTTTTTTAATGCAAAATAAGTGTAAAAATCTGTTGTCTAATCCTGCATTTTGTGGAATGATTAAATACTCTAAAAAAATTTACTGAGAACGATGAAAAATAAGCCCCATTTTTCTACATCAAACAATGTATTAAATACTAATAAGTAAAGTTTTTCCTTTCTACAACTCAGTATTCTTCTGGTGTCCTGCTGATTGACAAAAGAAGACCACATGGAATACATACTAGTTCTATTATTTTTATTCATTCCCAATGATACAATGGTCCAGCCATTGAATGATATCAACTCCAAATACCACCCTTAATTTTAACTATTAACATTTTCTGTGTATAGTTGTTCACATACTAGGTAACACCATGTAGTAACCTCCCTCTATTGATATATAAAAGAACAGCAAATACTGGAAATATGTCCATTTTAAACATATTGAGTGTATATCTGAACTTATTTAGTAATTACTTTACATCAAGACACAAACTTTATTAATTTGTTTGATGAAGTCTTGGATATGGCATTGAAATTGAAATGCTTGTTTTTAAAAGAAGATGCCAAAATGGAATGCTATCTCATCCAGATAGGTCTACTTCAAACATCCACACTGTGATACATGTAAAATGCTTTAATATGAAGATAACCAAATGATGGAAACATCTCATTCTTCCTATATATTACACAAGTGCAAGGTAATACTCCAGTTGGCACTATCCATTTACCTTCACAATATCTACAATGTACGTAAGTTTACCATCTCATTGGTTGGTCCTCCCAATACAAGTATCTACAATGTACGTAAGTTTACCATCTCATTGGTTGGTCCTCCCAATACAAGTATCTACAATGTATGTAAGTTTACCATCTCATTGGTTGGTCCTCCCAATACAAGTATCTACAATGTATGTAAGTTTACCATCTCATTGGTTGGTCCTCCCAATACAAGTATCTACAATGTATGCAAGTCTACCATTTCATTGGTTGGTCCTCCCAATACAAGTATCTACAATGTACGTAAGTTTACCATCTCATTGGTTGGTCCTCCCAATACATGTATCTAAAACGTACCTCAGTTTACCCTTAGTTCCTCTTCTCAATACTGACAAGATGAGGTCACCTTCCTAATATCCACCATGTACCTAAGTTTACCTTCACAATATAATTTATTTTCCCAATATCTACAACGTACCTAAGTTAACCGTTAGTTTACCCTTCCAATACTGACAAAATGAGTTCATTCTCTTAATAGTACCTAAGTATAAGTTTACCTTTCAAGTACTGAAAATATGAGTTTACGGTCCCAATACCTACAATGTCAGTTTATCATCTCAATATTGATAAGATTCTCCCAATATCTAAATTTGCCTTCCCAATATCTGAAGCATTTTTCCCAAAATCTTACAATGTAATGTGTATTCATCAGTTCTTGAAAGAATTAAAAAGATATTCAGCTCCTAACTTGAAAGACATTCTCTGAAAAACATTCTGTCTTTGACAAAGTCTTTAAGATTTAATCTTCTTTCATCAAACAGTTCTTCTGTAAAGGTCTTCCTTTATGCTGATAAAGGCATGTTTCTTCAGTGAACACATGTATATAGCGACCATCTATCTATAAATCATTGATATATACAAAGTAAAACTTAAACAATGTTTATGATGTAAAAAATGCACTGCTGACTGATATCTATACCAAGCTTTGTAAGAAAATCCTAAAAATATCCAGTCACTAGATCTTTTTACTGCACACAAAATACATTTTCATATATCATACATATCCACAGTTAAAAATACATGAAAATAAATAACATACATTTTAAAATGTCATTAACTTTCAGTTTATAACCGAGTTCATTTTCTCAAAACATACCAGCTCACATCCCAATCAGTAACAACCTTCCAGAAACAATGGGTAAAATTTCTCTCATCAACAACACAGAATAAATAATCAATTATTGTCACATAATGCTGACTATGTCAGCAGAATTTAGGTACATAGAAAGCTTATTATTTTACAACACATTTTGCCTTGGTACAAGTGCACTGTTTACATTGGGTAATAAATATGACTTCTCTATGACATCGTTATTTATACTTTACTAAGGCAAAAGCATCACATAAATTTTTGTTCTATTTTAAATTTCATGTCGACTGGTCTTTGGTGAAAAATATTTATATTGATAATCCTGACATATATAATGCTTTATGATGTATTATTTGAATTCTAAGTAATGTTCTGTTCTTGATTAGAGATGAGATAAACAGATTTCATACTGGGCTGAATGTCGAGATTGACACTAAATACTATATATCGGAATGTTTTTGAGCAGTGCAACTTTAATGAAAATCCTAGATAAGTACTTTTGTAATGTTTGTTTATTAAATTTTTTGCAATTTCATCATCTCAGAAATTTGAAAGGCATCTTTTGAAGACTTTGAATACTTTAGAATAAACATAGGTTACATATATACCAGTGTAGGTTCAAACATCAACTGAAGATCTAACTGACCAGTCATTTTAGATAAGAGATCTAAATACCAACTAGTATTTATTTGTTATGAAAGTATTCATGTCTAGAAAGTTTTCAGGTGCATGTAGGTACGGCACCACTTTAGATGTATTACTCATGTGTTCAGGTGCACATGGGCACATGAACTCTATCAATGTTTTACACTTGTGTTTACCATAAAAAGAAGAAAACATGTAAATTTTGCAATTTCATTTTTTTTTTGTGAATTTTAACAGATTGCTAGACTCTCAAAAATTTGATACACGCAGAAATTCACGATATACAGTAATTTTCTTGCTTATAATTCTTCAAATCATATTGAACCTAATAACAATCACTTTCACATGTAGGGTATATCATGAACTTAAAATTTTTTCACCATCAGTAACTCAAATTTAACATTCACCTACAATAAAACAAATTTAATATTGAAAACATCAGTGGGATATTGACTCTTGCACTGCTGGAACATTGACCTCCTTACAACTGCATCACGACAGCCAATCCAGCGGATGACATCTTCTGTGATCCTGAAAAGGCTGAAGGTCTCCTCAGTCATAGGTCACTTACTAACGGCAGTCTTTCTCAGATGAATGAGATGAACATCTTCAAATTCAGATATCACCTTGGCAGTCTCAAGCTAAGGTCCCATACATGCAAGTTTAACTCTGACTAGAGAACTGAACTTACATTTTACCCAAACAATATTCCAGGAATGGGCAAGGTGAATGTTGTGTTTGAAAGGCATCCTCTGCTTGATGAAGTTCATATCAGTGGTCAAGACTGAATAATGGCTTTGCATTGCAATGATAGTTATCCATTTAGATCACAACACCATGAAAAGTATTACAACAATAAGTAATACACCTAGAAGAACAAATATTGCACACCACTGTCGTTTATCTGAAGAAGAAGAAGAAAAAAACAACACACTTAATGTCACAACACTTACAGTGCCAAGTACTACATGAAATGGTCTTTAGGTATAAATAACATTTGAACCAAGGTAAATGTGATTCCATGTACATCGTTAATCAACATATGAAAGCATAAGATGTTGAAATTGAATATTATCTAATGGGACCCTCCAGTATGTCCTCCGATACTTGTTGAGATCTATGCTGCATACTTTTAGATTATAAATTTAAAATAAATTAATAAAACAATATGTTCCTGTTATATTGCAATACAACAAATATCTTGTAAGGTGGATGGTCAAGACACAAGGATATCCAAGGTAAATATTGAGCCTTAAATAGCACAAAATGCTTTCCAACTTTCCATATTCAATGACACAGGTAAGTTATATCAACTGTTAATTATGTGATGAGGTGTACCTGCTATCAGACACATTGTAAGTTGTACTTACCAATAGACATGTGATATATTGTAACTACCATTAGACATGTGATACATTGTAACTACCATTAGACATGTGATCTATTGTAACTACAATTAGATATGTGATACATTGTAACTACCATTAGATATGTGATACATTGTAACTACCATTAGACTTAAGGGTAAGAGGTAATGGCAACAAGCCCAGGGTTCTGAAATATTTCTGAAGAAGCCCATATGTTTTGGGCGAAACCGGTAGACAAACAGTAATAAATAATATTTTAGAATCCTGAGCTTGTTGCGATTGCCTCTAACCCTTTAGTTCCTTCTACTCTTCAATCGTCCTGCATACCTGGAGGTATCCAAGCAATGGACCACGGAACCTACTCAAACTTTACTAAAAGTATGGTGTTGGCTCTTCACCTTTTTTTATGTTTCATCATTAGATTTGTGATAAGTTGTAACTACTACTAGGTATGTGATAAGTTGTACCTACCATTACACATGTGATGAGTTGTACCTACCATTACACATGTGATGAGTTGTACCTACCACTAGACATGTGATGAGTTGTACCTACCACTAGACATGTGATAAGTTGTACCTACCATTACATGTGATGAGTTGTACCTACCATTACATGTGATGAGTTGTACCAATCATTAGACATGTGATGAGTTGTACCTACCACTAGACATGTGATAAGTTGTACCTACCACTAGACATGTGATGAGCTGTACCTACCATTAGACATGTGATAAGTTGTACCTACCACTAGACATGTGATAAGTTGTACCTACCACTAGACATGTGATAAGTTGTACCTACCATTAGACATGTGATGAGTTGTACCTACCATTAGACATGTGATGAGTTGTACCTACCATTAGACATGTGCTGAGTTGTACCTACCATTAGACATGTGATGAGTTGTACCTACCATTACATGTGATGAGTTGTACCTACCATTAGACATGTGATGAGTTGTACCTACCACTAGACATGTGATAAGTTGTACCTACCATTAGACATGTGATAAGTTGTACCTACCACTAGACATGTGATAAGTTGTACCTACCACTAGACATGTGATGAGCTGTACCTACCATTAGACATGTGATAAGTTGTACCTGTCATTAGGCATGTGATGAGTTGTACCTACCATTAGACATGTGATGAGTTGTACCTACCATTACATGTGATGAGTTGTACCTACCATTAGACATGTGATGAGTTGTACCTACCATTAGACATGTGATGAGTTGTACCTACCATTAGACATGTGCTGAGTTGTACCTACCACTAGACATGTGATGAGTTGTACCTACCATTAGACATGTGATGAGTTGTACCTACCATTAGACATGTGATGAGTTGTACCTATCATTAGACATGTGATGAGTTGTACCTACCATTAGACATATGATGAGCTGTGCCTACCACTAGACATGTGATGAGTTGTACCTACCATTAGACATGTGATGAGTTGTACCTACCATTAGACATATGATGAGTTGTACCTACCACTAGACATGTGATGAGTTGTACCTACCACTAGACATTTGAGAAGATGTACTGATCACTAGACATGTGATGAGTTGTACCTACCACTAGACATGTGATAAGTTGTACTGACCACTAGACATGTGATGAGTTGTACCTACCATTAGACATGTGATGAGTTGTACCTACCACTAGACATGGGATGAGTTGTACCTACCACTAGACATGGGATGAGTTGTACCTACCATTAGACATGTGTAAAACTTTTGCCATCTTTTTCATAGTTGCATCCATCTTGGATTCTGTTGTATCCATCTGGTGGCCAAAGTCATCCAGCATGCTGTGGAAAAATATTGAACATATTATATGCTTGAGACTAGCATAAACTTTGGCTTTGGAAAATATGTTTGTCACACGGTAAGAAAATATCATCAGAGTTTGTAACGTTTCTTCTGATTTACTAGAAAAGAAGTACAGTAAGTAATAATTTTGAATGGAAGCAGTGGTTTAAAGAAGATCATAAATCTTTTGTCATGTTAATAAAAATCAAATTAAAGTATTTACTTCAGCATGTTTACAGTTTGGTACCATAAAGGGGCCTCTTCAACACATAAAAGCTTAGCTTATGCCTTATATAAAGTACATGTTTAATTAAATTCTATGTATCTATAATAATGTAAAATCCATTCAAATCAATCCTGAAATAATTTATGCATTTAATTTTATAACATTTTTCAGGTATTTTTAGAAAAATATATTTCATACACATATTTTCTGTGTGAAACAGAAATTTCCAAAACTTATACTAGAAAGAAATCAAAACCTTTAAACTAATCCTTTAGTCATAAAAACATCTGAATATTAACTAACTATATGTGACAGCAACTGTGAATCTCTTCAATTTATTAGGGTCTACATTTTGAGGGAATACCTTGAGAACCCATGCAAACACAGAGGGAGAAACAAAATTCTCTAGCATACTTTTTTTTCATTTGAATGTAATACACTTACATATTCTGTTCCTCTAGTTCGTTGCCTATTTGGTGACTCATGTTTTTCAGAACCCCAACACTGGTCCCTATCTTCTCTAACTGGTCGTCCTGAGATTCTATCAGGAGCTAAAACAGAAACAGTTTAAGATTCCAATAACGTATCATAATTATGCTTCAAAGTGAACTACTTCATCTCTTACTGTCAGAAGTACAACAAGCACCAAAGTTTCATTTAAGTAATTATGAAAAATGGCATTTGATTTAAATTTCTGATTTATTGATTTAATTGATATTTTGCTGCCATTTTTTATCTGTAGTGTATATTGTGCTTCATTGTTTCTACGTTCATATGATATATCTTATTTCTATGTTTGTATGTGCTACTTTTGACTGATTTAGTGCTATCATGCTACTATATTTCTGGGTGTGTGCTATTGTGCTACCCTATGTTTGGGTGTGTGATATTGTGCAACCTAATTTCTTGTTGTGTGCTATTGTGCTACCCAATGTTTGGGTGTGTGATATTGTGCTACCTTGTCTCTGGGAGTGTGTGATATTGTGCTACCTTGTCTCTGGGAGTGTGTGATATTGTGCTACCTTGTCTCTGGGAGTGTGTGATATTGTGCTACCTTGTATCTGGGAGTGTGTGATATTGTGTTACCTTGTCTCTGGGAGTGTGTGATATTGTGCTACCTTGTCTCTGGGAGTGTGTGATATTGTGCTACCTTGTCTCTGGGAGTGTGTGATATTGTATTATCTTATTTCTGGATTGGTGTGAATTGCCTATTGCCAGACTTGTTTAATAGTATACTACCTGTTGCTGTTGGGTAGTGTCATCTATAAACCTCTGGTTTGCACGCTCCATATCTTGGTCCAGTTTGGTGTAACGATCATATTGTTTACCAGCTCCATTAGATATTAATGCCTGAGTAGTATAAATCACAGTGACAGGAATTATTGTTAACAATAAATGTAAAACCATAAAGTACAGCCTTATTGTTCAATATTTTACAAAATTGTAATAATTTTCCATCATGAAAATGTCTTAGTAAAGGTTAAGCTATCACATATTATTTCATTTCACATCAACCTGCACTCTGCAACAGCAATAAAACATCACATCACACATTTACGCAATTGTTCTGTGACATGTAATTTCAGTCAGTAAGAGTGTCTGACATGTCTGGCAAGTTGTGCGAGAGTGCAATACAATATTTCATCAAAGATGCAAAATTCATGAAATTGTAAATATTATGGAATTAGATGCAACTTAAATTGCATGGAATCCTACTTTGAGCAACCTGTGCTCTTGTTTTGAATCCTAAATATAATAAGACAGTTATGGAACTTTGTTTCAATTGATATGAGGATTTGTGGAGCTCAGATCACAAATATCAACCTTGACCTCCAGTGATTTGATTGCAACAAAGGATCATAATTGTATACTATAAGTAATCATTTTAGATACTGATGACATTTGCCTAGCCTACTTTTTTTCATTTTTGATCTATATAGGACAATGTGATAACATTTCATAATGGAACCTTTCAAACTACATCCATTCTGCACATCCCAAATTTTGATTTCACATCTTCAGACATTCAATATTACCTGCCGAGGTCCCATATCTTCCTTTGGCTTAGCTTTTGGACTGGTTAAGTGAGATTTCATTTGCTGGAGAGAAACAAAAATCTTCATGAAATTTGATTTGTCTCATTCAAATTTAAACCAAGACCTTTAAAGACACTCATTCACAATTGATTTTAAAGACATGATGAAGACTATACATTTTATCATTGCTAGTTGGAGTAACTGTAATGCATTCCTATTCCTGTGTCTTAAATACTATTGGACTCTTTCCTTTATTTCTGTGTTAGAGGGGGTATTGGAAGGTAACAATGATCTGATTTTGTTAACAAATGATTTATAATGTATATATGTGTGCATACATAAGAGTTGGGTAACTTAAAGTCCTTGCTGAAACCTAGTCTATAATTAGATGACTAGCAAAGATATACTGAATATGCTTCATTTGAAATATTCATAAGATGAAACATATCTATTACTAAAGACTACACACGGGTCTTAAGAATAAAAAAAAAATATAAAATGATCAGAAAAACAATCACTTACCAGGACAGCTGACTTGGTTCGATCAATGAAAGCTCTTCTGTCAAGCAACTCTGAGGTATCAATTCTAAACTTCTTTGGATTTTTTTCCACAATACGTTTTAATGTTAAAGAAAACCATGTATGAATGTACTACAAAGTCATTTGATGTAAGACTACAATTACTATAATAACAATATTACAAACATTAACATCCATAAAATCTCATTTGATGTCAATTAAATATGAAAGGAGAATATACATGTACCAGGTATGTTAAATTCTGAAATGTAATAAATCTAATGTATCGTAGAAGAATATAGAGGAGAAAAATCTAGTAGAAATAATGAAAATATTGTATTGAATCCTTTTATATTTTGACATTCCTTAAAGGTGACTTTGATTTCCCTAATTCACCTTCTGAACTCGATCCTACACTTCTGACCCAAGGGCCAATCAAGAATCCTCGTCAGATGAATGAGCTCTAAGGATGCAGTAGTGTTCATTATTCGATACGTAGAAATATATGATTTGTATTGAAAGATATTATTTTTATAATTGTGGGTCTTTTATAAAATCCTTAAATTTTTCAATTTTAATAACACATGCATGTAGAAAAACACCATCACATTCTGCATGCCTCTTCCCCAAATTTGTTCAGTGATCTTTGACATGCAGTGAAAAAGAAACACATCAGGCCCTTTTTTTTTCAATGAACCTGTATGGATTATAAAACTTCATTGTGCATCGATAATAGTTGTTATGTAAACAATATACAGAGACTGAAATTTGAACAGCATACAGAAACTGATATTAGGACAATATTTCAGTGTGGATAGGGCTAAAATAATATGACTGCTGAAGTATATACCTTTACAAAATTATACATATATCTTGTTTTATAAAGGATATCTACGGTCTCCTCCAAATCCTCCAAGTCCCATTCTATACTCCGCAAGCTATTTCTCAACTCATTGGTTGTCCAATCATATTCTTCCTTAGATACTGACTTTGGATTTTCCAGGAGTTCACACCATCGGTCATACAAATTACGAGATGATTGAACAGCCTTTTGTACTTCACTGTAAATTTGAAAATATTTCATTTGAAAATACATAAAATGATTGATCCTACAGAATCCCTTAATATGCAAGTATTCTGAATGAGGTGACAGGCTGGGAATTTATTATATCAGGGTTATGGATCTAGGTATTATTACATTTATAAATACAATTCAGCATTACCATGTGCAAGAGGTGCTGAGCTCTGACAGACAACTCTTAAATCATCATGTGTGACATTGAATCTGGACACTCTTTAAGCATACTTCTGTCATAATCAGGTAACAATCATTTATGAAATATTGTAGATTACATCATGTAAAATTGACCTAGTTTTCTCTTCTCTGTGGCAGATTCTGTGGTAGTCTTCTTTCACATGTATTTTTCTTTCGGCATGCTATTTACATCATTACATGTGATATGCACAAAGCATTATTGGGATTGGGGGCCAAATATAGATGCCTAATTTATATTTATCATCTAGTCAGTCTGACAAGTTTGATCGGATAAGGATTTTCTTCATTAGTTATTTAGTTTTTGGAAATCAGTGATATATAGATTCAATCTGGGATACAGGCTTAGGGATGCACAATTATATTTGTTCTTTGTCCCATTCTATCAGAAAATGGACATTTTCTTCAGCATTGACCATCTTTAAAAATTAATAAAAAGAATGGATTTGTTAAAACATGAAAATTCATTAGCAACATTTTCACAAAAGTTAGCATACATTGTATTTAATTTTTACATTTTAAAATGTTTTGCTATTATTTTTTTATGAAAAATTATATACAAACACAACAAAACTAGTTTAATCCAATGTCTTTTTGCTAAATATCTGATAAAAAAATTTTAAGTTGAAAAAGGGGCTAAAACTAAAAACAAAACCAACACAATTTATGTATATATATATGTAACCCTGGTAAAATACTAGTCGCAATATACCACTAGACTAGAGAGAACTTCTCTTTAGCTCAAATGGTTGAGTATCAGACTAGTAGCCAGGGGTCACGGGTTCGATTCCTAGCAGAGGCATTGAAATAAATAATGTCCTCTGTTACACTGGCGCCCAGGTAGGGACCCGGGAACAGTACTTAGCCATGTCCCACCAGCATCGCTGTAACCCCTGGAAACTCAAGAACAAGTTATTTCCTGGAGGGGGAGCATGTAGCGGAGGCATTGATAATATATATATATATATAAAAGAAATAATGATTTATATAGAATCAACAATACAAATGATGTCATTTCTGAAAAGCTTTATCACTGTGGAACATAACGTAAGAGTTGTAATCACAAGGAAATCCGACAGACTGACTGTAGTTTAAACTATAGTGTCCTCTGCCAGGACCGGAAAGAGATCAATATATATCAATGTTTCTTCAGCCTTCTTTTCAAGTAGATATCAGTATCAAAGAAGTAATTGATCATAACAGTAATGACAACTAATCACAGTAAATGACCATCCTGGAAGAAGAAATTCTAAATTTCTTGGAAAGTGTGTAAATAAACACAACGTAAAATGTGTTTCTGTATTAAAAAGAAACGCCGGGCCAGCGACCGTGTACAGTTGAGATTACACATATACTTATAAAATTTGTATTGGTTTGAGAATTAAATTATCTTTAAACGTTGGTATAGTTCTGTATATAGTAAGCCTTTAGCTTGATTTGTATTTCTATAATCTTCCACCAACGAACAGTGTTGACCAAAATCTCTGACTGTCGTGTATTTGTTTGTCAAGTGACTTACTCTCTGACAACGAAAAATGGGTCTTCCAGAGACATTCTGTGCCTCGATCAAATTAAAGATGTTCGTCTGTTACAGCTCCATTTCACAAAATTGTTATATAGATGGTTATTTCTCACATCAGTCCCTTGAGCTCAGACAAAAAAATACGTGTTATAAAAAAATTATTGGACTCATCACAGGAAATACTAAGGAAAAAGCAATAAATAAATCAATCGCGGAAGACAGAAATACGGAAATTTGCAACAATTAATATAAATCAAAATTTAGGAGAAGGGAGAACACACAATAACATAAATAGACTATTCAAAATCAAATTTTTAAAAATCTGTTTTCTTACAGAGATTTAAACGGCTATTTTAAAGTTATATAAATTTGTTTTGTGATGTCTATTTTCGCGCACTGTTATTGAGTTATCTCCCTGTCTCGGAAAGGTCAAAAGTTCAATCGCAGCAGCAGCAGCAGCTCATCAACATCCTCTCTCCTCTCTTCGATAATGTATCCGGTCTGCGGCCATCTTGAAGGGATCAAAGAAGGTTTGATCACCGACCTGAACATGGAAACTAGTATTTTATCATCTCAAAAATAGTTAAAACAGAAATATGGTCAAACGTAAAACTATATCTGGCGATGATTTGGATGGAGATCAGACGATCCCCCTGCCTATCCAGACGTTCTTCTGGCGGCAGACGAGGTAATTAATACTCGACTTGTTGACATATGTCGATGATTTCGTTATGCATTAGTTTGTAAATGGTGGTGCAACCACAATAAACAGACATGGTGAATACTATCGTGGGAGAGAATTAGACGCGTGAATGTGTCTGCGCTGGTCTAACACCATTGATATAATACAGTCAGCAAGGTGGAAACGTTTACATAGCATTTTAACGACGTTTATAAACATTGGACATGTTTGTGCTATTGAGACGAAAAAAATTGCTTGACATTTAAAAAAAAACAAACAAAAACTGTTAATGTACATAGTATATACACTGTGTTCATGAAGTATATATGACTTCGATAATTAGACTTTTTCACTTTTTGGACTAGTTGTGAATTCAGAGATCTGGATTTTTTTCTGTGATTGTTTCCTTTGACATTATTAAATTAACTCCATCATAATTTTTTCAATTGTGGAATTTTTCTTTCTTTTTCATTAAATGGATCAAAGTACAAGTATGTGTGTTTTTACAGGGTATTCTTTAATAATTATAATTTAATTTTCTTCTATTTTCAGACCTTTCATTCGACCAAAACTGGAAAAGCTCTGTGAAGCATCCTGTGTGGTGAGGATGTGTATTTGTTATTGTAATATTCGTGTTTGATTATTTTTGACAGATCATAATTACTTGTAATTAATGCAGTCAGATTTATTCAAAACAAAAGTATATCGAAAGGTATCATGTCTTGAAATAGAATACTTGAAATAATAAAATTATTATAACTATATTAATTGGAACAGAATACAGTAAATGACTGATCTTATAACAATGCTTTTCTTCAAATCTTACAGTCTACATTATTATGATTATATGCAGTATTTTTGTGCTTTTCAATGTTAAATAAATGATTTATACACTGACATTAATTTGCTGTCCTTGCAGTCATTCGAACGTGTGGTGGTCCAAAACATTTTACATGGATGTTCCCCAAGTCTATGTGCTGCAATACAGAGTGTCCCACGGTGGAAGGTTATTCAAGCTGCCTTCCCTCATGTCATGCATGCCTGTTCCACACTCCTGACATCTTGTAAGCGCATAAATATAGGTAAGGTTATAAACTTCTTTAAGGTATCCATGGATCTAATGGTTCTAATGCATTTTTCTTATCTGTTTCATAATCATTATGTACCTGTAACAATTACATGAAACGGAAATATTATTTTTTCATTACTAAAATTAATAAATTTTTCATTGTTTTAATTAAGAACAGTGAGGGTTGAACTCTGTAGTCCTTTTGATTTACTGATAAATTCAGCATTCAGTTGAATGTATGGGAAATTTTCCATAGTAAATTAAAATGGTAGGAAATATCTAGCTGTAATATTTTACTTATGGCATATTTTTAGAGTAAGAGCCGTGCTCTGAGATCAATGCACAGAGTTTTTAATTCATATAATAGCAATATACAAGTACAATTGCTATACAGAGTAAACTAAAGAGAAATTTTCCATAGCAGAGTTAGGAAGAATGAAGGAAGTGACTATAATATACACTTATTTGTATATGTTAATTTACATTGATTTAATTAAAGTCCTTACATCCACAAAAGAATTGTTTCTGCTGAACATATTTCAGCAATCAATGAACAGAACTCTCTCAAATGTAAAAATACTTCATTATTTTAGTTATAGTATCTGTTATCTTAATATCTCCAGTTCTGTCTGCTTGAATTGTATCTAGCCATATACATGTAGATACATGTATGTGTTAAGTTAAACACATTTCCAACAGTACAGTATATATTATAGATATATGCACATGTTAAGTAAAACACATCACCAGGAATACAGTATGTGAACATGTGTGTTTGTGTCAGTCAATAAATGAATCCATGTGTGCACTTGTCATGTGATTGCTTTTAGCACAAATCTTCAAGTGAAGTAAAATCATTCGCAACCAAATGACTACTAAAAATATGTAAATTTTCAGTTTTGTTTCTATATTTACTGGCTGAAGAAAAGTTCATCTTTCATTTTTCATGGAATGTAAACAACATGTTACAATGTAGAATGAAATATATATTGGGGTATAGAGAAAAACTTCTTCAAGTGACTTAGAAATAATAAGTGCAGGGCCTTAGGAAAATCACCTGTTGCTAAATTGTTAACAAGTTATCATGAATTTGGTTCACCACTGTTATATTACTCCTCATTTGTAAGACTGATACAATACTACCAAGCTTGTGATAGGATACACAGTTCAGGAAACTCATATACTTCAGTACAATATACAGATCATTGTTAGTGTGGACTTCAAACTTTCCCAATTTAGGTAGGAACTGTACACAATATTTTCACTTTCCCTGCCAAGTTTAATTACAAATGTTAAACGTATAATATTATATGATAATCGGTTCCAAAATAGTTTGTGAAACAATTGTTACAACTATTTCAAATAATTTTATTTTCACAGATGCCAGGTTTGGTTCTAATGAGACAAAGCTGCTATACATTCTTCATTGGATTATCTTGGATGCTGCTTCAGAATGTGAGGATCAAGAGTCTGACCCCCTCCGTAATGGAGGTCGTACCATTGGAAATAGTGGTTCTTCTGAACAAATGCACTCTCTCAGCACGATACAACTATTTGTTTACCTATTTGCACCACTTCTGGACTATATGGAGGACTCAGATTTTCAGACCTTGAAGTTGGAGAATGGTCTGAGACTGTGGCAGCCACTTTGGGACTATAGACAGCCTGATATACCCTGTTTTGCGACGCCTGTCAAACCACAGAGGAATGTATTAAAGGCACAGCGAAGTCTGCTGAAGATTAATACAAATGCAGGTTTAGTGTACATGGGGAAAGGGACTTCCCGAGAGAATCTTAATGTTGGATGCATGGAGAGAAGTATAGAATGTGAAGATGAAAACAATTCAAGTCGTAAGACAAGTACTGGAGAATACCAATCTCCACGAGCACCAATAGTTACTATGTCAAACATCTGTCCATCCTCCACAGGAGAATCTCAATCAGCCAACATAGAGGTAATCTGTGAACACTGTAATACTGTCATGTCTGTGCGTGGTGCTGGTGATGGTAGTCGGCGTTGTAGTTGTGGACGGCGAGAAAGTTCTTCTTCTTATGACAAAATGAATCCTCGTCACAGACTTCCATCTCTGATAGACCATGACTTTGTGAAGCAGAGGTTAGTGAGTGCTGTAAACAGCGGCGTGAAAGGACCAACTACTCCAGATATCCTAAGTGCAAGCTACTTTGATGTGGCTGTTTTGCGATGTCTGTTCTGTCAGTACTGGTCTGAGGATGGCATTTATTGGGCACTCAAGTACATACAGCAGCGATTAATGGAGGTTTGTGATGAGGTGTTCCGAAGAACAAACGTTGATCGAGCAAGGAGCCATTCACTTCCTTTCTCTGACATTAAGATCCTGAAAAGTGGTGGGTTTCCTTTCAATCCATTTGAAACACACAGGTCAGCAGACAGAAGAGGATCATCTGCCAAAGGTTTCAGCAAACTCACCTCCAAACTGACAACAATTCGTAGTGGAACAGAAATAGATAAGCTCTCTCCAGACAGGCCTACATATCTGTCTGCATTTGAAGAGCTCCGAAACAGGGAGACAAAAAGACTTAGACTTGGAGGTGTTCGGAGACACATTGATACTGGAACTGCACAGATAAGTGGAACAAAACATACTAGATTGTCCCCAGTGGGTGTTCCACCTGTCAAACATGGAGTGCAGTTTGCCACATCAAAATCTCCTGGAGTCTCTGCCCACACTTCACCTTTCCCTCATGGAACAAAAGATGATTCATCCAGTGGTGGTACAATGTCCACTGGAGAAGGAGACGGAGACACAGATCGAGGCTCGAAGAGTCAACACTCTTCATCCAGTGGCAAGACTGTGAAATTCCCATTGTCACTCAGTGGAATTACTTCATTTGATAGTGACAGAAACAAAAGCAACCGTAGTACATACACTAAAACCAAACTTCATCCCCAAGGCTTTGACAAAGATTCTGCAACCGACAGTAGCAGTCATGAATCCTCAGCTTCTTCCCAGCAGGGTGAATCAGCTGCCAATGAAATGAGCCAGAAAAAATTTGACACAATGCCTAAACCTATAATCACAGTTACAGAGCATAGCTATGAGTCAATTTCTCCCAAAAGTCCTAATGGCAGAGGCCATACAGAAATGGGTGATGATGGACAAAAGAAATCTGGTATCTCTCGTAGCATGACAGACTCTGATATAAGCTATCATCAAGGAGATGAAGTGCATGAAGTGCCTGGATCTGTCCACTATATCCAGGTAATATGAAAATTTTACATAACAATATGGGTTGTCTTTTTAACTTTTTCTAATATTTATAATAAGCAGTGATTATTGCTTCATAAATCTGTACAAAGTGCTAGTTTGATTTTTGCACCTCTTAATGCTGAATATATATATTTTGTTAAAATGAAAATAATACTGAAAATATCCATTTTACACTTTTAACGGTATAAAGTAAATATCAGTGTTGTCCTGATTCTTTTTTTGTTTATTGGACTTTGTACCAGTAGATAGTTTTAAGATTTTCAAATTCTGAGTTTTTCTAAAAGTCATGGTAGATATCTGATATGAGAATGATTTTGCATAAAGGACAATGGTCATATCAACTACAAGATCATCCTCCAAGCTGTCCACTTTATCAGTAATACTCAGACCAGTGACCGAATTTGTGAGGTCCTTCTTAACATCATGAACTGGCTGCTCGACCTGGACATCATAGAGCGACCAAAGGATAACCAACCAAAGACACCCACCACTCCAGCCTCTGAGGGTGACCGGCCCCAGGAGGCTGAGGAGAAGGAGGGAAGTCCCTCTCAGACCAGTACAGGTACAGAGGCTGAGGGACAGGGAGATTCCACTGCACACAGTCTGGCTATGGATACAATACTCAGGTCAGAAGTAGTATTTTATGTATTTTACAGTTGTATGACATTGAAAGAACATTTAGAACGAAAAAAAAAATAGTTTATAGAAAAATTCAGTACAAGAAGAGAGATATGTCTTTGTATATGCCTACAGTGCCTAGTCTAGTTGCTGTGAATTATCATAACATGAAATATTAATGACAATGCAATGACTTTGAATCAGACATGCATGTATGATTATTCAGCACTTCTATGTATTTTTCATTTGAAATAATTGGTAAATCATGATAACATGTTTGAATCCAGAAGTCTAAATTGTAAGTAAAAGAAAATGAAGAAAGAGTTTGAAATACATGTACATGTATTTTTGTCAAATTCTCTGACATTGAAAGAGCTGTATCTTTGACTTCTTCAGCATTTTCAAAGCCCTGGGATGCCCCCATGGTTGTGGCGATGGTGTTCGGGGGTCACATGGCGACCTTCTAAGGTTAAAAGGTCAAAACTGCTTGCAGAGATTACAGAGGGTCAATCCAGCATTGTTTAAAACATATTTGAAAGACAATATTAAAAAGTCACCATTACAAGACAGTGTTGACTTCCTGCATGCCTTTCTTGGGTTTTGTGTTGAGCCCTGTTTGATTCTACAGCAGAGTGAGCGTGCAGAGAGATCTGGATCTGGTTCACAAGGTAAATAATTGTTATTAATCTGGAGGTTATTTGTGAGTTGTGATTTGGTGGTGAATTACTACAGTCCAGTCTGAAAGATATCTACTCATTACACAATTTCTGAACTAGTTTTAACTAGTTTTCTCAGTGAATAATGATGAAATTGATAACACTTTTCAACTGAATGATTAAATTTGAAAAGAAGCAGCAAATTTTTCTGTTTTTTTTTTTTTATAATCAAAATTATCTAACATCTGTAAAATGTAAACTTGGAAGATATTAAAGAAGGATTATACTAGTCCCTGGTATGATTTAATTATGTAGATAAACAAACAAAATAATTTTTTTTTAACCAAGACTTAGTACTTATAGACAGAATGCTTGACTGTAATTTAAGCAAGCTGAGTTGAAACAATCAATTAAATTCATTCATTTATTTCATTCGTTCATTCATTGTAGCAGGCAGTAAGAAGAATAGCTGTCAGGATTCACAACAGAATGGTTTCCAGAACAACTTTGGTCATGCTATAGGTGGAGTGGGGTACCGCGGTGTAGAAGGGGTCCTCATAGCATCCATCTTCAAGTCATTTGTATCCCGCTGTGTAGAGAACAGTCGGGACCTTTATGGTAGTGACAACATTGTAAGTGTATTTCTCATATCAGATAATAACTCCTTCAGAGATCACTGGTCATCATATTGAAGAGTCAAAATGCTTTTAAATATTTTATAACATGTTATAATGTTGTATAAAGTTACAAAAATTTGTTTGGTACTGAAACTGTAAACTACACTCATCAACATGCATACATACCTCCTTAACTTCACTGACAATCCATTATCTGTTGACAGGGTCTGTTTTGCGATGTGCGACAGTTTATGGCCTATGTAAAGGAGATACATGGTGGAACATTTCGTCGTGTTGGTCTGGGAGGACTTCTTGATTCACACCAAGCTCTTAAGCAGAAGGAAAAGGAACAACAAGAGAAACTCAAGCAGTCTTTACCAATCAGGTTATATCAGTGTTTAGCTGTTAACTTTCTTTATAAATAGTAGGATTTGTTGTTGACATTTAACATATATGTAGGTGTAAGAACTATGATAATGATATCAGAATGAGTAACAAAGTGTTCTGATTGTTTCCGTGTGAAAATTAGACAGATTTTTGATATGTAAAACATTTTATTTTAGACGTGTCATCTGTGACTGAGGTTTATGTTCTTAAGGCTGACAATGCAAGTTAAAAAAATTTCCATGTTGAGATAGATAAATATATATTTTCTAAAATGCTTCCCTTAGCAATATCTTCTGGTCATTGTGTCAATGGAAGTAGGAGGCATTTTAATCCAAGCCTTGGAAACATGTACCGGCATTCTAAGGTATAAAAGGCCTGTTACCTATCAAATTGGTTATAACTATTTCGATGATGGCACAACCCCACTAATAGGTATATTGCATAAGAACATTTACTGGTTTCCATTTTGCTCTTCTGAGCAACTGAAGAACCTGGAGATGGACATTGAACACATCTGTAGTAAACAGATGCAACTTTAAGCAAATAACAGAAATACACATTTATTTACATTACAATTTACACACCTTGAGCTGTGCGTTTTGGAGGAAAAAACACAAAATATCTACAATTGAATAACTACAGCAAACCCTTCCTTGTTTTTCCAGAGTGCAGACATAAATTCTTGCATAATAAGCTTTACAATTTCCAGTTATTTCCCTTCAGAAATAGAGTTCACCAATCAAATTTTACACAATCTATTACAGTTCACCACTTTGATAGTGCTTTACTGGTCATGCATTTACACAACAATGATTGGGAAAGCATAAACATATAATAGTCATATGTTATACAGCATTTTCAGGTGCTTCAGTGACATAGTAAAATTGGTCATGTAGAATTAGTGCATCTGTTTCGGGATATATGAGATGGATTGCAGGGAGTTTGCTGTGTATTCAGTTTTATTATATTTTTTAATATATCTTTGGATAACTGAGAAGTACTGATCAGCTTCACACATCTTTAAGGTCCTCAGGTGAGTCTTTTTGGATCATTCATACCTGTAATCACATAATATACAGGTGAGTTTCACTTTGGGCGGTCAATGTTGAAATGATAACTAGTTTGACAGGTTGTAAGCCTTTTATACCTTGGGATATCTATAATCGTTTCCAGGCAAAGCTTGGATTAAAATATCTGCCACTTCCTTAGATAACTTACCGGAAGATATCATTATCATATAGGACATCTCCAAAGCAATTGGGAAACAGAAACTTTTCTTTTTTATATCATAATTAGTTCTTTTTATCTTGCATTGTCAGCTTAAAGGTCATGGGGGGTCAAAGGTTAAATTATTCTGATAATCATCAAAAAAGTAATTTTGGATGACTTACTGATTTGAAGTACCTGAAAAGGCGATATAGCTATCACTTATGGGATGTAAGTTACCAGTTATCATTGGTCTTCGTTGTGTGCACAGTTCTGGGCAGAGCACAGACTACATAACAGTGCCTCTTTTCTTATATCACAGTGAGATTTTATGAATAGTTAACATGATATATAGGAATATAATATGTATTAAGCAGAAGCTAATAAATAATTTGTTAAAATTATGATCAGGCGTACTACGTCACAGACATCCGAGAGTGGTGATGAACGTGAGACTCGGCGCTCTGTATCAGCTGCATCTGAGGAGTCTGGGAACTATCATGGAAAAACTCGCAAATCCCTTTTCAAGAAGAAGCTGAAAAAAGTTACTTCAGTAAGTACACAAATGAGATGAAAATTTGCTGTTGCATTTATTAACAGGAAATCACATGCATACAATTTCTTTTGTATTTCTTTTAATATCTTTTACATAATAAACCTTTTGTAAGTTTAGTATTGGACATTAGAGGGAAAATAAAAAAACATTGATAGAGTGTTTTGAAAAGCATTGACCTTCATCATCATTTAAATAAATAACTCCATTAGTGAATGATCATAATTATTAATATTGCCAAATATCACAGTCTCTTTAGATTGTGATGAAATACCTTGATAGGTTTATAGCTCATAGCCCGAGTTGCTATGTAGGCCATCTTACTTCACAGATATCAATGGTCAAGCTTGCTAATCTTTTTCTGCATTGTCAGTTGTCATTCATAGAGCATTGTTTCATAACTTCATCTCCTTTCACTACTGATATGTCGTCCGCTTAAACATGATGGTATGAATAACAACAGGAAGGAATTCCTTCTATGATTGTGAAATGTTCGTTAAGAACAATGTTGTCATATTGCCTGTTTCCAGTCCCTTGCTCTACAACAATATGCAGCAGCCAGTGACTCGGAACTGCTGGATGAAACCCACAATGCTAAGCATAACTCACCAACACCAACTTCTACAGAGGATGACTCCATAGCCAGCAACAGTACCGGGAGACGGCGCTTCAGTAAATTCCACCTTGGTATGGAATATTCTTATATAAATCACAGTATAATACAGGGTAAAGAATTAGAGACACAATAATGAAATACTGGTTCTTAGGAGATTTCAAAAAAAAGGAATTTATTTTTTATAGATATAAATGCACATGATGGAGCTTTCAGTCATTATTCCTATATAGAACTGCATTTTAAAAACCTTAGCAAGTTATCAAATGTTATATACATGTTTCATTATATTAAAGTCATCATTTGTGTTGCTGATTTAACATAATTCATCATTTCTGTTACAATGTTTACAGAGTTCCTCATTTATGTTGGTATTATTACAGAATTGATCATTTGTGTTGCTATGTTGACAGGCTGGAGACGAGCCACCAAGTCTGACCATGAAGAGGAGGCCCTCAGTGACCCACCACCTCTTGACCGCCGGGAAAGTCGCAGTGAGTTACAGTTCAACCGAGTCGCTGGTAAAGGGAAAATGTCCTTCAAGACTGCCAGTCATGCTACAGTCACATTCTTAAGTGCCAGGAAACGGATTGAAGGCGGTTTGAAAAGTCTTGGCAAACGGATGAGTAAACGAGGCAGTGTGGATAGTACGTAGGAGTAACTGTGTTGTACCAGTTTCATATGCATGAAAATATACAGGATATTGGCTTGAGCAATCAGAGTTCTAATGTGATGTTCTGAGTGTTAAGTCTATATTACAGTCTTTTAGGTGTAACTTCAGGTGGTGTTATGTCTGAAACATGTGTTACTCATTCTATTTGTATCTATTGATTCCAAGTTATTTATGTCATACATTTAGCATGGAGGAAAGGCATGTTTTACAACTTCTCCTAGAGTACACTCTAAACTTGGCATGCTCTTGTCTAGGATGCTTACCAGGTACTTCTGTCTTCTTTATTGTGTGTTTGTAATTTAATACTGATTTAAAACAAAAACAAAACAAAAAACAAAGAAAAATATTACTGAAATAGCAGGTATTGTTTTATTGTAATTTTTAAAGTTAAATGCCAAAGGTCATTGCATGTCATTATTGGATGTTATACTCTTGTTATCTTTTTGGAAATTAAGACTAGTGTTGAAGGTGGTGGTATGGCCTGTTTGGCATAAAGAAATGGATATATTTAAATTTAAATTGCCATATATAAAAATCTATAACAGGTTTTAACTTTGCAACATTTGATTTGCTTTTATATGTATCTATATATAATCAAAAGCCTATATGTGTGCTCAGGTTATTTGCATTCTGTATGCCGACGAGATTTGTTCAAGCGTTTCAAGCTAGTGATTCCTAGTGTTAATTAAGAGACTGGTATTCCCCTGGCGACTGAAGGTTCTGTATTACTTTTTTCATCACCAGCAGAGATGTACAATTTCATTTTCGAAAATCTAGCACTCTATCATGTTTGAATAATCCTTCTAGCTTAAACTCTATGTACAGACTACCAAAAAATGTTCAAAATTACCAATAGTCATAACCTAAAATTGGCTAGACCTGAATGGCAGGCTAGTGGAATTGTACAGCCTTGCTGAACACAAAAATGTCATTTATTTGAAAAGTTAATTTAGCATTGCATTTACAAACTACCTAAATGACATCTGTTGCTCGATTCTAAGACTGCTGCAGATGTCTTTATATATATAATAATAACAAATGACATCTGTGGCTCAATTGTAAGACTGCTACAGATGTGTTTGTATAACAGGGGACATTTGTCAAGTCCTAGACTGCTGCAGATGTCTTTATATATATATATAACAATGACAACTGTTTCTCAAGTCGCAGACTGCAGCAGATGTCTGTTTGGCATTGGCATGTACATGTATGAATTTAGTATTCTGTGTACATGTACTAGATACTGTGTATGGGGAAATACTAAAGGTTTTTTTCACCTGAACATTAAACAGATTTCATTACACAGAGATGCATTTGTGTTAACATGAAAATTTTGCGAAAACCTTTATTTTTGCCATATTGGCAAAGAGGGGAATCAAACAAAAGTTTAAAACTGAAGCAAAGTTTCCCCATAGACAGTGTGTTTGTATTGGACTTTGATTATCACAAATCCATGTTGAGCATTTGTTCAATGTCAATGTGATTTCTTATGAAGCTCTCTAATTGCCTTTATCATGGAATTGATGAATCCTTTCTGTACTTAATTGAAATTTCACAATGGCTACTGTCAACAATTGGGTCATCTCAAGACAATCAAAAGATCATGCACATGCAAGTACTTTTCTCTGACATCACAAGTACAGAAGGAGTTAATGTGCTCTTTTTAAATGTATGATTACATTTGCCACAATTTTCCTGATATGTATGTTCATCTGTATGATCGTACGGTTGGTGATATTGTCTTTTTTTTTGTATTTTTGCTTTAATGCTTCAAAAATACCTTGGTGAATTTAACAGTTTGTACATTTACTACCATACTTACAGATTACTTTTGACGAATCATAATGTGGTGAAATTATGAAAAGTATACAAAAAATGCAAGAAGAAAAGGTTTAGATTTCAGTATAACACATTTGAGGGTCTTTTTTTAATATTTAGTGGAATAGTGGTAGACAGTCGATTATGAATTTGTGATCTAAATTTTCTTTGTCTCCCTCTATCCTAGACTGGAAGTCCAATCAATCAACGGCAGCAGATGATGCAGAATCTGAGTCCATACTGACCAAGGAGAAAAAGCTGGTTGATCGTTTCCTGGTGAAATCAGGAATGCTAAGGTTCTCATTCTTGTTGGAGTGCTGTCATCCAGGTTCCATACCAGACCCAACGCTGGTCTCTGCCATGCTTGAACTGGTCAGTAAACATTCAGTTAACAAGGGTTTAACCAAATTGTGTGAAGTGTAAGTCCAGTATATAATATAGATATGAGTGTTGAAGATATAAAACAACAGTAATCAGCAAGGTGTATTCATGCTGAGATAATATTTATCCAGATCAGTTCCTAAGCTCAAGTACATGTCCTTCTGTGATAACAAGAAAGTTCCTAGTATATTTCTCTCTGTCCTGTGATGTTTTAGGAGGCCCCTGTGATTGCCAGAGCATCCTTGTTGTTAGAATGTGCTCACTTTATCCATCGCTGCAACCATGGTGACTGGCCAAACTGGATGCATCTGAATCTTCCAAGCTTTCGTCACTCAGCTTCTGCTTTACAAAACAGAGGCCAGCCCTCTGGCTACCGACGAACATTGACTTTACAGAAAGCAGCTGGACGTATGTTCTATGCATGGGCAGAAGTAAGTTATCAACTTCACAGATATACAGGTAGCACCCATTTTAATACTGTGTTTTTTACAATGATTTTAGCTAAGGAACTTTCAGGTGGATGACTGAAGATACAGACACTTTATTTCTGTTATCTGTTTTAGAATCTTGGTACCATGCTGCAGTACATCCTGGCTAAAGAATATGCAAGTAAGCTTGATGTCATTGGAGATGTGAGATCAGAGGCAAGGAAGCGGGAACTCAGAACCATGGATGATGAGGAGGACTTTTTAGATGAAGGTAGAGAACATTGGTTTCCAAACTGTTTGTAATTCTATTTTTGCTTTAATGAAAAACCCTGACTGAGAAGTAGCTTATGTAACTGTAGGGACGGTATGTAGACCTGCTTTGATATGAGATTTCAGATGATAACATTCAATATTTCTCCTTTACAGCAACAGTGAATGAGTCTGGCAGTAGCTGTCCATATGCTCTCAAAATGATAGCCTGTTTGGTACTTCAAGAAATAACGACATTTCTTCGTGAAACTTTCCGAGATTTACCAAAGAATAGGAGTCCTAGAAGAGAAGGAGGATGCTGGGAACGTAATCTGACAACACGGAGATGGAGCAGCATAGTCAGCAGTCCAGGGCATTCCCCAAGTTCTGAGTCCAACATGGCTGATATTCCACATTCTTCATCTGGTAAACAGATCTGTGTGGACTACAGTGTTTTCTACACAATTATTCACAATATTTAAACTTTTGAAAAGAAGCATCTTTTTGAATAAGTCCCTGTAGATTTTGTTCTGCATTTCAACTCATGTGAGAGTGTAGCTTGTCATCCCAGTATTTTGTAAATTGTTCAATTCAAACAATTTTATATCTGGTTTGTTAGTGTAACATAGTTTCCAAGAAAACATTTTGATTAAGGATCAATCTCTATAGTTTATCATTTATTTGATTTTTAGGTGTTGCTGTAGGGAGTCCAGGGGTTGGAGAAAGGAAGATAAGTTTTGCTGTCCTCGGCCATGCTGATCGATCAGACTCCTTGCACAGTAGTACAACATCAATATCTGTACTGGACCCAACCATGTCACCCCACATACCAGCGGACGAACGCAAGGGTAAGCAGATTTTTTCTTGGCTTGTAAATCCATTTGAACATCAATATTTTTTCTAGTTCCAAAAACTCTCTATGAATGGCCATTTCATGTTGTTTCCAATTTGGCATTACTGATATTTGATTTTGAAAAAGTGTCTTGATGCTGTTTACTGTAGGTCGAAGACTTGCTCAGGGGAGACAAAAGTTGTTGAGGTACAATAGACGAGGTTCTACACATAACACCAGTTTTCGTCATAACCGAAGCTTCCGACTGATGAGACAAACAGAAGGAAGTAAGTACCTAGAATCATCTACAAGCTGTTTTTAAAAAATTCTGGGAATAAATATTTGGTGTTGCGATTATTTTAATACCAATTTTATTTAGTCACACAAGTATCGATTATTTCATGACACTGGTGACAAAAGAAATAAGGATAATTTTCTTTTCTAGGTTTAAAACGTATTGGCAGTGTGAAAGGAAGAAAGGTCAGCAGCCAGTCCCTACAATCTGGAGGTGAACGATTCCAAGAAGAGGACGGAGTGGATGACATGGAATCTGTTCTGAGTGATGAAGCAGAAAGTGGAGCGGAATACCAGGAGACAGATGACTACAGTCTCTGTCAGAATATGCCTTGGATAAAGGTATAATTACAATAGGATTTATGGAAAAAAGGCACCTTGTTATAGGAATAACACTTACCTAGTAGTGTCTTGATACATTAATCATATTGTCTACATCCATTTTGTTCCAATGAAAGTTTTGATTCTGGAGATTTGAACAACTCATACTTGGGCTAGTTATGGATCACACAATTGTTGTATACAAAATTGCCAAACAATTCCAAGAATCATGTTCTATCAAATGAATGGCAGAGACAGTACTAAACACTATAAATAAACCACACTGATTCAATACTTTTACATATACCTGGTATATGTTTCAATTTCTTGATTGAAATGTCTGCATGTAATGACAGATTGATTTGTGTTTTGTTTACAGGTAGTGGTACAGTTGGCAAATTTGTCAAACTTCATTTGCCCCCATCAACACTACTGTCATCCCAATTGCTATGAACGACAACGACGCTCCTGTTCTCGTCTTGTGACTGCAATGCGAAAAGTCTACCTATCTACAGAGCATGACCCGGAAACTCTTGACAAAAGTAAACAAGGTCTTCATACAGACTTTTTGAAGGAGAGGCTCAAGCGAAGAGTGAGTAGTCTGTAAACTGAAACATCATGTAAACCAGAGCTTAGAGTTTAATAGTTAGGAATGAAATAAGGAAGAGATTTCAGCAGATGTTTTATTATGTTTTACTGTAGAATAAATTAGGATATCTTGGCATCATCTGCCAAGCAAGCAAAAGGAAATTGGTAATATATAGAGACTTAAAAAACAAGGTAAATGTTTACATTGATATTAGGTGGTAGTTAAGACAGGGGCAACTGAAAGAGGGACATTACATTGAAGTTTGAGTGGGTAACTGTTTATATATTTCAGTGTTTTGTAAATTATAGAGAGTTTATTAGGATGTTTTCTTGCAATTAAAATGTTAGGGACTTGGCAGTAGTTATTACCCCTTCTTAGGTAAGAGGGGAATAGTAGTAGTATGGTAGCAATAATTGTCTGTGTGTGCATTTGTGCATTCATGCTTCCATTTGTGTATGTGTGTCTATCTGTGATAAACTTATGTACAAGAAATTTCCTGATTAAATTGTAGTGACCACTTTTTGTAAAAAAAAAAAAAAAAAGCTTGCGTTTATGAGTCCATGGACAGATTTAGTTATTCACACCATATTATCAGCCCACCAAGATCTACACCTGATTGGATTTTGGCAGTCCTCAGTCAAAGATCAACTGCCCTTGGCCAGTTTTAAAATAAAAAGGTTAAGTACAAGATATCTCACGAACCCCTTAATCCCACAATAGATTCAGATCAGAAGAGAAAGATGAGGGGCTGAGGAATACATCTATGTGAGCCTCTACTCACTTTGTTTTCATATCATTTGAAGTTATGAAAATAGTCAAGTGCATGAATGTTAGATAGAATTTGTATTTACTTACATTCGTTGAACTTGGTTGTGTACATTTTGTTTTATTTCAGGAGTCCATTTTCCAGCAAAGCTCTCCAACAAAACGTCGGGAGAGTACACCACTCTTGGAAAAAATCAAAACTGATGTGTCTATGAGCAAACTGAAGATGAACTCTACCACAGTGAAGAAGGAAGAAAAACCAAAGGAAGTAAAGGAGGACACTGCTATCATGAAGTACATCACTTCTCAGGTTAGTCTCAACAGAAAACCACCAAAGATAACAATGTATGTGATTAATGAAAGGGAAAAACATAATGAAGTCAAGTTAAACAGTATTAACATATATTTTTATAAACGTGTATTTTCACTTTTTGACCAGGTCCAGAAGTTGACACAATGCCCTATGGGAATTCTGGCCAAGGCAGCTCCTATTTTGACGGAGGACAATTTGATAGACATCCTTCCTGTGGCCTGGGAGCTGATGCTGGAGACAGACCAGGAACTGGCTGCTGCTGCAGGTAACCCCTGCTTATCATCACCACTGTGTCATTGGTGTCTATAAGAAATTTTGAGAGGACATGTGGGAAGGGTTAAAGATTTGTACTTGTTACATCCTTTATATGAAAGCAAATGAACTTCATTAAACTTTCTCTCGTTTTTAAGGACTTCTTTCCTTCTTATTGTCAATCTTGACATTAACGTGTTGTTGACATTACCATGTTGTTGATATTACAATGTTGTTATGTTGTTGACATTACCATGTTGTTGACATTACTGTGTTGTTGACATTACCGTGTTGTTGACATTACCATGTTGTTGACATTACAATGTTGTTGACATTACTGTTGACATTACCATGTTGTTGACATTACCATGTTGTTATGTTGTTGACATTATCATGTTGTTGACATTACCATGACATTACCATGTTGTTGACATTACTGTGTTGTTGACATTACCATGTTGTTGACATTACCATGTTGTTGACATTACTGTGTTGTTGACATTACCGTGTTGTTGACATTACCGTTTACATTACCATGTTGTTGACATTACCATGTTGTTGACATTACTGTGTTGTTGACATTACCGTGTTGTTGACATTACCGTTTACATTACCATGTTGTTGACATTACCATGTTGTTGACATTAGATTTGTTTGGCATGGTTGTGTATTTGTGCAGGACACTTTACTCTGATCTTCTGGATCACATGTAACAGACCTCCTGTAAGTTGTTAGCCAAGAAGATACCATCTACTGCAAGGTGACCCCCACCTCATAATGACCTTGGCTGTTGACGGGGTTAAACACCTATCAAACATACAGACAAACAATAATTGTGTTATGGTGTCATTATTTCCAGTGCTGTACAGGTATTGTTCTTCTTTTGTAGCATCTGTGTTCCTGTTGTCATCAGTGAAAACCCCAGAGAAGGCACATGCTTTGATCACTAAGGAACTGCAGCATGAAGAAACATGTCAGAGGATCAATGCTGTTCTCAGGTAAGTACTCATTCAAATTCATCAGCTAAGACTGTTAACAAAGTTCTCAGCCCAGACTTCTGAGAGTACCCTCTACTCAGATTGTTGACAAAGTTCTCAGTCCAGACTTCTGAGAGTACTCTCTTTTCAGATTGTTGACAAAGTTCTCAGTCCAGACTTCTGAGAGTACCCTCTACTCAGATTGTTGACAAAGTTCTCAGCCCAGACTTCTGAGAGTACCCTCTACTCAGATTGTTGACAAAGTTCTCAGCCCAGACTTCTGAGACTACCCTCTTTTCAGATTGTTGACAAAGTTCTCAGTCCAGACTTCTGAGAGTACCCTCTACTCAGATTGTTGACAAAGTTCTCAGTCCAGACTTCTGAGAGTACCCTCTACTCAGACTGTTGACAATGTTCTCAGTCCAGACTTCTGAGAGTACCCTCTACTCAGACTGTTGACAAAGTTCTCTGCCCAGACTTCTGAGAGTACCCTCTACTCAGATTGTTGGCAAAGTTCTCAGACTGTTGACAAAGGTCCAGACTTCTGAGAGTACCCTCTACTCAGACTGTTGACAAAGTTCTCTGCCCAGACTTCTGAGAGTACCCTCTACTCAGACTGTTGACAATGTTCTCAGTCCAGACTTCTGAGAGTACCCTCTACTCAGATTGTTGACAAAGTTCTCAGTCCAGACTACAGTGGACACCTTCAGCTCAGACTGCTGACACAGTTCTCAGTCTAGACACCTGAAGGTACCCTCAGTTCAGACTGCTGGAGCTGTCTGCAGGCAAGACTCCTGAAGGTACCCTCAGTTCAGACTGCTCAAACTGTCTGCTGGCAAGACTTAAGAGAGTACTCATGCCAAGTACTTAATGCTATACACACTTTTGTCGGCCTCCAAGCAATGTATAAATCATTTAATGCTGATAGTCTGTTAACTAAACTTGTAATGATGTATTGAGAAGACAGTTTTTCAAAATTTGTGCACACATCAAAGTATTGTATATATCTTTTTTCAGATTTGGAGTTCTTTGGAAATTTAGACATCAAGTTTGGCCAAGAATGGAAGATGGTGGAAACATGTTCTTTAAGGTAAATGTGAATACCATTTTCTTTTGATGAGTTTTTCTTTAACGTTCAACATAATTTCTATCGTTTTAGAACTTGGGTTAGTATGAAGATGTAAACTTCTGGAAAAGAGTTACTGGGATATCAAATAAGACTCTTAACAGATAGCTGAATAAGAACTGCTTATTGATAACTTGGGGACTCTTAATGTTGTACATGCTATTTGAAAGTATACCTCTCCCAGCCTCCATATATTGGAATGGGAAAGGTTACCTCATTGGGAGATCAATACTTTTAGTTAATGATGGCTAATTGAGCATTGTACCTCCATGTGCAATTATTACATTTTGTATGTAAAGATTATTTGATCTTATAATAGCAATCATACATTAAAATATGTAATGAGAAAGAAGTTTTGACAAAAAGTGGATTGTACATTACATATTTAGCATTTAGATATAAGTGTGAAGGTGTTATCTTATTTTCTTATTGTTGTTTTTATTAGATTATTCTGTTAATATACCACATAATTTTATGCTTGTGTTTTAAGCTGCCACCACCCAACATAGATTTTACACTTCCTTCTCCGACCATTGGTCTGCCCAATCAGCTGGTGGTAGACCCACCCTGGACACCTCACTTCAAAGCCAAGATAGAGGAAGTGACTGTCAACCAGGAAGGCACTGTAAGTCTATTTACCTTAGAAGTAGGTGTCATCGTTGCTTGTAGTCAACAATTTCTGAAATTTTTTGTTTATAATTGGTGACTGATCATCGGAACAAAACAAAGGCAGCATGAATTGTCAAATATAAGGAATAAAAACAATTCAGAAACTATAGAATCAGACTCTTGAAAGGTATAGCCTGGTGGTAGGTATAAACAGTTGGTAGTTATAGAAAAGTAGTCACAGACCTGCAGTAGCTGTACTTGGTATATGATAGCTAAATACAGGTACATGTATTAGCTATAAATGAATGGTATATATATACAACTTTTGAGATATGAACAAAATTTTAAAAAAATTGAAAATCAAGTTTAATATTTTATTCAAATTCCTGATAGCCTAAATGAAGCTAGAAAAAATTTTGTATTGAAACTGAACTCTGTTTAGTATTAAGAAAAAGTTAACATATGTAAGAAATGCTGCAAAATCCTTTTACCAAGTATTTTTTCACTTGATGAATTTCTCTGTGATACTCTCGCAGAAATCCTTAGTTACTGCAACCACCACACGTAGAAAGGAACAACAGGAGATGATTCGGAAAGCTCTCCAGGCTGAGGAGGAGAGAAAACGTGTTGGACGTGAAAATTTTCCAATGACAACTGTGTCGATTACCCAACTTGCAGCCTATGAACCAGCTCTTCACCATGCTGGGGAGGAACATGAGGAAGGTATAAGAGTATTCATTGGACTAACAATCTTTCTTCCTTTAACTGCAATGCATTATACTATACTAACACAACAAACTGTATTGTGATATTTCAGTGTTTATTGGATACTATAGTCATAATCAAGGCTGACATATGCTTCATTCAGAGATTAAAATATTATACCAATTTTTCTATTATTAGTCTTTGTTTGTTATTGATACAGTATGAATATTATCTAAATATTTCGTAACAATAATGGTTATAATTTATGATTTTTTCATAATTATTAAACTTTTGGGAAGTGTTTTAATTATCTGTCACCACTGATTAAAATTATTGCTAAATCGATCTTAATCTATACCCTCTATTAACAAGACATAGCATGAAAATTAACCATGTTTCTTGTAAATTTAATGAAAAATCAATCTGGCGTGGAAGCGTAGACTGTTTGTACTACTGAAAGTTGTTAGAATGTTTGTGACACCCATCCTTCTGTAATACCACCCCATGTTGCTTTCTCCATTAATACTGTTTAAAATACTGTGTTTGCTATCTGTTGTCGTGATTAACCAATTCAGTATTGTACCCAGACAGGAGTTACCTTCCCTTACCTGACAATGTATAAATGTAATGATAGGCAAAATACCTGTTTGTTCATCAATAAAACATCATTTGAATTCCACTTATTTTATTCTTAAAATTCGAAATGTCAGTTCTTTGATTTTATCATTAGATTTTTTGAAGAGATACTGTAAAGTATGTTTTCACCTAGGGAGCATCTTATCCAAGAATCACAATGCAGGAAGATAAAGTATGTCAGGATTTACGATCAAGATGTCAGCAAGTTATCGTCACTTGGCAACTAAAGCATGAGATACATATCATTTGTTTAATTTTCTATCATTTTAATTATACTAATTAGTAATGATTAAGATGTTACTAAAGAAAGTATTGTGCGATATTTTTACATCATACTGAGTATTTTATGATTTGTTGATTACTTAGGAGAATTGGACATGAGGTGTGTGCTATACAATTGATATACTTACTGGATTCTGGTTCAGACTTTCAACCAAGTTTTCTCAAAAATTTGAAACAAAGAAAATAGTTCAGCATGCTTACAGGTACATATGTATGAATCTTTCATCTTGAACAAATTTGATTAAACATGGTCTTTTTGTGTAAAGTTTCAGATATTGATTCAGGGATAAATATTATATAAAATGAGAAAAAGGGATATTTTTCTTATATTATTTTAGTTCCATAGATTTTGCTGAAATATTCATGTAATTTTAAATAAACTCAAGAAAACAGTACCATATTTTAGTTACAAATTATTTTTAAAGTACACAGAGTTAGGGAGTTAATCAAAAATTAAGAAAAGGTAATTTTTTTTTACTTCAAGTAAAGCTTTAATATTTCAATATTAATAAGATGTTTGTGTTAGGGATGGAATGAAACTGGGGCAAGTATCTTATCATATGAAGAGTTTTGAGAATTTTGTAATATTTTTTTGTGTTCCCCTTTTGTCCAAGAATCACTTGTTTTTATGCCTTTATGTCCAGTGTTTCTAAGCCTACTAAGCTGAGTTTTAATATGCATATCATGTCTAGTTCATGCTATGTTTGTGACGAATATGTGTTCATCCTGAATCCCAGAAACCATTCCACCCATCATCACATGATGATATAGATTGTTAGATAGGGTGGAAGGGTTACCCCCATGTCCAATTCTCCCGAAGTTTTGTTCTAACCTGAATATGATGTTTACTTATCAAGTGTTACCAGCCTGAATAACAGAGATCATCTTCAGCTAAAATTCTGACAAACAATTTTCAAAAAAAATTATCGAAATGTTTGGATTATCTTTTTATCTTTAAAATCACACATTCATTGATATGAACATGTCTGACACATCGCAGAAGTAAACAGGGTGTCAATCTGAACAGTTTTGATACTCTTGCATTAAATAAAATGGATTTTAACCCATTTGATGTGCCAGTATCTCAGATCACTTAATGTTCATTTTTGAAATGATAAATCAGGGTTTTCCTTGATGATCTCTGTAAGGCACCCTAACCTTCCTGCGTCCACTCCACATGTAATGCACCTGCTTCTGATTTTGTCCTAACTATAGCTATCATACCTGAGGAGCTTAACTTGGCTGCACGACGTGTTTCCCTTGCTCCCGTCAATCGTGCTAACGTCCAAAGTCGTAGCTTGTCCTGGAGAAATGGTAGTGTGCATTGGGCCAGATTTTTACTTGAAGGTACAAACACATGTTTTATTTAGTCTGAACATTAATTGGCAAAGTGCTAGCATCCAATGGAGAGCACTACCAGTTGTAGATTTACATCTTTTTATTTGAAGAAAGTACAAATCAGTCGACATCCTGGAGAAATGGCAGTGTGCACTGGGCCAGATTTTTGCTAGCAGGTATAGAAAATTTTCTTCAGATTCATAGCGAAATGATATATATTTTTTTGTTATGATACAATATACATATTGTATATCATTGATTCACAAACCATTGCAGAAATCACAGAATTTTTAGCAGTGCCTTTGAAGTATTCCATCTTTAATTTTATCTACTTTCTATATGTGCTTAGATTTTTCTTGGATAGTGTAGTGATTACTACACTAAAACTTGAAAAAAAAAAATCTGCCATTAAACTTAAGCTTTCCACTTTGCAAGTTACTATTTCTACCTTCTGATATTAATGATATTAATCGCTACAACAAAACAGTAAAGAATTTTGATGAATTTGTTAAAATGATAACAGGTAATTTGATTACACTATAATAGCTGCAGAAATGTTGTTGCTACAAACCATGTAGTAAGCAGATTTACTGCTGATTCCACTGCAGACTCATTTTCCAGTGATGTTTATATTAGGGAAAATGTACCCAACCCCAACATCTTTGATCCACCAGAAATGAAAGCTTCGCTGCACAGCCCCCGTCCTTTTTGCCCAGTTCTGTGTACCCAATATGCACTAATAATTACACTATACCTGTCAAGTGAATAACTCCCTGTGGTACTTTGCCTCATACTGTGATATATACACAAATATCATCTCTATATATAAGTATATGAAATGGCTTGTAATTATTCCTAATATCTATATATATTGTTAGGTTGTAATATTTCCCATGGTGTGATTTGAAGTATGCATAAAACATACTTACTATGTATGTCTGCACTCCATATACTGTTTGCAGCTGTAGTTTCACACTGTGTAACATTTTATTTGTATTATTATATGTATCCTTTCGGAGGAGAGTGGGTGGGGAGGTTGAAACACACTGTACTACAAATTTGTATATTCCAATATTGTTGAGCAGAAGATATTATTGCTTCACTAAAAAATTCACAGTCTTTTTAAAATTCTTATTAATATGTGCACAGCAAATTAATAATACTATAAAATAACACTGCATTTAATGTATTATTAACGCAATGCTACAATATTAACACAATTCTGTCTTTATGAAATATGATATATGTGATTTTGAATTAATCAACACATGTGCATGTTTTTTGTGGAGTAAAAAAGTTCTTGATGTAACAAAATGTATTTGTCGCTAAAAGCATATGTTAAACATATTGTTTTTTCTACATGATGCAGATTGTGCTTTTATAACTTCTGAAATGTTTATATGGTAATAGGACCATATAACATACATACTGATTCCCTTGCACACGTCATACAATGCCACATTTTCATCGACTAAGTCATCAACAGTAGAAGTAATCTTTGCTTAACTACATGTCAGTAGTCCTGTACTAAAAGTGTAACATTGATATCTGTACAAACAGTAAGTCGTGGTGTAAACTCATTTGACTTGGTCCAAGACAAGCTATCCACAGTTCATTCACACACATCTTTATTCTTTTCACATTTTTGGGATATTTGAAGGACACTTATGTGACAAAATGAACATGAATAATGGTCAGTCATTATTGACAAGCCATTACATTACCAATATGATGAAACCTATGATAGTAGAATTTTGTATAGCACAGATTCAACAAGCCCTTTGTAATGATATATGATGATTCATTGGCAATACACATGCATTGGTCACATATTAATTTGACGGAGGTGACATGAGAGTGGTCACATAAATATCACACAAATTCCTATCTGATTTGACTTTAAAAACCAGCCTGAAGAAAATTGCCATGATATGATGGATTATATAATACATATTAGAAATATTTTCTACACAGTAAGTGCTTTGACAGACACAACACTTAATGCTTTCCAACCAAGATCATCTGATATGTTTCTGTACAATGTGAAGGATTTATATAAAACACACAGAAACAATATTCAAAGAGGTAGATGTTGACATCAATGGCATGTTTTACATCAGGTGAAGAGGATCGCACAGAACACACACATCATATGCAGCTGGCTCAGACATTCTTCCCATCATGCATTTGTGCAACAGCATTACCCATATTGCATCTGTTGGATGACCAGGATGTTAATGCAGATGGCATATCAGGTATGATTGGAGTTTCTATCTGATAGATAAAATGGTTTCTCTTTTATTCTGTTAGATTTGGCCCTGTCTCAAATTGACTTATATTGAAACTTCTCTTTTTAACATGTAAACATTTTTGAAAAAAAAAAGTTTTGGCAATGTAGAAAGACACCTGTCTTACAATTAATGATGATGTCATAGTGGGACAACTAGACTGGTGGTGCCAGATAGAGACATATTAGACCTAGTAGGGATTGGATAGTTGGACAAATTGAATGGTGGTTATCAGATAGAGAGATATCAGACTTCATGAGGATGGAGTAGCTGGACATCTGAATTAGTGGTTGTCAGATAGAGAGATATCAGACTTCATGAGGATGGAGTAGCTGGACATCTTAATTAGTGGTTGTCAGATAGAGAGATATCAGACTTCATGAGGATGGAGTAGCTGGACATCTTAATTAGTGGTTGTCAGATAGAGAGATATCAGACTTCATGAGGATGGAGTAGCTGGACATCTTAATTAGTGGTTGTCAGAGATATCAGACTTGGTGGAGATTGGATAGCTGGACAACCTTATCGTGTTACATCTTACCATTTGTTTTGTATTACAGTGGCAGAAGTTGCCGAGAAGGTCATCTGGACGTGTATTGTGGAAGACCCCATTCTCTTTCTCCGACACTTCCTGGAGAAACTTACTCACAAGGACAAACAGGTCAGCCACAAGACACCCTCAGATATCAAAAGTTGTGTATCCAAATGTCCTTAATGAGACTAAGTGTCTAGGTATCTGTTTGCAAAGAATATATTTATGAAACCTGTCAGACAGAGGAAAAAATGAAAAAGAACCTCGATTTTACATTGTTATTAAGTTTAAAGATCAGCATCAGCCACTAAGGGAAACAAATGTTTTGGATGTTGGAAAGGTCATGATAGGATCAGCTATCATACTTGTTAGGTTGGAATGGAGATGGGGAAAACATCCATAACCCAGCTAGTTATGGCCTTAGATAGGGTGTTATGTGATTAAGTAAAAATTGTTGTGATCTGTCTTACGTCTTTGGTGTCAGAATATTAGCTCTCTTGTTTTTACTTCTTAGCCTAGAATTTAGTGGACTGGCATAATAATTTGTACAATGTATCATCCATGTAATCCCCAATTGATTAATACAGATGAATAGTGTGCTTAGTAACGGTTAAGTGTAAATATTGTTATTTATATATTTTTAAGGAAGCAGAAATTGGGGGAAATTAGACATAATTGTGTTTTTAAATCCTAAAATTTTATATTTTCTGTGTTGTAGGAGGAACTGCTGTACTTGTTAAGGAGGATGGTGCTGTACTTTCAGGATCTGCCCGCCCAGATGGCTCACTCACTCTACAACTATTTGGTTAGTACAACTAGCTCAATAATCATTTCATAAAGGTAAATTATTTCCTAGATATTTTACCTATTACATTATATAACAGTGTTTCTTGATGCTCATGTAAAAGTTGATATAAAACAATGCCACATTTCTGTTACAGACTGGCTATGTCATGTTTTATGTTCGGAGTCCCTGTTCTGGTAGTCAGGAAGCCATTGCTGGGGCCTTAGGTCTCATCTGGCAGGTAAGGATTGTTAACTGTGTCTGATAATGAAAATCAATTCCATTCTACATTTTAGACTTCTAGCTACTTAGACTTAGGCTCATCAAATTCTGAAATCTTGGTTTTGAGTAAAATTTAAAGAGACAAAATGACATAACTGAACCAGTACACTTATGTGCAAGCAGTATTGATGTCAGGGAATATGTTGTAATCACTGGACTTTGTTCCTATCAAAATCAATGAAAGTTATGAGGTGTGCATATAATTTCCATGCCTATATGCTTACCAAATATGCTACAAAAGTATATTGACATTTCTGACAATGAAAGTAATTTCTTTGAAAGGTGGAATGCTTTAAGAAAAGTCATGTTCATAGCTGATGAGATACTGTGTGTCATTTTCACAATGTTGATGTCAAGAGAAGTAAAACTTGTCTTTGTTGTAGGTGATCCCTAGTGTAGATGATCTATATTTCAAGGATCTGAAGCAGACTCTAAAGAAGGAACAGTGTGATGTAAGTGTCCACATTAAGTGACTGTAGTTTCCTGATCAATAATGATGTCACACCACACAAATCAATAGTGTCTGATCACCTATGCCAAACATTGAGGTACCAACAAGATAAACTTAGGAAGTGTTATTGTGTTGACAAACTCGTGAACAGTCTCTTATTTGCCACGTAAAAATTCTTCTTCCTCTTGTTGATATCCCCATATCAAAAGATTTGTTTAATGTTTTACAGGTTGTCAGTGTCTTTCATGGGTAAAAATGTCTTCCATAACTTGTTAACTACTATAGATTAGATGTATCCTTTCCTTTTGCATCAGGTTTTGGATAATATTGGTGGGAAGTAATTTGACATTGTACATTAAAGAGAATTCCCTAAAAGTATTTATTTTTGAATGATCTTACAGAATGGATATTAGCCTTGGTAATCATAAATACACCTTCAGTATGATAACCTGTATGTACTTTATGAAATTGTTTGAAATCATGGATCAGTCATTAACATTACCACAACCAAAGTCTTCATAGCACCATTTATCACTGACAGGTTTTATTTCAATATATAATACATTGATGATATGTTGGTGTTTATCTATTTAGAACAATTATTACCAAATACAGTGATAAAAACTGTGATACCTGGCATGGAAGGATTAACCTAAAAAACATCAAACTGGTGTTTCAGTTTCACAAATTGATGTTTTAACAAGATGACCAAAGATTTAATTGAATTCTTATTCTTGTACAGAGAGTAAAACAACTTACCATAGAAATTGTCCAGAAAAAGGTTTTCTCTAATGATAAGGCTATTTGTGTGTATAATACATATTCTGTTTGACCAGCTCTAAGAGGAGACAGGAAACTACAGATAATGCTGAATTTGTTTCTATTGCAGCCATACATCATGATATCAGCCAATGTGCCCAGTGCCAAGAAGATCATAATTCATGGCACTGATCAAACTGGTATACCATCTCAGCTACCCATACATGAAGTAAGTCGTGTGGCATTCATTATCATGAGTAGACATTTTAAGATAGTTGCATACTTTGGTGTGTCTGAGAACAATAAAGACATGATGTTGATTTATAAAACCCACCAAACATACAGTTTAGAAATGGTAGGAATAATTTCTAGAAATAAAAAAAATTATTTGAAAGGTTAGATATACCACATGGTGACATGTTTTACTTCATTTTCTGACATTGCTTAATGTTGCAGAAGTATTAACCAAGTCTGTTTTTAAAGAATCACAAGTGAAAAAAAGTGTTCTTCACTGATAAAACAGCAGGTATTGTTAAAAAGGTTAACCTTATATATGTGTGTGTTTTTTATAAGATACACTAAGGTATTTATCAATGATTTTCTCTCAGGATACCCAGTTCTCCCAGATTCTCCAGGAGAGTCTGGATTTCTTCAATGTACCAGAGGATGAATATTCTTCCTATTTCCTGGTAGATACCAAGTCAAGTAAGTCTTCATTTACTCTTATCTAAAGAATTGGCATGGGAGGATAATGATTTTTATAGAAGATAATTACTTCTAGATATTTTTGAAATAGTTTTATTATGTATTTCAATTTATTTTTTATAACTAGTACATGTCAAAGATAAATATGAATCAGCATTCTGTAAATATCATGCTCATTCATTTTTCTTTTTATTTACTCGCATCATGTTTTTATTATTAAATTAACTTTTGTTATGCTCCCCAAAAATTTTCAATGGAGCATATAGTCGCCGTCATGTCAGTTCATCTGTCTTTCCATCCATCCTTTCATGTCTGGAGCATAACTTCCCCTACAGTTAAGCTTTAAATATCTTGACCAGAGTCTAATTTTGCTTGCATTTAAGGAAGGATAATTATTATATATAGGATTAAACTTGGTGTATATATTGGTCATACATCTACAGTGTGCAGTGTACCAATGATAGGGCATGCAACTTCTTAATGACAGAGTTATTGCCCTTGTTAAAATTTTCTTGTCAGGAATATAACTTTGCCTACAGTTAAGCAAGAATCATGAAAGTTAGTGTATGCATTGATGATACTAAGACAATGTGCTATATACCAAATTCAGGGCCCTGGACCTCTCACTTACAGAATTATTGCGCTTTGTTTAAATTTTGTGCCCGGAGCATTACTTTGTCTGGATATTGAAACATGATGTATAATCAGTCATACAAAAGAAGGTGCAATGGAGCAAAGTCTCTGTCATGACTCCTCAGTTATTGCCCTTTGTTTAAATTTTGCTGTGCATTAAGATTTGTATCATTAAATTTGTTTTATACATTGATAATATTAAGAGAATGTGCAGTATATCAAATTCAGAATTATAGCCCTTTGTTGAAAAACAGTCAATGTGTCCAATAAAATTGTTTTCAGGGAGCATCCACCAGTATCATTGATTCTCTTGTTAATTTAGTTTAGTAAATATGAAAGATATGATAAAAATACTAGTGAATGAATGGTACTTAGCAAGTGGTGTTAATTTTGTTTTCATCTTAATATGAAATATGGAAACAGGAAACCAGGAAGTTCATATTCATAGCCTTTACCAAGTATTCCTTGTTTGACTATAAGATATGTAGGATTGTAAATTAAAAAGTTTAATCAAATATTTAGAAATCTTTTTGTTTTCTTTATTTTCAGACCAGATTCATAACCTGAATGCCTATGTGCGTGATTTCTACTTCTTCAGAAGGAATGTCTACCCCCAGCTGAGCCTTGTCAAAATGAATCCAGATCATGCCTTCCAGAGTTTGGAGAAACAGGTAGGGCTATAAGCAGGTAGAATAGTATAGAGCGAAAGAAAATTGTATTTGTTTCCTTTCCCAAAGTATATTCTGAAAGTCCTTTTTATTAATTTGTTTCTGGGTACTAGGCTTTGTTTTTAATGGATGTTTGGTCTTTTTTATTTCCATGATGATTTGAATCATTGAATTTAAAAAGAAACACTAAAATTATATATATATATATGGTGCATGTATATGATAACTTTATCTATCTTAACATGACAGGAGTAATTTATTTGTTTACCTGTGAAAGGAACAAGACCGCTTTATACCATACTTGAAATAATATCAAAGAAATGAGTTTCAATTTTTCATTATCAGGTTCCCCATATTTTGTAGGAAATACTTAACATTATGATATAACACATCCATTGTTAATAAGTATTCTGTCTTGATTAAAATTTACAAGTTCTCTTTACAGTTATGTGTTTCTGTTTTAGGTATTTGAAATAATTGTACTCACAAAATGTATGTGTTTTATAGCTTATTTTAGGACCTATGTATGAGATTTGCTTTATCTACTTGCAGGCTTTTATTCTGAAATTTGTTGAGATCGGCAAGGTCTTATTTACTCATTCTGTGCTCAAGAGTACAGCTTCACATCAGATGCAGAATCATGTCTCCTTTTTACATGAAGAGTTTTTGAAGCAGCCATCATTTCCACGAAAAGCTCTGGAAGCAGAGTTTGGACTGTACCATGGAAAATGGGGAGAGGTAGGTTGTGGATCATGTCATACTACAAATGCTTCTTAAGTCAATGATTGAAACGGAGATGTCATATTGGGAAATAATGATCAATGTTTCTATCTTTGATATCAAATTCAGAATTTAAAAGCATAGGAAGATACACTTCTTTTATATGTGTGTAGAATATGTAGAAGATTTGAACTGGTAATATATATGTAATTTATGTAATGAGTTCTATACCTTCAAATAAAATTCATATGGAAATTAGATCTGTAAAGATGGCCATGTTCAATACATTCATTGTATTTATGATAAAACTGTTTTATGAAGAGTCTTGTAAGTAGATATTTACACAGTCATTGATAATTTTCAGTAGTACACAAGATTCCATCTCATTATACTCTCTGTATATTGAATGTTATAGGAGCTGTATGGCCTGGATACTCTACATAAACTCTCTTGGGTTAAGGTAATTATTTAACCATAATCTTACATAGAAGTTGAAAAACTCAAGGTATGAGTGATAAAGAACATAAACTAATGATTTGATAAACAAAAGTAAGATGTATATGCACAATTTGTTACAAGTTTTATCGTGTAATCAGTCTAGGTTTGCTTTTTATAAGGATAAGATTTAATCATTGTTACCTGAGACTGATTAGAATAAATAAATACAGAGTTACTTATTCCTTTCCTGTTGCTGCAGTTGATGTCAGCCATCTTTTCATCGATGACGAGTACATTTTCATGGACAAATGATCTGCAATTGTTCCTGAATGTGATTAATGGTTGTGTGATTTTACACTGTGAGGACACTGCTTTACTCAGGTTCTGTCTGTCTACTCTCATCAACACATGTCGCCACTTCAAGCACATTTTCTCCATGAATGGGTAAGCCATTGTGACTCCTGTTTCAAGTTCCTATAGCAACAGATGGGTCAAAAATTGTGAAAAATTGGCAGCAATCTTATAACTGTAATTAAGCCCACCCAAATAAATTACTGTTGATAAAAATAATCTACAAGTACTATTGTCCAGTTAAAAGTCCACCCCTGACTTTAAAACAGAGGTACTATTGGAATTATTTACTGTCACCATCAAGGTTATGAAACTGAGTCGTGAAACCTGACTATCTATAACTCATGATCATGGCACATATGTCATTTTTAAGATCCATATATATTTGTAAGAATGATGACTTCTGTTAAACAATGGATACCCTGTCAGTTATTTATTGACAGTATCTTCAAACAATTATGAGAAAACTTCTTTTAATAGTAGCAAGAAGTGTGATATATAGGTTTTACATATTTCTGGTTTGCCGTAGAGGTATTTACCTGTGTGAAGAAAAGAAAATTAAGAGTCATGACACATTACTTATATATGAAAAAATACTATATGAAGTTTGCATTATGTTTTTGAATTATTTCTACTTTATTAAATAGTCGCTCAGCTGGAACCATAGGGTACTATAGGTTTGTGAAGTGTCTGTCTGCTCTTCCATCCTTCTGCTATCTTGTATGGGCCCTATCGTCTACAAACTAATCGCATGGGATACCTGAGTTAGATGGTGTATCATATATCAAAAATAGGTCACATTGACCTTCATTTTGACCTCTGACTTACATTAAAGAAAAGGTTTGTTTGGGCACTGTCTTCTACACAACTGATCACAGGAACTTAATACTTGGGATAGAATTTCACCTTTTTGAGACAGTGTGTTATGTATCAAAATGTAGGTCAGTCACTTTGACCTACATTATGGCCTTTGACTATCCTCAATATTCCAAGGGTTATGATAATTTTCACTTATTGCACCCCTGGAACATTTCATGGCATAATTTAAGATTACATGAGCAAAACCTTTTGGACAAGAAGAAAAAAAAGTAGTTAGATCCTTTGATGTACATCAAACAAATCTCAAGATCACATAATGGTATATTGTACTGGCTTTAAAATTTGACATCGCTCCTTTTAAATCTTCAAAAGGAATGTATCAGCCTGTGATTGGTCAGTTTTTTTCCCTAGAATCAATCAAAATACTTCATTTGTGCTTTTAATTTCACCATGACATGTGTTCAGGGGGTGCAGAAAAAACGAAAGTAGTTGTAACCCCTGGAGTATCGAGGCTGGCCTTTGACCTACATCAAAGGAAAAGATTGTCCTTGCTCTAGTTCCCAAAGCTACTAGTCACTGGAACTTCAAACTTGATGTATGGGTTCAATTTCTTGTGACACTGGAGGACTGTAATTTGGTAAACTGACTTGTCTGATTTTCATTATGAATTTTGGTTTAACAATAGGTTCCTGTACTTGATGCCTACACTGCTGAAGATGTATAGTAACAACCAGCCAAACCCTGTTCTGTGTCAGGCCATAGAGTATGTTTGTAAACAGTTTTACGTCCTACACAGGAAGCCTTTCATCCTCCAGGTCAGTAACATAAGATATGATAAACAATACTTAATCCTCCAGGTCAGTAACATAACATATGGTAAACAGTGAATTGTTTATCCAGAAATTAAAGGATATGTATTTAGTCATATTGTCATCATGATGATCTAAAAGTGAGAGTGATAAATTGATTGACCTGGATTAGTCCAGGCAGATTCTAAGCAACACTTTTTAATAAGAATTTGGTACTGGTTGTTGTAGATGTTTGGCAGTGTGACTCCACTCTTGGACATGACCTCTGAAGATACAGGACTTGTAGATTGCAGAAAGGTAATTACATTCTGGGATATTCAGATTGACATATACATGTAGGTTGTGTATTTTATCTTTAAGAAATGAAATGGATCTTGCATGCTTGGGAAAACTGACAAAATGATTTGGATGGATTTTTAGATACAAGTATGTACGTGTTACAAGAGTGATATACAAGTGAAAAATTGTTTGACCTATTATACCTTTAGAAAACCCAGTATCTCTTATTCAGCCTTATACATGGTATCCTGATACCAGTGTGTTCAGACAGGTACTGTGTCTTTTTGACCAAATATGCCTATACTGATATTGATATATCATGACAGGTACTACAATGTGTATGTGCCTGCTTGTATCCTGATATTCTTGTTTAAGGTGCAGCCTGCTTGTCTGTTCAAACTTCTGCTGTCCCTTGAGCGTGACACAGTAGATAGCCTTTGTGTTCTGGAACTCATCCAGGGAGAGAAGCCATTACGGGCACTGGTAATATATTCTTCTAAATTTTGTTAACACATACATGAAAATACACTGGTTCTTTTATTCCCCTATTTTTAACATTTTTAACTCTAAAACTATTTATATATGTAATTCATTGCTGCAGGATTTCTGTTATGAGAATGACCCCGACCGCCTGGAGATGATAGAAGTCATCAATATGTGTGTGACTGTGATTGGTTATGCTCCAGACTCCTTCAGGAGTGTACAGATGCTTGTAAGTCTTGTCACATTAGAAGTCACAGGTTCAAGAATAAATATCACTGTTTATTTCTTCTAATTGATATATTGGTTTTTCTATTATTCCCTTTGATGTTACTCAGGACAGTTTGTGACTCTAATTGATCTAGATGACATGCAACATGCCTAACATATTTTGTTTTACGAGGTAACCAACAGCAATTAAAAGGAAACTTCACCTCAAAATAACTGTTCACTGGCCTATAAACCTCACAAACTGGTGTCAAAGGAAAGGGAACTTCTCTTTAATTTATTTTCAGACAATGCAAGAGATACATGTATATCATTATAGAAATTTATGTTGTAGCCATTATGTTAGACAAGATTTTATTTACAATGTCAGACGGTATTGGAGGTGGTGGTGCCACGATACTTGGAACATCTACGTTTAGAGACAACACGTCAGGACAACCCTCCTGCAGCTCGAGCAGAAATCAGCATTATCAACAATATGGGTATTTCCATTCGTGCATTGCTCAGCTGCTGTGAATACTTCACAAGGTACAAACATATCCTCTTGAATGGCTTATAACACTAAAACTGTATAAATTATTTGTGGCTTTCTTTATAAAATTTGACCTTATGTATTTAAAGAATTGAAAACATATATACATTAATGATAAATTTTAGTTATAGAATGTTATTTTTTACTTTTTCCCCTCTCTATCTGTGACTTATTATATACCTAGAATGGAAAAGACTTTATGGGATTTTATATTTACATAGAATTTTATGTTACTAACACTAACTTCATTAATAGGATTGGAGGGCTGCATTACGCCAGCCACATCCAATTTTTTTTCTGTTTCTTTTAGGGGGATAGGGGGTGAAGGTTTTGACTCTTTACAGACTTATATAGATGTATCCAGCCTCAGAGACCTTAGAGGTTTGACTGCACACTTTTTCAGGAATATGAGTCTTCCTCAACGTCAGTTGGAGAGTGACAAACCAAATGTGAAATCAAACCAAAGTAACCACTCGCCACTGGGTGGGACTAGTTACTACGATGACAGGGAGGACTCGCATGCGAGCTGGTACGTGGAATTCCTATAATTGAGGTTTTCATGAGATGACAAGATTTTGACTTAGAAATTGATTTATTTTTTAGATAATTTGACAGAATAATGTAAATTTTTAATGGAGAATAAGCATGAACAACTTGATTTTATTGAAATTGTAAAATAAATTGCAATAAATTTAAAAACCAGCTTTGAAATTATCTAAGTAAAAAGATGTTATGTTATTTTACTGTTTTATCTATTACATATAATTATGTTCCAATCATTGGCGTTAGAGTTGAAAAGTTAGTAATACATGGCTACTTGTTTACAGTCGTCACATGGAGGAGGGTCGTAAGAAAGTCTACACACAGGACAGTGAGGACATGGAAATGAGGACGGAGTTCCGCAAACCTCGGGACTCTCTTCTCAGTGTAGTGGCAGAGTTTTATGCCACATGCCAAGGTCGACTCAAGGAACTTCGCAAAATGTTGCAGGATCCCTCCTTCAGACCGCCAGAACTCCTGGACCATAAAGCACACAATGTACAAATTTCTTAACCACATCATACAATTAAACATTAAAAGAGTACCTATTAACGGATTACCTATGAAATATGATACAAATTAACAAGAGTTAGGAATGATGAAGATTTCAGTAAAATCAGATCAGGATTAAGTTACTTTCATATTAGTTTTAATTTTGTAAATCAATCCAAAATATCCATGAAAGGAAGATTGATATGGAGTATCTGTATGATTCAATGGTTACGATTTGATAGCTGTTTTTTGTTCACAGCGACTAGCAGAGATTGCCAACACACTTTTAAAACTTGCCCCATATGATCCGGACACTCTGAGATGTACAGGTCTACAAAGGTATTTCTAGCAAAAGTGACTTTTGGTCATGAAAATAATTATGGTATAGAAATACCACAGTCTTCTAAACACTTGATAGTCTGTTGAATGTGAACTACAAATTAAAATACCACATGATCTCTTTAGATTTATGATCTGTTTATTATGGAAACAACCTCACAATCTGAATGAATTTATGATCTTTATACCACAATAATACTTAATAATTTTTTTGTATTTGTAATATATGTACAGTGAATTACAAATATGCTTAAATATTCTGCAAATGATAAAATGTAATGTTTATGTATAAATTGTCAAATTTTATTCATTATGAAATTAGGCACTTATGCAAATTTTAAATTTGTTTGTATGTTTTATTTTCAATTAGATATATGACAGAAATCTTGCCAATTACTGACTGGAAACAAGAAGCCATTCGACCAGGACTGAATCTAATCCTGCGAAGGCTTGATCGACTCTTTAATAAGATTTCTAAAAAGACTGCCCTAAGAGTGAGTCCATGTATTTTGTTTGACAATTTACAGTTTTTTCCTTGTTCTTTAACCCATAGATATACCACAGTCGAAAGGCTATTCTAACAAGTATCTTTAGTGTTGTTTTTCACTGATGATAAAACTCTGTAGCTGAATTAGAGATACTCACAACACTTTACAATCATGGTTTGGGCCATACTCACAGAAATTTTAGATAAATATAAGGAGGTCAATAAAAACAATTCAAATAAAATCATGACATTATAGAAATCTTGTGTTATGTTTTTTAACGGTTTTGCCACTCAAACTTGTCAATGTGCCAAGAATATGATGATTATATTAAGTGGATTTTGCATCTGCAAAGTTAGTTGCAAGGTACATAACATTAATGATGTTTGCTAAACAATAATATGGTGTGTTTTTCAGAGACAAGCAGATTGGGATGCAGCTGCTAACCTTCTGAAAGGTAATCATAATGCTTTTAACAAACTTATCCATAACCCCTAAAGGAACTCTTTAATGCACATTTTATCAAATCATTTCAGATAAAGCCATCTTTTATACAGATTTACCAAACTTGGATAAACTTGCACATAGGTGTACTGGTTGACAAATTACTTTACTGAATTGATGTGTTTGCAATATATTTCTTTCAACCTGATGATTTGCTCCTTAGCACTGCTATGTACACAGATAATAAACTTATGTTATTGTTTTTATTTTTGAGCATATCAATTATAATTTTTTTTCTAAATCTTAATTCAAAAATTCTGATTGAAGAATTTAGTTTTATCACATGTATTTTTTACTTCTAGCACAATTTGGATCTGTCATTCCTACATGTAAATTTGTTCTGAAAATGTCACTACCAACAGTGAAAAGTCCTATTACACCAATTTTATATTTTAACAGTTGATATATATATAAACTTTTCATTTGTTTCTATCTAATGTGTGGTTTTGTAGGTGTTTTTCTCACACTGAAGAAGTTTCAGTACATAGCACATCTCCCACACTTAAAGGTATCAACATGTTATGCATGTACATCTGTATCGGCATGTTCTCCTAAATAGAACTTTCCTGGCCACTGATTACCAGTCACTGGTGCATGTTCCCTTTTTGTTATCCCAAATTTATTATTTTTATTTTTAAAAACATTCTTTGGAAGTGGCATTTCATTTTAAATGTGACTATTTTCAATTGTCTTCCTCTGATAATATTCAATTTTGTGTGTGTTTTGTGTCTTTGCCAGACTTTTCCTTTGTTAAATCAATCAAATTTACCATTAAACCCACCACAGCTTTGATTTTTAACAATAGATTTTTTTTCCTGTTAAGCGCATGACAATGTCTTATGCAGTATCACCAGCATCACAAAATTGTTCCAATCTCGTTTAAAGATTTTCCATCAGGTTGGACTCAATCATCTCTCACATGTTTACAAGACAATACAATACAATACAATGCATGTACATGTATCAACCAGTTAGTTATTAGCATTACAGAGAATACTTACTTTCCAGGATAATCCCTCGGATAGGACTCAAAGCCATTTGTCTAATATACTACAGGTAAAATACATCTCCAAGATTTGAAGTAAGATTCAGCTTTGCATAAAGTGTTGTTAAAAGCACTTACTACAGAAGTAGATAAACATGTATCTAGCATGGTTTGTATTCATCAAAAGCCAAATCTATTGCTGGCTAATTCCATCGCTGGCCGAGACGTTTGCAGGCAGATTCTATAATTGGCTGAAGAGTGTAGTATAATTGGTTTCACTTGATGTCAAAGCATGTTATTTAGATTGAAAATACAACAGCATTTATTTACCTGAGTACCTGAAAGTCTTGGAGCAACTTGGTAAATCTCTAAAGGACTAACTATAGAACTAACAGAATTTTGATTTAGGCCATTTACTTCCTGGCATTCCTTATTACAATAAACAGTTTTCTATTGCATGTATTTGCTTGAAGGTGATTCCATAGAAGCTGTTACAGTTTGTAGCAGCTTTTAGCTGTTTCTACCAATATTTTTCATTGCTTACTCAGTACAGTATCTTTACAAACAAGGTTATGTATTGTTGCCTTGCTTCCCCTTGAGTGAACATTACAGCCCTTGGTATTATTGTCCTTTGTTTTGCAAACACTTTAGCTGAGAGAAGTAAAACTTCATAATTTACTTCCCATTTTTTAGTCTGAAAAATGTTTTTACTGAAGACAGAGCTATATAAAGTTTAAGTGATAAGGTAACTTGAGGCGATGAGGTTTCCAGATTTTCAACTTGTATCATTACATTGTAGTTTTTCAGTAAGAAACCATTCCTGCTTCCCAAATTGTGTGACCCCAGGAAAGATAAATCTCAAAAGATATGTCTGCTTATTGATTTCGCTGAATGTGAACATCATTTCTAGTGAATTAAATATTCTATGTGGCTTATGCATATACTCCATTTATAATAATGATGAGTAAATGACAGGAATTGAGGTCATATTATAATTACATGGATCATCACTTGTATTTGTGTTAATTATTCCTGGACAATAAGTGTTTTTCATTTACATTTATCAAGTAATCTTGACTTAATTTAGGAATATGCATTAAAATACCTTTTGGTGCTTTCTGGAAAAAAAACTGAGGACCCACCCATACATTCTTCAATCCATATTAAGAATTATATATAATCCCTTTATATGTTTTGTTGAAAAATGGACTTTTCATAACAGATACTATAGTAGTGAATCACATAATTGACATTACCTTGGGATTAATCATGTGTAGTTATAGACATTAAAATGTAAAATTATTGGAATTAGACATTGATAGATTATTGATGTTTGCAGATGAGAAATTGAGATTGGTAATTATTGTATATTGTTATTGTATGAAATATGGTTTTAGGTTTTACCACGGATTATATGTTGTAATTAGCAACTAATGAATTATAAGTGTAAGTATATCTGATAGACACTAACAGATATATATGAGAGTTAGACAGTGTAGGAGATGTAGTTATATTTAGTAACTAAAATTTAATTGATTTAGTACAGAAATTAACCACTGTTAAATTGATGTAGTTGTTTTGCTACAAATTGATATCATCATGATAATAAGATAATAATGGATTATGTATGGTGATGATTAAGCCGTTTCCAAGAACAGATGTATCATGAATTGTGTATGATATTTATAATGCTAATATTAAATCTGAATATCACTATATGATGTTGGTTGTACTGGTTTTGTACATTGTGAAATATTTCTTACCGTCAAATAGTTAAATATCACACATACTAGTATTTTGTTTCTTTCTTAATGATTGTTTTATAGATTCTGCATCATAGATATATGGGTTGATACATTGAATTGATAATTTTTTTAATTATATGTACTGATGTATAAATTTTGTTTTCAGATTTTCTTAATACAATATCATCTAGAAATTGAATGTCAACAGAATGATTTTGAAATTGACTTGATTTTTCAGACATTAATTGGGGCTGTCCTCAGTATCATACTGTCTGGCCCAGGGGGAGCTGTGCTGCCTGAAAACTTGTTCAGTTTTCATGGAAGTCATCGTATTGAACACATCACCCAGAGCATACTCACTCCACCATCATTTTCTTCTGCTGTTGTAAAACTAGTGGCAATGCAGATGGCTGCTTTAGGGGTAAGTATGTGTCAAGAAATTAGGATTTCCTAGATTGTTACTTCACAAACACACCGTTTTCAAAAGTAAATTCTGTTGGGATGATCCAATGAAAATATTAATAATTATTTAATAACAAACCACAGATAAATAAACTATAATACACTATAATAGATAAAGATGCATTGTGATACATGCTTTGGAAGCAAGTTGTATCCTCCCAGGTGGCAGAATGGTTGTATTGTTGATAGAAACTTAACCATTATTGCTTTACTCTAAGATTTAAATTTAATTTTAATACAACTGCGAAACAAATTAAACAACGTATACTAATCAGGCTTAAAGACCCAACTTTTAACACCATGAGTGGGGTATAAAAGGTCAGAGTTATATATTACACTTTCTGTGATGTGGTATTCTTGTCATGACACTGTAAGTTATTTTGTAATAAGCAGGTTATTTATGGAACTCACACCCTCACAAATACCAAGATATACGAAGAGGGCAACACATTGGATTAGAGATACTTTAACAGACCTTCTGCCACTCTCTCCTAATATGTTAATTATAGTTAATATGTATTTCTGCTGTCACTGGAGTCATTTCCTGAAGATTGTAAAACTAACAAAAAATGAGAGGGGTATTTTAACTCTAGATATAATAACCAGACCCAGTGGTTTTCTACATTTTGCCAAGAATAATCAAATCAGTGTAATACGTTTGTTTGGCATTAAACCCATGCCATGTATAAACCCATTTATGTCTTATTATCACTGAGTTGGATTACAAATGATATATAATTTTTTTGCTACAAGCCCAAGCCTTGACTTTGATACATATGATACAAAGAAACACTGTTGTTGTTACCAGGAGCAGTTCTCCCTGGAACAGATTTGTGGAGGAATGGCTGAGTTCCCTACACCAGAGAGGTACATCAACATCCTTGTCAACTTCATCTTGCCTCTGTGTGTTCGCTTAGGCTGTGGTAGAAAAGGTGAGTACACAAGAAATTGATTCAACCTTATTGCCTTGTTAGTTTGCCTTTGACTATGAAATAGTTTAAATACATGTTTCATAGTCATTTCTTTAGATAGACAAGATACTTCAGATTCAGAGGCAAAAATTTGACTCAATACACATGTAGAAGGCACAAAAATATCTTTTCATATGTTATAGACACACCCAAGATGAATACAGAGGATGTCAAGTTTGCTCTCCAGGTGAGCTTGAATGTACTTTGCCCACCAGTGAAGATCCGTTCCCAACAGCAGGGTAATACCAAGACAACATTGCATCACCTGTCTATCAGCGAGAATCACCGCTGTAGCAGTTATGGACAGCTGGACAAGGGCTTCAAGCATGAGAATGAAATGTTACTACACACAGCCTACTTAGGTATACCTCAATGAAGATTGAAAGATAAAAAATTGTTATCATAAAAATCACCTGACCAGATTATGGAACAAAGCCGTGTGTTCTATACCTAAGGGTTTCACTAGGGAAAAGTCAATAAATTGGAGACTAAGATTTTTTTTAATTTGCATTTGATGGGCAATTGCTGTTTGAGTGTGGGGTAAAGACTTTAACTTTTTTGTAGAAAGAAACCATTTAACAAATAATACCTCCTCCTTTTTAAAAAGTTGTACTTCTTTCTTTTATAGATTTGTAACATCATTTTCAGTTTGTAGATCTAAACTTCTTAGCATCAGAAATGAAAATGTGTTCAAATAATAGAGACCTTTCTTTTGCTTACAGGTTTGGAGATTTTGATGACCTGTTTTGACAAGGTGTTGAGTACTGAGTGGCACAAGGTCACTCACTGCATACAGAACCTAGGCTGTAAAAGCAAAGGTGAGTACAGCAGGATTTAAAGTCATTGATGAGTTAGCACCCAAACAGTTTGTTTCACAGGACAAAAATTGTAATCAACATATAGCTAACTTAATGCAATATGATCACAACCAGAATGATAAATTATTGTAGGGGAAGCTTTTAGCTTCATTATAACCCTTACTTAGGTAAGGGGAGGAGGGGGTATATACGGTAGTAATACTTTTGTGTACATGCATGACAACCTTGTGTATAGGATATCTCATGAACCCCGAACAGATTTACTACTTTGGTTGTCAAGGTTTAAGGTCAGAGGTTGCCCCTGACCAATTTGAAAATAAAATTTGTGGATAAGATTTTTTGTGAACATGTGAACATCACAACACAAACGCTTATGCCTGATTATGTTTTGGTTGTCAGTGGTCAAGATTACAAGTTAAATGGCAAATGTCACCCTCGAACAGCTTGTATACAAGATACTTTGTGAACTCCGGAACATGTTTATAGTAATTACAAATAATCACATGAGAATAATGACCACTTACCTCTGGTCCAGGGGTTGGATGAGAGGAGAGGTATATCAATGTGAGCCACTGGTCACTTTGTTTTTATCTTTGACAAATATATTCTGTATGTGTCAAACATGACACACTAGGTGTGTCGTCCTCAGAACAGAGTAAATTCAAAATACAGGACTCTGTTCACATGTCAACCATTAAACTTGACCTAATCTACCGTTAAATTAGTAAAGTTGGATCATTCTACATGTTAAATTAGTAAAGCGTTCTCAGTTAGGCCAAGAACAGGAGAATTTGTTATAATTCCTGTATTATTTCAGTTTCCTTGCCCATGTGGAAGTTTCTTGACTTTGTTGTAACCTACCGACCATCCATATTTCTGTTACTCCAACCGTTTATACGATACAAGGTAAGATGTTTTACTTGTAAATAGGTTTTGAATTTTCAGAAACAAATAAAAGAAACTATCATAAAGATGTTTTTCACAAACCATTAACAATGTGGATCTTAGAAAGAGCCTTTAGCTTAAACAGATAGATGAACCTCCTCATGATTGTTCTCTGACTAGTGTTTATTAGCAACCATATAGCTTCCTATATGTAAGTAATTATACCTCTGACAATTTGTGTATTGCCAGATTATGCGTATCAATTGTGACACTGCCCAGGAGTACTACATCCAGCAGACCATTAAGGATAAGATGCTTGGCTACAGCTTTACACATCCCAAGTGTAATGCCAGCATCCTTCTCCAACTGGCTGTCGAGCTTCAGGCACTCAAAGATGAATTCCACACTGTTGGAGCAGGTATGTAGCTATCAGATGGAACCAAAGTTACCCGAGGATGTAGTGTTCTTAGTATATACTAACTGTTAACAAAACAAAAACCATATACATCAATTTTGGATTGGCTACTTCTCCATCAAATTTAAAGGTTAACATCAAAATACACATTGTATTTTTCAAAACCAAGCTCCTTCTGTACATGAATATTGAAGCATCAAAGCAATACATATCTGGAGATAGGTTATATAAGTACTGGTATTTAACTGGACATCAGAGGAGGTTATCATGAGGTTAAGACAAGGGATCAGATACCCAATGGTGAGATCAGAAGGACACATGGTCAACAGATAGTTAAATCAATATGCAGGTATCTTGAAATCTGCTATATGGTTGCTTTTTGTGGAGTTGTGTAGATAGCAAGGGTACATGGCTGACCAAGATTCAGGACAGGTTTATTTGTAAGATTTGTCACCCCACAAACAGCCAGGGTCATTAGATCCAGGGTCTCCTTGTAGTAACTGGTGTCTGCCTCACTGAACTATGTAGGGGAGGCCCATTGCATTCTCTCCAGAATAATTAAGGTAAAGTGTCTTGCCCAGGGACACAACCAAAATAGTACAGACTGCTCCATTTCTCAGTTTCCTAAGGAATACAAACTGCCACAGGTAGGGAGTGTCAAACCACATACCTCAGATCTTCACCTCATGTTACATAGGCTGACGCTCTAACCGACTAAGCTATTGTGGCTAATTCAGCTTCAAAGACAGGTCCATAAGTGACAAGGAGACAATTACATGGCTATAAGGGTTGAGATCTGGGGAGCAGGCGAAAGCTTGAGAAAACGGTGGTTAGCAGTGAAAAGATTTATTGAAATTCTTTAATATCACTTCTTTTGGTAATTTGATGATTAGGAGAGTTTCGGTCTGCATCTGCCACTGACACAACAGAAAGATCTGACATGCCACTGACCCAGATTCCAGAGCAGCGACGCCAAGCTAGTATTACAGACATAGCTGTGGAAATCATAAACCCAGTGTCCAAACCCACACTAGCCACCATTGGGAAAAAAGCCAGTAGAGGTCAGTGGTGTGAAGATCTGGAAAGGTCATTTACAATAATTTTAAAAACTTATGTTAAAATGTATTGAGTGTTGCTTTTGTTAACAAGTGTGAACATCTCTTAATTAATGTTACTCCTCATTTCCAGCCACAATATTTTCCCAGTCGAGTTCAAGTACAGGTGCTCCGTTTAAGACGACGGTTGTTACCTCAAGTCTGGACAGCACAAGTCCTGTCTTGTCTGAGAGGAAGGTGAGTCGCCGTATTTCTGCAAAAGATGGTAGCAACATCCTGGAGAAGTTCCGGAGACCAACAATGGAGGATATCTCTCCTGGAGGTAATAATTTTATTTTATTTTGGTTAATAGTAATGCATAAGGCGTGGAAGTTTCTGTTTACCTCACAACGCTTAGATTGGATTTTGATTTTAGTCAAACAGCAAAAGTTTCTGTGGTATTCCTGGTACACATCCCTCACGATTTGATTCATGAAGAATTCAGTTTTCAGTTACCTGTCAATATCCTGTATCTGTTTCAGACACTATAGTGATGTCTGAAGCCACCAAGATACAGCGACAGCCAAACATCGTGCTTAGGTCGCCTGGTGCTTCCAAACAGAGCAGTTTTGATGAACCAGCAAGTGTTCTATATGAGAGTGACGAAGGAGACACACCTAATGGAGGAGGTAAGGTTTAATTAAATTTGTTAAAGGAACAACTAAATGCTGGTAGATTAAATGTCAATGGTGATTGAATTTCTGTGTAGATTTAAAATATATATTCATTCAATTAATAATAACCATTGTCTAAGTGTGTATACTTTTGCAGTTTTATGGAAGCTGGTGTTCAATACAAATTGATTATTGTTGATATATCTCCAATGAATTACTATGAATTTATTAAGGCCTGTTCACTTATGCAGAGAAACCAATTTGTCTGTATTTTAAATATATACCAAAAAATGTGCTTCCTAAAGGTCTGAGACACTATGCTGCTATTAAATGAAATTGATTAAGATTTTTGGGTGAAATGAAACTCATAGGACTTTATATATTACCAAGGACTGTCTTCCTGAAGGAATTGGTTTCAAACTTGGATAGAGTCTACAACATCATGAACATCAACCTAATATTTCAAACACATCTTGTTGAATTGATGACAGGTTTTCCTGTAACAATTTGTTAATGGAGAGTTAAGATATATTTGATTGACTGTAAGTCTTGTGATAAGTACATTGTATACACTGGTAATGAGTTGTATGACTTACACTCTGCTTTCAAATTTTGTCTTCAGTAAATTTATTCATTTACATCAAAATTTTAAACAACATGTTTCTGGTTTATAACACAATGAATACACCATATATATATTTATGTATTTACAGGTAATATCTTATCAGGTCATTTTGGTGGTATGACTAGCCCTGACCTTGACCCGAGGTCACATAGGTTCCAGCGACAGGATATCAAAAGTCGAAAAACATTCAAACGTAAGAAAACAAAAACATCCAGCAAAGGGCATTATGGAAGTAAAAATGGTGGCGATACAACTGAGAAATCTCCAAGGGGTTCACCTACTCGTCGCCCTGCCTACCATGGATCCCCAACCCATAGATATCATGCTGCTTCTCCTCCAAAACCTCACAGATCACCACCCAACAGGTCATACGCATTCCTGCAAGAGAGCACCGAGGCAGAGCTCCAAAATCTTCGACAAGCAAGAGCAACACTAGTAGGAGCAACGTCTCCAAGTGCTGCCCGTTCGGTGGAGACAATACCAGAGAGTGTAGAAATGAAGGTATGAGGAATGGTGTTTGTTTCTAAAGGTTTGTTTCTAAATGAATTAATTGGTGTTTTATTGTTGAGAACAGATTTACACATGACAATACTGATATGATTTTTTTTTATTTTACAGCCAAGTAGGCCCCGTTATATTCAGCGGTCCAAATCACATGACGATCCCCATGGAGACTTCCATGCCCCTGGGACAGCCAGAGGCCGCATTGCAAGGCAAGGTGCTCGCATAGTGAGGTCTCGATCACCATCATGTAGTCCTGTTAGAGTTGGTCAATCACCAACAGCAAGTCCAACCAGAAATCAGGCATACATTTCCCAGTATGACTCAAGTGATTCACTGAATGCCAACGAGAGTTCAGCATTGCTGAAGGATGACGATTCTCTGAATTCTCCTCAGTCCATGTGTATTTATTTTGATGAAAGAGGCAGAACAAGAGACACTGTTATGTGATATAAAAGACAAGAGAGTATCCTTGAATTCAGGAAATGCTGCGTAGAAATTTGGTATATACAGGAATGTCATTGTCATGAAATACAGTTTAACATCCTCAGGACATTCAAATACCAAAGCTGGCGATGATATGTCATGCTACTGAGGAGTAGTTGTGAGAAATGACATTGTTGTGAAGCATAAAATGTAACAAGGGCATTTAATTGATGTAGAAATTTAGTTGTTAAGATGTGTATCTGTTTGTCCGTCCAATTGTCTTGTTGGGAATGTAGATAGGGTGTTTGATTTTTAATCACAGCTGTGAATGTTCTAAAATGTATAAAACAAACACCAAACAATAGGCTGTTAGTAAAATGTTTTCTTATAGAAAGAATTCATATAAAACATCCCAATTGGAAATTTATACTGGTAAATGGAAAAAACCTACATGTTATGTTATATTAGAATTTACTGAAAATATTTAATATTATGCAAATAATTAAAAAAAATTCATTGTACATGTTATAAATACCTGAGAGAAGAAACTGTGTGGTTTGTATGTGACATGTTTAGTATACTAGATGTACATAATTACTGACAGTATTGCAACATTAATCTGTGGATAAAAGCATTCAGAGATAAAGTTAAGCTTACAACTTGCTGAAAAGTTTTATCCTGTTGTATAGAGTCACATGAAATGATAAGTGATGTCTGACGGAACATTGAATCCAGTATTATATAAGCTGCTGCTGCTGCTGCTGCTGGATTGTTAAGAGAAAAACATAAATAAAAACTTCAGTTCAATGTTCAAAGGTTGCAAAAAAAATAGTGCACCATATTTATCATTTGTGATCCATAGTTGTTGACAAACTTGTGAAGACCTAGAGAATTCAGTATATTACTCACCACACTTACAATCACTCTCTGCACCCCTGGAACATTTCATGTGTAAATTGGATGTTCCATGTACAACAACTTGTGGATATGTTGAGAAGACTAGTTTGATGCGTTGATGGACATCAAGCAAATCTCAAGGTTGCATAACGGTATGTGGTACTGGATTTGAAGTTTGATGTCAATCCTTTGTAATTATCAAAGGAGCATATTTGTCTGTAATTGGTTTTTTTCCCTGAAACCCACCCTAGATAAATCAATTTACTTTGCTTGTGCCTTCAATTTTGCCATGAAATATTCCAGAGGTGAAGAGAGTGAAAATTATCACAACTCCTGGAGTATCGAGGATGATGACAGTGTAGTGTATATCGTTATTTGATCAACATGTTTTCTTGGTTCTCTATAGCTTTATCAGTCATAATCAGCCGTATTCTGTAGTGATATTGGCTGTTGCATTGAAAACTATCAGAGTTTGTTTGATATCTGAGAATATTTTGTCTTTCAATATTTTAGTTCTTGCTGGAACTTATTTTCCAGATTTCATTGTTCTTTTCAATGTTTTCAGGTGTATGAACTAGTCAACAAAATCTTATAAATATCATTTGAATTATGAACAATACCAAAACTTGTGTGAGAATGAATTCAACGCATTAAAATCAAATGGTCAGATTGATGATGATAGTTATGGTTAAAGGTGGTCAGGTTTTAGTCACCTAATTATGTTATGTTTATGTTATAATAAAAATCAAACCAGTTTTTGTCTTGTGATATTGAAGGGAAGTTTTAACAATATTGATAAATCGGATGGGAAGTATTCTGGTGAGTCTCCCAGTCAATAAACTGACACTACTTGGAAGTATAACTTGTTAAAAAGTTCTAGTTTTAATATTTATTGCCTACTTCAACTGAGTGAAGATTATGTAAATTAGATGTGGTATTGTTAGTGTATTCATAGAAATTTTAATTATGTTTGTAAATAGATAGTTTAGTCTTGAAGGATGAAATGTTGCTAAGTAAGGAGGAAGAGAATTCCAAGTGGGGATAGTTCGAGAGAGGAAAAAAATTTTGTGGAGAGGCTCTACAGGAGTGGGTTTTGAAAGAGAGAATGAGAGTGTTTGGATATTCGATTGGGTAACTTTAAGTCTGGCATACAGATATCTATCTTTGTTGACAATCTTGTGCATCATATTGAAGCAAGAATCGCAACAACTATGTGTCAGACTACACCACTGTAATTGGCCCAGCATGTTACCGAAATTGGAAATATGTTGGTGACAGTTAGTTATGAATCTAGCACGATGTGTCATCTCAATCTGATCTATGTCTTTTTTTAAGATGGGAATCTCATACTGACCTGGCGTATTCCAGCTTTAGTGAGATCAGGGAAACTATCAGCACAGTAAATGTTTTCCTCACTTCAAAGTTATCATAGAGCTAAAAGGTTGTATATAGAAGTGACATGATGGATGAAGGTTATCTTTCCTTATTCTAGTTTTAAGGATATTTTTTTCACCAGTTAATTCCACCCTCGAAAATAGCAAAAATTTGAACTCTGAGAAAATAACTACATTTACACAAGTATTATATGCCAAATATTTTAACCTGCAAATAATATCCCTTTGTTTATTGTTATTGTATAAGTATTAATACATATTTATTGAGTTTGTGATTTAGTACTGAGACTAACTGCTGTTTGCTAATAATTTATAACTATTTTGGTCACCTGAGGCAAAGTCACACGGTGACCTATTGCAATCACCTTTGTCTGGCGTTTTGTGTCGTGTGTTGTGCATTTATACATAATGCGTCTGTAAACAATTAAATAGTTTTGACTTCTTTATAAAAATCCTGGAACAGATTTCAATAAAATTTTGCAGAAACCTTCCCTGGCATAAAATGAACCAAATTAGTGAATTATACGATCTCCACCCTACAGGGACCTGAGGGATGGGGCCAAAAGGGTCAAATTTTGAGCATAATTTGTTTAAATTTCCATTGGAAAAATTTGAAATTTTATTAGAATTATGAGCAAAGGATGAGGGCTTAATTGTATGCCCATATTGACCCTGGCTGACACCAAGGACTGATGGGCAGGGCCTATAGTGGTAAAATTGACTCCAATTTCAAAAATATTCTTCTCAAAATCAAAATATGGTAGAATAAGGTGTTCTTTGTGGATGAAAGTATCATAAGGTGCTTTACTAAAATTGTGAATTTCATGTCCCAAGGATCTCGCATTTCACATAGGGAGATGGTAATGTTTAGTTTATAAAGGAAAACTATTTTTTTAGCATAATTTGTTAAATAACGGATGAAAGCTTGATGGTATACCCATATTGATCCTGGCTGGCCCCCAGGGACTGATGGGTGGGGCCAAAAGGGGTTGAACTGACTCAAATTTCAAAAATCTTCTCAACACCCAGATATGGTAGAATCAAATGCTCTTTATGGATGCAAGTGTCTTTAGGTGCTTAACCAAAATTGGTTTCACAATACTTTCTAGGAGGAGGTTAACTTTACTATAATTTTTATAGAAAAATTGCAATTTTGAGCATAACATTTATTTCCCACTGGAAATAACTTTGTAAGATGTATAAGTAAAGGATGGTATACAGGTATTGACAATGGCTTACTATCAGCAATGTCACAATTTTTTCATGACACTTGAAAGCTACTTGCCCTTTAACCTTTATACGCAATATTAGTTATCTCAGGTGACCGTCAAGGCCACTAGGCCTCTTGTTTAACTTATAGCTTTGCTCGAAATCACCAGGTAAAACTATGTTTTAAATGTAGATTTTCAGTGTGCAATATATTTATAGCAAATATTTATTTTTAGATTTTGTGTGTATATTTTTTTTCAAAGTTAACAGTAGTATGGACATATTATTTCCACATATTTAAGTTTACATGTATTTGATATATACACGTTATATAATGTCTATTTAACCACGTGTTTGGGTGATACAAGTTGTTGGTATTATGATGTTATTGATATTTATAATCAATAAATGTGATGTTTACAATGTTAGTAAATAAAGAAAGAATTCTCTTCTGGAGTCGTTATTTATTGAATTAAATCAATAAAAACTGTGGGATGATGCTGTTTACAACTTCCTGTTGCTGGTTTTGAAGTGTTAAACAAAAATATGCCAGTCTTTTGTCACAAGTGATGGACTTGAAGTCTTGCAGGATTTTATGCCCAACTGATTTAATTTAAACACTTAACAACTGCATTCTTCCATGGAATTTGGTTAAATTTACGTAATTATCAAGTATGCATATACAGTGGACATTGTCATGTTTCAGGGGGCCAAGGTCAGTGGTGATTTTTATATAGAAAATATCAACCTGTTCAATTTAAACATTAATTAACATCAGTCTTTCGTGGATTTTTATCAAACCTTATATAAAGATCATTTATCAGTACATTGTTGAATAGCGGTAGTTACTGTGTCGATCCCTACAGGCCAGTAAAACAGTAGTCACGCCATCTTGAAGAGTTCTTATTTCATTCCTGAATCACGCAAAATAATTAGTGCAGAAATCAGGGTGATGAAAATTTGTGTCCAGTTGCAGAATTCATGTTTGAAAACTGATTGCACTGATCATTTTCTTACGTTCTGTGATCGATCCTTTTTTCACACAAATTATATTTGTTTTCGATGAGATGGAATTAAAGACGTCTGATACATTTTTATTCTAATGTTTTTGTATGCCCCTAGATCGAAAGATCGGGGACATGCTGTTTTTGTGCTGTCTATTCGTTTTTCTGTTGTGAACTTTAACCTTGCCCATAACTTTTGCACTGTGAGAGGTAGGGCTTTCATAATTTTATGTTTGTTTCTTGTGACAAGTCCTTTCCGATGGTAACAAAATTGTTGACTATGTGACATTTAACGTAACCTTTGACCTACATTTCAAACATTTTAACATTGGCCATAATTGTTACATCATTAGAGGTAGGGATTTAATATTTGGCAAGTGCGTGTCTTTTGACACGAGCTTCCCGGTGATACCAAATTTTTTCATTGTGTGACCTTAACCGTAACCTTTAATCTACATTTGAAAAGTTGTACACGTTCTTAGCACATTCTTTACACAGTACAATTTAATGTCCTACTTCAGATTTTTTTTGTAACCAGGGGCGTAGTGTTTTATAAATACATCTTGTTTTAATATATTTTTAAAACAGTGAGCAGATTGCAAAAGCAGAAAAAGTTTATAGGACGACTTGGTTAAATACCACGACTTTTAATTCGTAAATACTGAATTCTCCGCTATATTTAACTTTTGGTAAACTATAATAGAATTGGTCAAAGCCGAAATATATCACGAGATCCAAAAAAACCATTTATGTCATAAAGTGTGACAACTTGCAACTGTTAAATTAGAAGGTTCGGTGAAACTAACAGAACATAGGAAATACTAATTAGTTAGATACATAAATAAGGAGAAAGTGATTACAGAGTTACTTATCAATGTACTCCTTCCAGTTGTGTAAGTCAATTTCAACGGAACAGGGCTTATCTGAATTGTCCTATATCTATCCTCTTAACGTTACTGGCCATCTAGGAGAATATGTCAACACCACCGATCGGTACGTATGAGGTCAATGAAAATGATAATTCAACTTGTACTGCAGTAAAAGTACATGATTGTCGTAGAAAGATAAATTTTATCGATTTAAATTAAGATAATTGTTAAGCCTTGTATCAACCTTTGTGTTGATTATGTAACCATAGATTGGTGGGAAAAGTCATGTAACTTTGTACTTTTCGTGTAATCATTGCACGGCACTGACATCAAAATTTTCTCTGAGTACTTCTGACGTTAGATATATATTGAATACGAGTGATTGATTAGTAGTATTATGTAGGGACTACATTTGTTCACATTTCATTCATAATTCAATATTCTCTAATATCTTAATTCTATATGTGTGATCAGTCCAGTATCATACACTTACTTGTGAGGTCCATTATCATACACTTACTTGTGAGTTCCAGTATCAAACACTTACTTGTGAGTTCCAGTATCAAACACTTACTTGTGAGTTCCAGTATCAAACACTTACTTGTGAGTTCCAGTATCACACTTGCTTGTGAGTTCCATTATCATACACTTACTTGTGAGTTCCATTATCATACACTTACTTGTGAGTTCCTTTATCATACACTTACTTGTGAGGTCCATTATCACACTTACTTGTGAGTTCCAGTATCAAACACTTACTTGTGAGTTCCAGTATCAAACACTTACTTGTGAGTTCAAGTATCAAACACTTACTTGTGAGTTCCTTTATCATACACTTACTTGTGAGGTCCATTATCACACTTACTTGTGAGTTCCAGTATCAAACACTTACTTGTGAGTTCCAGTATCAAACACTTACTTGTGAGTTCCAGTATCAAACACTTACTTGTGAGTTCCAGTATCATACACTTACTTGTGAGGTCCATTATCACACTTACTTGTGAGTTCCATTATCATACACTTATTTGTGAGTTCCATTTTCATACACTTACTTGTGAGTTCCATTATCATACACTTACTTGTGAGTTCCATTATCATACACTTACTTGTGAGTTCCATTATCATACACTTACTTGTGAGTTCAAGTATCAAACACTTACTTGTGAGTTCCTTTATCATACACTTACTTGTGAGTTCCAGTATCATAAACTTACTTGTGAGTTCCAGTATCAAACACTTACTTGTGAGTTCCATTATCACACTTACTTGTGAGTTCCATTATCATACACTTACTTGTGAGTTCCATTATCATACACTTACTTGTGAGTTCCAGTATCAAACACTTACTTGTGAGTTCCAGTATCATAAACTTACTTGTGAGTTCCAGTATCAAACACTTACTTGTGAGTTCCATTATCACACTTACTTGTGAGTTCCATTATCATACACTTACTTGTGAGTTCCATTATCATACACTTACTTGTGAGTTCCAGTATCAAACACTTACTTGTGAGTTCCAGTATCATACACTTACTTGTGAGTTCCATTATCAAACACTTACTTGTGAGTTCCAGTATCATACACTTACTTGTGAGTTCCAGTATCAAACACTTACTTGTGAGTTCCAGTATCAAACACTTACTTGTGAGTTCCAGTATCAAACACTTACTTGTGAGTTCCAGTATCATACACTTACTTGTGAGGTCCATTATCACACTTACTTGTGAGTTCCATTATCATACACTTATTTGTGAGTTCCATTTTCATACACTTACTTGTGAGTTCCATTATCATACACTTACTTGTGAGTTCAAGTATCAAACACTTACTTGTGAGTTCCTTTATCATACACTTACTTGTGAGTTCCAGTATCATAAACTTACTTGTGAGTTCCAGTATCAAACACTTACTTGTGAGTTCCATTATCACACTTACTTGTGAGTTCCATTATCATACACTTGTTAGTTTTCCAGAAAACTGATTTTATAAAGAACACCAGGATATTGAACACAACAGACACTTTAACTGCCGCTTGATTATACATTATTATTGAAGTCGCCATATTTAGTATAATGTTTGATGGTCAAGTGGCTTCTATCTTCATGCACCAGTAAAGATCACCATAGGTAAATTACTAAGAGAAGTCGAATTATGTTTTGGTTTCATTTTCAATATAAGATGATGTTGCATATGTCCTCATTAGTTTACATTTTTTTTCTATGTGGACGAAACTTGGATATACAACTACAGCATTAGAATTGGCGGGGCGGAACACATTTTATTCTTTAAAATGTAAACTATGTGATGTTCTAACGAGCTCAAAATCTCATGTCTCAATTGACCAAAGTTTATGTCATTAACAAATCTATATTCATTATTTCACTTTGCAAATATTGTATATAATCTTCATGGCCATATGTAAGACAAGCGTATTGATCAATATGTTATCAAGAAGAGATAAAGCCAATTATTATTAATATTATTTATGTGTCTTTTTTATATTGCAGTACATCATTTTTTGGTTTTTGTGACAATCGTTGTTGTTGCCATCTGCCAAGGTTTGTTTTAGTAGTTTCAAATCATATATGCAATTTCTACCTGTATTTACCTGCAGGACGTATCCTATTTTCAATACATTTCAATACATGTAAAAAAAGTATTAACACGGAAAAATAAATACCAAAATGGCCTAACAAATGTTTTGACACAATGATGACTTAAATTGACGTGTGTGTATATTTTAGTGGTAGCTGATCTGACATGCCTGGAATGTACCGGTGTGTCACTGCCTAACTATTGTGAACAGACAGTATCATGTCTTTCAAACGAGGTGAGTACTGATTTGATTCAGTATTCAGACAGGACTTTCACTTCATTTTCGGAGTATGTATTTGCCTGGCAACAGTGTAATACTAACCATTGAGTCTAGGGGAAAATCTAACATGAAAAATGCAAAAGCAGCTGTCACAAATAATGGCGACGACAGATTCTCAGGAGGTGTCATACTATTTCATAATCTATATCGGATTGATTCCGCTACACGAATAATCACAATATAAATTATTAGTTTCTTTATCAACTATAATTATAAACAGCGTTAATTTACCGAGAAATATAGGAAGTGGTTTAGCTGAACATTTAGTACAATAGAATGATACTTGATGCTATAGTTAGATAAATAATATATTATAATCTGTTTATTAAGCAGAAAAATATACAATTATTTTCTCCCAATATGATTATCATATAATATTTTTAAGACATATAAGGCATGCCTTTTGTTGTAACAAAATATGCGTAAAGACATAAATGTCACAAATCGTGTTTTTTGTTTCCCATGATTTTTACAGGACTGTTACACAGAGAGGGTCATTGGTGATGATTCAAACATTTTCTACAACTCTGGTTGTCTGAGCCACGAGGTAAGACATTGTGGAAACTATAGAACCACCTTAACGTACTTCGAACGTTTCATAAATACATCTAGTAATTTTATGCGTGAAAGGTTTTAAATATGAAAATATAAAAGTCTTTCTCTATATTATTTCTAACATACACACACACAAAGAAAATACAAACATGTCGACATAATCATAATTCAATAAAATTAGGGCAAAATATGAACAACAGAAATATTTACACGGAAACAAGTAAGTGATGTCACGTTCTCAAATGAGAACACGATATAAAACAACGGAACCAACAGGCAAACTAATGAGCATCAAACATGTCCAACTTCATATCGCACGAAGAAATAGAGTGTTTCTCAATGATATCGTTTTGACGACCACAAATCCTCATAATGTTCATCAACCTACATCTTTCGAAACCCTGTGTTACGAGTTTGTCCGTCAGTTGACGACTTCTTACACGGCAATCGCGATAACTGGGACAGGTCCTTGAATATGGAAAACTCAAAGTAGGGAAATTGAAATCATCATGTTTATCATACAGCGTGATGGAAAGCTTTCCATATTGGTTTCGTTGTAGGAAAATCCAGATTATAAATCTGACGTCTTTATTAAGATAAATTAATATCTTCTATAACTTACGATAAAGCACGTTTCTTTCCAGATTTGTCGGTTGAAAGCACTAACGTCACGGACATCTCGATCCCAGATCCATATCTGTGAAGAGTGTTGTGGAGTTGATAAGTGTAACAATCACCTGTGTAACCAGACTAGTGAGTAGTGTCCCCAATGTAAATGTATAACACGACGGAGGAACTCATTTCATCGAAAGTATCCTGAAGAACCCGATACTGACCACTCCGTATACTTATCTCAATAGATCAGTATTAACTACAAACTTTCCTGTAGAACCCCGATACTGACCACTCCATATACTTATCTCAATATATCAGTATTAACTACAGACTTTCCTGTAGAACCCGATACTGACCACTCCGTATACTTATGACAATACTACAGTATTAACTACAAACTTTCCTGTAGAACCCCGATACTGACCACTCCATATACTTATCTCAATACATCAGTATTAAAAACAAACTTTCATGTAGAACCCCGATACTGACCACTCCGTATACTTAAATCAATACATCAGTATTAACTACAAACTTTCCTGTAGAACCCGATACTGACCACTCCGTATACTTATCTCAATGCATCAGTATTAACTACAAACTTTCAAGTAGAACTGTTTCCATGAAACGTTTGAATAGATGACGTAGACAGATAGACTCTGTACTAAAACAGCGTATTCAAAGCTGCTCGTCTTTCTCATCAGATGTTTGTTGTCTTCTACAATTTATCAAATTGATGATGAACTACGACAAATATTATTTTAATCACACTACTAGATAAATTCTTTTGTTGACGATGGGGCATACGTATATATTCTTTTGTCTTACATAAGTTGTGATTCATTGTTTAGACAGAATGACGTGACACCATTTTTTCAGCCATCTTTATATTATAATCAGTTAACCTTGTATGTATGGAAGTGTAATGGATTTCATTCCATCCCTTTTATCCGGCGGTAACATAAAGATGATATTTGTTGTTTTTATATACGCCATTAGAATGATTATTCTGGATTCCACGCCCTCGTGTTTAACTGTTGGTGATTTAGATTTGTTGGCCGTCCATCATCTAATCAAACACTATTTTGTATATAACGACACCTTTCTTGCAGCGTCTACGCCTACCCGACAGTGCTACGTATGTGATGACGTCGCCAACCCACGAGACTGCAACAACAAAGTGACGTGTGCACAAGATGAGGTAATATCTTCCAAATATACGAATGCTGTCAGAAAAAAATAACAGCCATCAAAATGATGTATATGATCATTTTGAAAACACCACTTTCTTTCTCTTTTTTGGGAAATTAATTTAATCTTTTATACTTACAGGAATGTTTCACACAGGAGTTCGTCACGCCAAGTTTACAGAAGCGATTCAGATTAAGTTGTGAATCGAAACAGGTGTGTTAAGTATATCGATGGGGAGGTTGATTATCGATAGATTGTTTTTTTTAACAAAAGGATTACTTAAGATTGATAACATAATGTGTAGTGTTGTTTTTGTCCTTTAGCGGTGTCAGCTCCTGAGCGTATTTGGCAGGAAGCGTGCTTCCACACAACTGTGCAATGAATGCTGTTCCGGACCCGGCTGTAACCGACATCTTTGTCCGCTAGGTAAGCATATAGGAATATCCTACTTTTATCGGCTTTTTTAACCGTTAGATATATGTGATTGAAAGTTAAACTTTCCCTGTGATCAGGTCACTGTGATCTTCATTTCAAAGTCACAGATCCAACAAGTGCCAAATTTTCATGAAAGTCTTGCTCGGGTCGTGATTTTAAGCGGTTATAGATATGTATTAAAGTCAACGAATCATGAAATATACCTGTATCACCCCGAGGTGCTGTGCATTAGGTCACTGACGTAAACAGTTAAATAAGATATTTTTCTATGTCACAACTTTTGAACCATTAATGATACCGTGTTAGGCTTCTTGAAACTCGTAATATACCTATATCACCCACAGGTAGGACAGAGTTCAAAGATCAGATAATTGCGTTTAACCTTTATGTTTTTGATACAGCCTATAACCTTTGAACTATTAGTGAAATATCGATGAAACTTGATTATATGCCAGTATTATTAGGTCAGAGGTCAAGGTCGAATTTTAGATTTGTAGTTGGTGTATATTTAACTATTTGTTATGACACCATGAAGACATTTTAAGTTGATTAAAAGAAGTACATAATCAAACATCAAGATCGAAGTATGATTTCTTATCTAAGTTGTTGATAATTTATGATATAATGACACAAAGATAAGAGGAGTCAAATAAAAACGGAATGCATTACGATTTTTATCCATCTTATATCAAACGGGGTAAACACGACCCATTTAATCCGACGCAAAGGAATTTTCAACGTTCTTGATGTCCTCATTTGTGACAACGATAGTGCTTACTCTAACCTAATAAATTTACCACGTTTCTGGTGCATGTTGAGTACCAAAATCTGATACTTAGCCTTGTACAATGAACAATGCAAGTAAACCTCTGTTCATGTTCACAATTGCTCTAATGAAACTTATTTTTAAAGATTCTTCAACTGCTGGACAACACATTGTTATACCAAACCTGCCTACACCATGCGTTGACCACGGAAGTGTGGACTGTGCAAATCTGGCCCAGTCTGGTTTACGGCCGTGTGCCACCATCAACAATGTGTCTACCCAATACTGTCCACGTTACTGCGGATACTGCTAACTCTAACACCACTGCTAATTTATTACCATATATAACGAGTTTTAGCGTGGAAGATTTCACATGGGTCCAGTTTTGGGAATTTGAAAAATGTATGGCGTCAGCTAATAACCACAACATTATATGTAAAGTGTTTGTACACACTTTGAATCCTTATGAAAAATTTGCCCTTTTTTTAACATCGATAACCCGAATTTCCATAAGGATTCAGAGTGTGTAGCAATGTGTAAATACTGGATTTACAGTGTTGTAGTTATTAACTGATGTCGTACATTACTCAAAATCCCCAAACCGAGCACCTATGTAAGATTCCACAACATCATTTACGTCTTACAACACTAATCCACATTCCTTGTTCAACATTTTTATCGGAAAGTATGTCTGGATTTTGAAAAAATGTCTTTATGAGAAAGCGTGACGCGAAAATATTCCCAAATTCTACTGGAGTGTTTGAAACCGTTAAACTAATATCTGCTTGAGCATGAAATCAAAGGACGAAAGTTTTGCAATATTAAAATCACAAACACTCTCAGGGTATCAAAGTTAAACAAATGACTGGGTGAGCCTCATTGAAGAACACATTGATAGATTGATAAGGAGGATTAATGAGGAGAAATGAAATAAACATCCATTGTTCAAAAGTTTTGTTTTCTGGGACTTTCTTAATTTGACAGGATCATATTGAATGTTTTTAGAAAAATCATTTTCTTTTTAATTTTTTTATTCAGTTGCAGTTCATTGGCATGTCATACGATTGGCAATATTTGCCAGCTTGAATACGTTTATCTGTGGTCATTGATTTAACTTTATTTTGAGGTATTGGTCCTAACTTTAATTGTTTAAAACTAAAACAAAACGTACATGAGAAAAATGTTCGATATTTTACTTTTTATATCTTAATAAAAATATCATAAACAATAATTTCCGTATGATATTGTTTCAATAAAGTGAACATCAATCCAACTTTGCAAACATTACAACTAACAATAAATTAGCTGTACTACACATTTCAAATAATTACTTAAGTCATTGCCATTGACATAATATAAATTTAATAATTTCTTACATCAATAAAACATATTTAAAATTCAAAACATGACAAATTTTAGAAATTAATCCATAAGCATTAAGTATGGCATAAGAAGCAGGTTTGTACTTTCAGAATATTTAATACCATTTGATAAATTTACAAAGATACAACTGATATCAATACACAAAATATTGGCATACAAATGTAACACATTTATATTTGTTTAGGAAAGTGTCATTTTGACAGACGTTTGTATTCTATTACACATAAAATTCTGTCTCTGCACTTACAAACTGATCTTATAATGATATACTTCATCTAACACTGTGTTAGCGGTTCCATAATCTCCCATACTGTATTGTTAGAATGGAAGGAGGACAATATAAGGTGGCTATATATATCATTTTTAAGTCAACATTTTTATCATATAACATATAATTTTAACATATGCTTTTAATTAACTGTCACAGATTTCACAATAAAGAGTGCCATCATGACTTCGAACCAATTTTGAATTATTTCAGTGTGAAGGCTTGCCATTACAAAAGAAATGTTATTGTTAATGGACACATTCACCATAGCACATTTGTAACAAAATGTCATCAATGTTAGTTATATTGTCACATGTCACGTAGGGTCGAATCACTTGTCAGGTAGGGTTGAATCATACTTTTTTTGGCAGTGGATTGACAATCATGCTTTCAATACACTCAAACACAGTATGAGGATCTTGGTCAGCGTTTACATGTTGTGCATCCACATAAAAGTCTGAAATTTCCTCCACATATGCATTGTAGGTTGCAAGACGTTTGTTGACCTCTTCAGTCTCATCTTTAGGGTGTTTCTGTAGCCTTGTCTTCACATCCTCAGTGCGTGGGGGGTTGTACAACATGTGGTAGCGATCTCCAGTAATCGGGTCTGTGGCTCGCAGTGTCAGACGTTCCACCACAGAATCATTGGGTACATTCAAGAAGAACACTCTAAAATAGTTCAAGTGTACACATTCAAAAAATTAAATGTTGGTTGGGGAAAATATTAAAATTTGATATAATTTCACTAGTATAAACTGAATTTTGATACAACTGTGACCAATAAATATATCATTGCTCATGAAACAAGATTCCTCCTCAAGTTTGATGCAGTTAGGGACTTTGAAACAAGAAAGACAACACATTTCCTGTTTCATGGAACAATTATCATTCAAGCTAATCTAAATATTTCCTGGATACTCGAAAATCATATATGACCTATCACTTCATTTGTATTTATGAAACAAAAACATTGTTGAACATGTACATTACACATATTGTTTCAAATTTTCACAGGAATGAGTGAGGGACATGTGTGATAATGATGCTTTTTAATTTTGCAGGAATGTATTTCTTAATCTATCAAAATGGCCGACATATGAGGTGTCAAGCAGGACAGCATCAATTAATAGTGTCCTGAAATATCTTGATATATATACCCTTCATACTGCAATTGAACCTCTATTACAATTTATTAAATTTCAGCCTCTTTCATAACTGCTTTTTAAATCTTGATCAATGCTCTACAAAACAAGACACAATTTGGCGAGTTGCAGTCCCCCACCGACACACCATCTCACCAAGATGAAACTACATCCAAGTATGTAGTTCTAGTGACTGGTAGTGTAGGAGACAGGGCCCAGATAAACTTCAATTTAGATGTAGGTCAACGGTCACAATGTAGCTCAGAGTGACCTACTACTGATACCTGATACATCGCTTCATCAAGGTGAATCCATAACCAATGTATGGAGTTCCAGTGATTAGTAGTGTAGAAGGTTAGAGTGACCTACTTATGATACGGGTCACCCAGTACCATCAAGCTGAACTTTCATCCCCAATATTATATTTCAGTGATTAGCATGATAGGAGACAGGGCCCAGACAACCATTTTCTATGATAGAGGACAAAGATGGAAAGGTTTGTCACAATGACTTGCTTCTGATACTTAACACACTGTGGCACTAGCAAAACCTGAAGTATTAGGTTCTCATGATAAATATAGTAGTATATAAGGCCTGGACAAGCTTTTTCTATAATGTTGGTCAAGGTTCAAAAGGTAAGTCACAATGACCTACTTTCGATACAGAAAACACGATCTCACGCATATCCAAAGTATGAAGTTCCCATGATAAGTATTGTAGAAGACAGAGCCAGAACAAGAAAGCAGGAGGACAGATGGAAAGACAGATGGACATAACACAAAACCATAGCCCCCTCTAGTTCCAGGTGAGGGATTAATTAAAATAACAGATTCACAACTCACCTGTTTGGAACAAAACCTTCCTGTGTAAGAGCCTCTGCCTGTTCCCGGGTACGAGGGTACCCATGTAATACCCAGCCCCTACTCATACAATCCAGCTGAGAAAGGCGCTGTCTGAGGATCTCCATCACTGTCACATCAGGCACTGTTAGGCACAAATACATACCCGTATTATTTTATTTCTCACTATGCCACCATGCCATTGGAAAGAAGAGGCCCAGGAGGCCTGCATTGCTCACATTTTATTCAATGTACATTAAAAATAGAAACAGTGTTAATATCACAAATATATTGACATGTACACCATTAGCATTGAAATTGGTACATGTGATCAATTACAACCAATTTCCACAACAAACAGCTTCTTATACTCAACTCGAAACAGTAATAGTTATGGATTATAGGTAAATGCCATTTCTTTTTATTTTCTCAAAATTTGTTGGGCTTTGACCTAACAACACCCTTCCACCAAATATCCTGCTTCTTGGACTTTTGGTTTATCAGATGAAGTTTCAATAAATTTTATCCCTATGACTTTCAATTTCAGTCAAGTTGATTTCTTTTCACAAATTTGTCAGGCATCATCATGCTTCTGCATCTTTAGGTTAGTCAGAAGAAAACATTTTGAAGGTTTAACAAATTTGGCCCTGGTGACCTTGAATAAGGTTCAAGGTCATTTCTTACTGCAAACTATGTCAGGCTTCATTCTAGGAACCTATCACCTGAATTCGTGCTTCTATGCTTTTTGATTAGTCAGAAGTTTTAGGATTTTAACAAATTTGACCCCTGTGACCTAACATGTTGGTCAAGGTCATTTCTTTTCAAACAATAAGTCAGGCTTCATCAAAGGAACCTATTAGCCAAATATCATGCTTCTGTGTCTTTTGGTTAATCAGAAAATGTTGTTTAACGGCCAACCAAACCGCATTTTGTTTAAAACAACATACAAGGTTGATAATGTGCAATGACAAAACAAAAAAAATTGAAGAGCTAGTGATAAATTTAGGAAACAGATTGAGAACTCACCCATCATATCCTTTGAGACATATGGTATAGCTGTCTGACCTTCCTTGGTTTCATCTGCTATTGCTTGCTTAATCATGGAGCCACAGGACACTGCATCAAAATAAACAATGCTAAATGTTAATCTGTTAAAATGAAATGGCTATATGTAAGAAGCAAAGATAACAGATTACAGTTCTACTGAATCAAGAATATGAAAATAAAAACCAGACTAACCGCTAACAAGGTTGTATTTGGTAGCAAGAAGGGAGGCTTGGACACCCTTGCCTGATCCTGTGGCACCCAGTAACACCACCCGAGGGGTGTGTGGGGCATTTGTTCTTGCTTGGCCGCACAAGTATGTAAACACTGCAAGTGGAAAAAACCAAAGCTCAGTACAATTTGTATTACCACTCATTTTTTCTTAGTACTTTTTTGCAATATGTTAAATTGAGTAAATTCTAAACTTGAAATGTTATCAACAGTGAGAAAAAACATTAAGCAAAACTTTTCACATACCCTGGCACTTTTGACCACTATCAATTTAAAGTGCATTTACAATATCTAAAATTTCTTGGCATTTCAATCAAGTTTAAGGGAAAATAATGCATCAATGGTTGTGTGTGCATTTCTTAAATTGATGGGGGTTTTTATAAAAATAATCCAAAATTGAATCTATTTCTGTTTTACAAAGCTTGGAGATAAATGATGATATAGTTTTTGTCTAAACAATTGAATTACATATACAAACCTTGAAGGAAGACATCTGCCTGTGGCTGATCAGCATTGACTGTTTTAAGTCCCTTATTGAAACAAGTGAGGATACCATCTATATGCCTATGGTACTCTATGAGTTTGGCCACCATGTCATCCTCCCCATAGCCCTCAGCCTCTTCCAGACGGCTCTGTACCTCATTAGAGGATGGCCAGTCAAAGGTGGTGTGATATATGTCTGTAAGTTTAATGTAAGTCAATGGAAACTGGGTTTAAATCATAGGTTATATAAACTGTTTGACACAAGAAGAATATTTTATACCAATTTCTTGTTGAAAGATGAAAAATAAACCCACTACATGAAAAAAGAAACATTCTCATGACCTGAGAAATTTAGGTCAAGGTCACTCATATCAAAGTTTTTTACCCCATGATGCTACTAGCCATCATGACCATTCACAAGAGAAGAAATTGTTTAAAAAATTCTAATGTGTATAGTTGATGCCTCGTTTTGATGCCAGACTGATGAAATGTACCACAATGTTCACTCAATTTCCTTTCAAACAGCCAATAACTTTAACTGTACTTACAAATGATTATCCATGGTCCTTTACACTTTGATGCTCCTAAATATAGGTACTGCTAAAAGACATTTTTTTTTTTCAATTTTTTTTCACAATTGATTACTTGTCTGGTTACTGTAAGGGTTATAACTCCATATATCTTAAACTGACCTCCAGTTTTTGGATCCACTCGCTTTCCATGGGCTCTTTCAATCAAAACTGTGTCTGGAGCATCTAGCAGAACTATAAATAAACATTACAGACACAATTAAAGAAACAATCAATTTCTTGTAATTATTCATTTGTACCATTTCTCATCATAATATGAAAAGATTTTAAAAAACTACAATAAAAACAATTAGAGAGCAGTTTCTTACCAAACTCCTATTTCAGCTGATTAATAGTGATAAGAACAAAATGTCAATCTAGATTATGTATACATTTTGATTTAATTTTACATACAGAAAATTTTGCAAAACTACAAATTGACTTGAGTGACATACCACAATGTTTCGGATGAATTCCTATAGCCTGCATAGCCAAGGCTTGTTCTCTGGTCTGTGGAAAACCTTCCATTACCCAGCCCTTCTTTACACAGTCTGGAAGTTTAACCCTATCTGCAATCACCTTCACCCAAATATCTGTTGGAATGGGCTATAAATAAAGGATGAAATAATGACATGTTTCATATTGACCAATCAGAACAGTATCTTCTATTCAATGTAACCAAAACAATTAATTTCCTGATCGAATACAGGGGAGTCGATAAACGTAGTATGTACATACAGCATAGCTGGTACAACACTGATACTGAAAAGAATTTTACACATATATAAAGGTACTCGCATGAGCTGCATTAGACAACAGATAATAGTGGAAATGATGAAATGGTACTGAATGACTTGCAAAAAAAATTACAAGCAACCTTCTTTGTTTGTGTCAACAGTATTAAAACCTGATAATTAAAGACTAAAGTGATACAAGGTATTTTCTGCTTTATACTTGAAGAGTATGCTTTTACTGGTTATATTTTCACATTCTAAATGACTATATATGGTAATATGTAACACCAAGTATTTCCTTTATATTTCAAATATATAATGATTTGAACTTTGTCTTTTACACTGCTTTGAGTCTCTGATTTGATATTCAATTCGAATTGTTTCACATTTGTTTTTGCATGGAATTCTATGATAAAATAGGTTGAAGTTCACAGAAATCTTTACCTTTCATCATACGATAACTTACTTGTTTTTTCTTCTGTAGATCGAGCATCTTCATCTTAAGATCAGTCTCTGCTTCCATAATGAGGTTATCTGTTGTGAGATGGGCTGTCCTAAGTTTGGTGGCACACATCTTAGAAATTGTCTTCTTTCCAGATGCAGGTGGCCCAATGATAATTACCTGTGGAACTTGAATTACAAGAGAACAGATGTTAAATAAATCCTTACCACACATTGTAACAATTTTCAGAAGCAGAATGGGGAAATGCAATTAAAGACTTGGAGATTAAAACCAATAAAACTACCTATGATTGACCACAACAATGGGATCAAACCCAACAGACAATACAATTAAATATTTCTAATTTCTTGGTTTAAGAAAATATGTATGGCATTTTTTCTTAAACTGATATACTCTATAACACTAACCTTAAAAAATACTAACTAACAAGTGTACATAGTTTCCTTACCATCATGGGTATCTCGCTTCAACAAGTCAATGAGAAATGCCACAGGATCAGCAGGTTTGTTGATTATCAGCTGCTCCATCAGTTTCTGCATGTTGAAAAAGAAGAACAAAAAAATGGTACCGATACATGATGAAAAAATTAATTTCTTTTGGTTACTGAAAATCAACACAAAAACTATTTTACTGACTTGCTAGTCTTTTTCCTGAGTTAGAGAAGTTTGGTAGAGCAATATGTTATAGCTAGTATTTATAAGGGTTAAGTTTATAGCTTCATGCACTCAACTTTATTCAACCCACCTCACAAGTTGGTAACTCAATTGTCCATATTCAGTTTACGTGCAAACTAGTTTCATTACCAAGAAGGATATTTACAATATAAATATGGTAATTTTTGCACACGTTGTCAGAGTGTAGGCGGCCAAATGATCAAAGTAACCAGTCAAATTTGCTGGCGACCAACTCTTATGGAAAACCCTGGTTGTAATTTATGAACTTAGTAACCCTATCAAAATATAATTAAAAATCAAAATATTAAAATCTGAATCATGGATGTCTATCATTGTCCATAGAAATTATACATCCACATGTTTTCACATTGATTTGGTTTGAACAGTATCTTTTATATCTCATTCTGTAAAGTTGTGTTTGGTCCAGCTGGCCACATTTTTATTCCTCACTTCAATGTGTACTGATTACTGTATAAGATACAGTAAGTTCAGAACATTGGCATTGTACGTTCTTTATTATCCACTCTACTAGTTACTTATTGATTACCTTGGTGTGCAGTGACAGTGTTTTGAATGGTCATCAGGTAAAACGACATAATGCTATTTTTCTGTTTTTTACTTTGCATATTGCACACACCACTTATGTCGACACGATATTCAGTATATTGAAAGAGGTCGATAAAATGGTAGATGTAATCTTATCTGTTGGTATTGAGATGATGTTTATGATATTTGAACATTATTACGAGTATATTTCATAAAAATAATTTGAAACCTTCAAATATTGATCAAAAGTAAAGAACTATCAGGTGATTGTAACATTTTACACGAATTTATATAGCAGGTCAGAATTATTATTAATGTGGCAAATATCAAGTTGACCTGACGGAACCATGTGGTGTTGGCGACAAGGCTACGTGTAGTTAATCAAGATGGAAACATCTCTGGATTTGAAAAGACGCACTGGAACTTAAATGGGCTCTTGAAACTATTACATGTAGTAGTTTTGAAAATAAGCATAGACATTTTGAAACAGACACAGACCTGCATCATGTGCATGACATATAAACTATGATTTTACCTTGTACATATCGAAAATTCCATGTTTTTCAGCATATGTGCTAAACTCTGGAGGGATCAACAGCGGTCTCTTCGTTTGATCCATGTTTGTTTTTCAATGAACAACTATCTACAAAGAGACACTGTGCTTTTCGTTTTGATCAACGTTGATGTTGTTGGCGTCAATGGTTGCTATGTTTAGGCAAGAGGAGAGATTTTATGTAACGACGTGTTTGATTGGTCGATACGAAAGCTGATAGTTAATACTAATATTAAAATTGGAATTTTAAAAAAATCCGGAATACAAATACAAGGCATAATATAAAACACTACAAGTTTCGTTAAAAGTTGACAAAATATGAACTATCAATTATACATGTAGCTATTCCAATACATATTTTAAAGTTAAAACCGATGATGATCGCGAAAAAAAAGACATTTTCAAATTAATTGACTTCCCCGTTCCACTCCGGAAGGCCTAAGGAAGTCAAGTAAAATGTGCCGACAAAGAGTTGTGAAGCACTGGTTATTTTAATACAAGTGCCAATCGTGGATTCCTGACCAATGCTCTTGAACTAGCGCCATTTCTCAAGGTCCACCTGTAGAATCTATCTCACATTCACGACCATATCGATGTAGTGATTTTTCGGGTTGGTCAGATTTCAAATGTACCACATCTTGACGAAACTCCTGTATTTTTCCTCATTTCTACTGAAACGTGGCGGGGAATTATCTGAAAATTAAACCAAGAGAATATTCTTAATCTTTCACCTCTGGCACATGAATGTTCATCTCCTTTTTTGGTAGGATCATGTACAGGGCACGACAAACTAACATATATACTTGTGATGTTCTCATCAGCACTACCGCTACAGTACAAGTTTAATCTTCACAGTAATGGACATGACTTTGCTTATTTCAAACTATCGGATGGATACTACCAGTGTTGTTTGTTTAGAATTTCATCTGTGTACTTTTGTGATGAAATAATGATAAAGAAAAATAAGATCACGAAAGAATAAGACATCATTGACGGATTTGTGGCAGGTTGTAGACTACGGTTCGATTATCTTGACTTAAATTGATTTCAGCACGTGGTAACAATAAATTGAAAATATACTTTACACAGCAGTAGATATGATGATACGTTCTCGTTAAAAGGGAACAAATGCCCATAAACCGAACAGATGTCATCCGTTACTGATCTACATCTAATCTACATACGGGCATCAAATACTGAATTTTTGAAATGGTTTGGGAGAACAATTATTTTGTAAAATACTGTATCAAATCACACATTGCTTTAATTTTGTTATTGTTCAACGTGAGTGGGTTTCGAGGGATGTGTTATGTCGGAAGACAAATAGGGCGCTAATAATTATCTATCATAAACGGCGTTCTGGAGTCTGAGCTCAGTCTACCTTTGGATAAATATTCAACATTATTGTTGGTAACGAAAGGGTAGCGATATGGTTATTTAAAAGTGATATTTTTTTTTATTGTATCATTTCGGGGAAATTATTTGGAACCGAATATAACAGAGTTGTAAAGGTTGTTTTTGGTGTAACACATCATCTGCATCCCGCTTGTCACCCGTCCTCCGTCTGTCTGAAGAACCGAAAAAACATGACATATGACGTAAGAATTTAATGTTTTATAACGAAATGGCGTTTAAATGGCTTATTGAAAGGTCACGGGAAATTCAATGAGAAGAACTTGCTAAAATAACGTATTAACATAATAATTAAGTTCACGACAATAGTTCAAACGATATCTTCCCTATTTTCCAAAGGATTCATTCACATCTTCACCTCACGACGACAGAGAGAGAAGAAAGATAGACGATGTAGTTAAATCAATATCTGGTCAGTGACGGAGTCAGCATTTCCTTAGTCACGTACTGAGGATTAAATAGTGGCAAATGGACCGGATTCGGATGTCGATTCAGAGATATGTTCACTGTTTGATCTGTATATAAAGAAACAGCAGTACAACTATATCGTTATAGCACCGAATGAGCCCCTGGTTAAAGATACAATAAACTGGCAGTTTGTTTCAGGTGATTGACATCATCTGTACTTCATAGTAGTCGACAGTGTGCATGTGTCGTTGTTATTTAATTTGGGGGGGGGGGTCCATATTAAGGCAATCCTGAAGGTATAAGTATACTACCCAAATAACCACATAAAAAATCGAATTGGCCACATTTATCAGGCTTTACACAATGGCACACTACCAATAGTTTATCGTTATGAGATTAGCGCTTCAAAGCTAATCTTTATTTATCTAAATATGAGACTTATGAAAAATTCTGTACTTTTATCTATCACACATATAATCGCAAAGATATCCCGGTAACTCTGGAAAATAATATTGTTATAACCAGATACGATCAAAATTTATTTTCAAATAAAATATAATATCACTCTCTGGTTTATCTTACACGTTCATTTAACATATATGTATAGTTCATAATTCGCAGGATTCAGAAAAGTAATATGCGTGTTACACAAGAGAAAGCAGCTGGAGGAGACATACTATGTCTGCAGGTATCCGCGGTAAACAAATACGATAGAAGGGTGTTCTCTCCATTTGTGGTGGAGTAAAATGTTGATCTGTTTCACAATACATTCCTTTTAGTCGCATATATCACTAATAGGGATAAGATAATTTCAGGGTGATTTTCTGTAAAATATAATTATTCCATTTTCATTTCTTTCAAATTTATTATAACAACTCATAATCATACTTATGATATATGATATAAACTCTCCATGTTTGACAGATTTATTTTAATATACAGGATACTATGTACTTCGGACATCAGGTGTTAAATGAACAAATGTCATAGCAATATAAGATGTATGTTGAGCGTCATATTCCGTACTTTACACAGTTAACTCATTACCAGCAATTTTGCCTGTTTAAGGGAGATAACTCATACTGCACCTTAAATCCCAATCGGGGTCAAGTCGGGATAATCATGTTACCTGTACATTCTATACATAGGACCAAAGTCAGACTGTGATAAACATACTTGACCTTTTATTTCCTTTACAGAATAACAACAATAAATTATTATTATTATTATTGTATATATTTTTATTTTTATTTCTGTCATATCAAGAAATATTTTATCATTGGTATTTCTTAACATCAAACATTACTTAATATTATGTATTACATTATATTATGTATTGTTTTATATCACGTATTACTTAATATCATGTATTACTTTACATCATATATTACTTAATATCTTCTTCTACTATACTTCTTTTTGTTCAACTTTGAAACATACATGTTATGTTTTTTGTCTCCTAACGCAATAAAAAATAATAATACAAGTATTTGACGTTCTTTGAAATTATCAGATATCTAAAACGTACGAAATTCAATTAATTATGGTAATAGTGCATCTCCCCATCAAGATTCTGACATGGCTTTCGATCAATTTTGGTTTTCCAGGGTCACCTTTCGGGCGCCGTTTTAGTATTTATCTTCAAAATGTGATATCAATAATTCGAAAGATTGATATCATAAATTAGAATAAGTGATATCAGTAATTGATTTACTGATATCAGTGATTCGAGTTGATGATATCAGTAAATGAATACCCAGTTAAATTCATTATTTGGCTGTAAACTCAAATATCATCTTAAAAAGGTGTTCTTCGCTTTGTGTATAGGACACTGCGAATTTTGATATATATATATTTGGATTAACACTTTTTCCTGATGTAATCTTCAACATTGTACTACGTGAAATAAGTTAATAAGAAAAATAAAATTTTGTACTGAGTTGACGTCTCTCAAAAAAATAAGGTTAAACAAAATACGAAACAAACTGAATAACATAAGATCCCCAGCAAATGGAATAAGAGAAATAATTTGCGTGAAATAAAGCTGATTTACAGACGGTGCAGGAATGACAATTACTCCTGTGTTGAAGCAATCACATCCCACAGGCACTCGAGGCCAGGATATTATTTTTTAAACATTGATTTTTGTTTTAGCACTCATGACTGACGTTATTTAAACGAAATATCAGCAGAATTCAAGTTTATATGCCGGTTGACAAATCCGAGGTCCACGGTCATTAAAAATACACAAGGCAAGCAACTCCAGATTTTAAAAAATCGACCCCTCGCTTGGAAACTGGCTCAAAAAAAGTAGTTATGATAAGTTCCTTGTAAAACAATATGTATCCGTAGGTAGTGTGTATATTTACCTTTTATTTGGTGCATAACATTACAGGCAACGAGAAATTCACAATACGTACATGAGATTAACATCTCAATAACCGGAGATTTTATCGTCCATGTAATTATCTTTGACGGAAGTAACATGCCATTTCAAGGGCGGTCACTCCGAGTTTTTGGGAGAGGAGTTCCGGATAGCACTATGCCAGTGAACAGGTAAGAAAGATTCCGATGTCATTACGCGCGTATCTTCAAAATAGATATTTTTATTTCTACAAATACATTTGCGGGGATGGAAAAATAATGGCTGGGCAAAAAAGTCCACATTTGCCAACTCGGATACAATATCATGGTAAGGGATTATACAGAATGCATCAACTTTCAATCAAGCTGGCGGTAATGAGAATTTTTTTTTCAAAAAAAAAATAAGAAAAAAATCATGCAGATGATGAAATATTACTTTGACATTATATTCAAGGTCATGGATAAACCCTTAAATAACATCTTCTGATAACCAAAAAGGCCTTGGGTCATGATATTTGGTCAGGAAGTCCATTGTATGGATGTTTGCCAAAAGATACAGTACCTGTAGCAATACAAGCCCTTTGGGCCTCTTGGTTAATAAGTAATATGTATTTCTTTTCAAATATTCTCAATAACTTGACAAAAATCACTATGGAAAAAATCATTTAATTTCCAATTTCTAAGTTAATATATTTCCCCCACGATATTTTTCATAAATTGCGCCCTTTTTTCATTATCTGCATGATTTTTTTCTATTTTTTTTTGAAAAAAAATTCTCATTACCGCCAGCTTGATTGAAAGTTGATGCATTCTGTATAATCCCTTACCATGATATTGTATCCGAGTTGGCAAATGTGGACTTTTTTGCCCAGCCATTATTT